TCCTCTCGGACGTAAGTTCGAACCCTCGTCACGGCCCTTGTGGATTTGTTCATTTAATCAAAGGCCTGTTATAGCCTCATTAATCGAAGGCTTGTCATAGACTCATTAATGTAAAGCCTGTTATAGCCTCATTATTCGATGGTGTATTATACCCTCATTAATGAAAGGATACAATGAAAGGTTTACAGTTTTTGGGAAGCGTGACCTCACCCAGGTGTCCATCTCTCATCTGGTCTATCTATCTATCCAAGGGACCAAAACGAGCTGCAGATAGTTAATTTAAATGATTTCGGGGCTTAGCGTCCCCGCGGCCCGGTTCTCGCACTTAAGACCGGAATTAAGATTTCCTTATTGTCCCAAATAACGGATATGCACCGTGAGGACCAGCTTAAGGAATATATTGCAGTGCAGGTAACAACATTGTAGGGGAAAGTTTTAGAGGTAACCCGTAGCGTAGTAGGCCGTGGAGTTTGCTCACACTCGATTGATGCTGGGTTCGATTCCCCGGGCAGGACGAGACATTTGAGCAAGTGTTTGTTTCTCTGATACCTGATGCCACTATTCACGTAGCAGTAAATAGGTCATTTACAGCAAGCATTCAACCGACAACATTTGCCTATATTTACATATTACGGCTATTACATATTTACTCTATTACATAGTCACTCTATTACATATTTACGGCTAGATGAATATAGGCATCAAGTGAAAGGAAACGCACCCAATTGTCTCTGTCCCACCCAAGGATCGAATCCGGGAACCCTCAGTTGTGAGCCGAAGGCGTAGACCCCTACGCTACTAGACTATTTGTAAATATTTGGTACAAGGGGGATTCGACCCCTGTACCTGGAATCCTGGAAACGAAATAGGGGGTGGGGGGGGGAGGCGCACCATAAAGGCGTATACACATCTCCCTTCTACCGATCGCGCCTCCAGATCTATCGACAGGTATATGTGAAGATGAATCTCACTTTCTGCGCGGGTAAATTCATTTTCCCGCGAAAACCTTGGTGTACCAGTCATTCGTGCGGAAGATTCCCTGTAAATAAAATTCTCTGAAAGGTACTATAGAGGGAACTACAATGATGTAATTTCCTCCTACCCCCGTCCGAGCATTATTAGAAAATTTTATTAACAGGCTGACAAAGGGAGGCTGCATTCCACAGTCGAGTTCACGTAACATAATTACGTCTATTCTGTACACCTTCCTTTCGCTCTTGTGGGTTCTCGGGCCTTGAATATCGTACATCCCGGAATATCGTACCTCCTGGAATATCGTACCGCCTGGAAAATCATCATGGAATATCGAACCTCCTGGAATATAATTATGGAATATCGTACCTCCTGGAATATCATCATGGAATATCATACCTCCTGGAATATCGTACATCCTGGAATATCATCCCTCCTGGAGTATCATTATGGAATATCATAGCTCCTGGAATATCGTACATCCTGGAATATCATACCTCCTGGAATATCGTACATCCTGGAATATCATACCTCCTGGAATATCGTACATCCTGGAATATCGTACCTCCTGGTTAATCGAGAAGTCAGAACACGCTGCTGACTCACATAAGAGCACCAAAACACGCCTCTGACTCACCTAGGAGCACGTAACACGCCTCTGACTCACCTAAGAGCACCAGAACACGCCTCTGACTCACCTAAGAGCACCATAACACGCCTCTGACTCACCTAAGAGCACCAGAACACGCCTCTGACTCACCTAAGAGCACCATAACACGCCTCTGACTCACCTTAGAGCACCATAACACGCCTCTGACTCACCTAAGAGCACCATAACACGCCTCTGACTCACCTAAGAGCACCAGAACACGCCTCTGATTCACCTAAGTGCACCAGAACACGCCTCTGACTCACCCAGGAGCACCAGAACACGCCTCTGACTCACCTAGGAACTCCAGAACACGCCTCTGACTCACCTACGAGCACCAGAACACGTCTCTGACTCACGTAGAAGCACCAGAATACACCTCTGACTCATCTAGAAGCACCAAAACCCGTCTCTGACTCACCTAGGAGCACCAGAACACGCCCCTGTCTCACCTAGGAGCACCAGAACACGTCTCTGGCTCACGTAGAAGCACCAGAATACACCTCTGACTCATCTAGAAGCACCAAAACCCGTCTCTGACTCACCTAGGAGCACCAGAACACGCCCCTGTCTCACCTAGGAGCACCAGAACACGTCTCTGGCTCACGTAGAAGCACCAGAATACACCTCTGACTCATCTAGAAGCACCAAAACCCGTCTCTGACTCACCTAGGAGCACCAGAACACGCCCCTGTCTCACCTAGGAGCACCAGAACACGCCTCTGACTCACCTAGGAACCCTATTAAAAACACTGACCATAATTGCATCTCATTAACCCCCTCAGTATTGCAACAGTATACTCATTGTGCTATTATCTATCTATACATCTATCTAAAACAGATATCTACTTCTGAATAATAATACTTTGAATTCTATTACTATCATTTTATTGTCCATTACTTTTAGTTAATATTTTCTGAATTGCTTATACAACAGTCAAAATTATTTTGTGTTACAAACTGTATCGGTTTTGTAGTTTAATTCTTAACTACTTTATTCCTAGTCCATAAAGTCACATTAACTTGTTATCAAATTTATCAGCTATGCAACATTCTTGATAAATTATATTTTTTACTTTATTTGTATATTATTGTATTATACTGTATATTTATTTTTTTACTTTATTTATATATTATTGTATTATAATTTTAATTATGTACTTTATTTATATTCTTGTATTATTAATTAAATTTTTTACTTTATTTGTTTATTATTATTTTATAAATTTAATTTTTTACTTTATTTGTATATTATTGTATTATAATTTAATTTTATACTTTATTTGTATATTATTGTATTATAAAAACAATTCTTGACACTTCAGATGCTGAAACATGTGTAACACACACACTCCACACTCTCTTGTCTTGTTAACAGTTACAAAGACCTTGTAGCAAGTACATTAAATAATATAATAATAATAATAATAATAATAATAATAATAATAATAATAATAATAATAATAATAATAATAATAATTATATGTAATAATAATAATAATATTTTATTTACAAGAAGGTACAATTGGTTGGTGAGATTACATTAGAATGATATTTTTACAAACATAGAGTTTCAGGCAGGTCCTTAATCTAACATATCAGGTAAGATGAAAGGGTACATTGTAACAAGGTTTTATATCAACAAATAACTACAATATAAATTGACAGAGGGGATTTCACTGGTAAGGATAAATTTGTCCTAATATTGGGGAATATAGTACTAATAATATAGTACCAATATTGGGGAAGTGGGTGGTACAAGATACAGTGGGAGTTTGAAGCACAAGGTAGGAAATATGTGGATGAAATTAGGTACTTTTTGGTTTTACTTTTGAATAGGACATAGGTTGAACAATTTTTTAATTCATCAGGGAGTGAGTTCCAAAGATTGTTCCCTTTTATTTGCATGGAGTGTTTACACAGATTTAGTCTAACTCTGGGGATATCAAAGATATATTTATTTCTGGTGAGGAGCTCATGGGTTCTATTTCACCTATCTGGGAAAAGTTTCAGATCAAGATTTAGGAACAAGGTTTTGTACTTATAGATAGTACCCAAAAGATACGTGAATTCAGAGACTATTCTATAACAAATGTTCCAGAGATGTCTAAATATTTCATTCAAAATGATCTGCTCCCAGAAATCTTAGCCAAATATCACCAGTTTGCTAACTGTAGGTAGCAACTAAGTGATTGTAGCCTATCCACCGCTGCCCATTGGATGGGGGGCGGTGTGCAGGACAAACATATAAATTGTGACACTAGCTCTCCACATATGTCAGTTGCTTAATTTAGAAACTGTACTTGTGGTCGGTCTCGAGCCCATTGTTGATGTGACGATGTGCATTGAATTTTGTAACTAGCTCATCAAGATTGTAACTTGCTTAGCTAAATGAATTGTGGGGTTCAGTCTCTGAGCCCATTATGTGCCTCTGTAACCCTTTCCACTACCGCCCACAAAATGGGTATGGGGTGCATAATAAATATACTAAACTAACTACCCTTCCTGGGTGACAACATTTTGCGTACAGGTAACTGGTTAATGGCCTACTTTGTTGTTGTTTAAGATTCGCTACTTGGAACGTTCCAAACAGCACGGGCTATGGCGAGCCCGTAAATTTTGTAAGGCCTGACGACTGAGTGGACAGCGCTCGGGGTTCGTAGTCCTAAGGGTTCGGGTTCAATCCCCGGCGGAGGCGGCAACAAATGGGAAGAGTTTATTTTACCCTGATGCACCTGTTCACCTAGCAGTAAATAGGTACCTGTAGTTAGACGGCTACTACGGACTGCTTTTTGGGTGTGTGCGTCTGTGAAAATTAGGATTTACGACTTAACTGAAACGCTATGTGTGCTTGTGGCTGTACAAGAATGTAAGAACTCTTGTATATATAAATAAAAAAATAAAAATATATACATGAACTGTTAGGTAAGCACCAGCATTTAGTTATCCTCAGGTTAACATAGTCGCCGCTGTCAATTTCTTTTTCTAGTTTTCTATGCAATGTTGTTGGGTATTAATGAATTCTTTGTGATTAACCAAGCAAATAATGCTCTCCAGCCACATATGTTTTGTTCATTATTTACCCACATTTTTATTATAATACTGTCAAGTTTTAATGCTTCTTACAACTGTAATACGATATCCATTAAGTAATTTTTTTTCATTATTGATACTTTGTTTATATTGTTCGGTTTCTCTCATCTTCGGCTTTATTGTTTAAATTAAAGGATTATCTTTTGCTTTTAAAATAATTGGGCCACTTTAACATTATTTAGTTAAAAGTTTAATATCAAATATAGATTAATAATAAGTTTCAATGTAGGCAATATTCAAAATTGTGTGAGTAAGATTACCAGTGCGGAGTCGAGCGTGCACAGTTCGGGACACAGGGAGCTCCCCTGCAGAAGGCAGTAGACACTGTCAAAGGAGTCCGGTCGAAAGGTGTGATGAGTGGTTCAATTGTTCGTTTATTACTCCACCCCTCACCTTGACACAAGTACTATGCGACTTGTAGACAGTGAGGTACAAACAGAAGACGTGGAGCTGTTACTGGACGCTGGTGAAAGGTGTGAGGGCGAGATCCCCAGCAGGCGAGCGTGGGGCCACGGCAGCTTTGATTCTCTTGTCCACTATTATCCTCCTCCTAAAGAAGCCTCGATGAGAAAAGGAATGAAAAAATGTATATATATGCTTGCGTTTTTGACATTCCTGGGCGGCGCAGGTATCGTGTTCGTTGGGTACTACTGTCCTGAGTCTGTCTGTTCGGTGAGGTCACTCTCGCCTGTGAAAAAATATAAATATAGTTACGTTAGGGATGGCATTAACCAGTTCCATCTCCAGACTGATGTTGTTGGTAAACCACTCAGTGGGGCCCTGAGGACAGCAACTGGGCCCTCGTTTGAGGATGTTATCAGTCGAGATTTTCAGTTTGACATTGAAGATCACGATGTCATCGTCTTTTTGCACATCCAGAAAACTGGCGGAACAACTTTTGGCAAACATCTCGTTGGGGATCTTGATTTAGCCAGACGTTGTGTGTGCCACAGAAAAGTTAAAAAGAGGTGCACCTGCCTCCGTCCGGGTCCTAATTCTGACGAGATGTGGCTGTTTTCACGCCACTCCACTGGCTGGAAGTGTGGCCTTCATGCAGACTGGACAGAACTAACCAGCTGCGTCGATGATATGATGGATAAAATTGAAGACCATGAGATAAAACGAAGGTAAGATAATATTTTATCCAAGTGAAGGTTGCATCGATGACATTTCGTTTTCAGTTAAGTATTGTAAACCCTGAAGTGAACGTGATTATTAGTATGGTTACTATAAACATGTATTGTTACAGTATAGTAGTTGTCACTTATTTTATAAGTATCTATTGTTACTTTTCTTTTAAGCAAATTTGTATGTGGTTGATTAGCCAATGCTGTTATGCAAGGACTAACCATTTCTCAGGATGCAACCTACAACAGTTGACTGACTTCAAGGAATCAAATTCAGGACTGATTAATTGTGAACAGACTGCACTAACTTCTTACTGTACGGTACTTTGCTACAGGTTACTTTTGCATTGTTGTACAGGAATTTACATGTCATGTTGCAATGGGTATTTACAAATATACTAAAACTATGATTATTATAACTAAAGTAATAATTATTTTCAATATTTTCACAACTGTTGATTGTAAGAAATTGCTGTGTGGTACAATATTATCTTTGCTAAAATGATTTGACTTTTTTTCTTCCCTTCACTTTCTTTTTTCTTTTCTCAACAACCCAATATTACCCACCCTGATCCTGTGAGCTAGATGTATGTTTCTCCTGTGTGTGATGCAGCAACATTCTTTAACACTATTTTTTCTTTAATATAAACTTTGCTAATTTCTAGGAAAGATGATACCTGGGAGTTGCAACAGTCATGCTGATGGGGCTAAAAGGAAGCAGGGGTTTGCTATCAGTTAAGAGCAAGGAGATTGTTCAAAGATTTGCTAGCAATGTGGAGATAAGATGAGGATGATGATGATCCTAGTTTGAGAGAAACTGCAAAATACCACACTTATGGCAAGTGTTGATGTACCAATTGATTTTGTTTCAAATAGGGATATTCTTGATGTTGCCCAATTTATATCGGTACTTCAGGTGGGGTAATGAGTTTATCATTAAGGAGATCAATGGGAAAAAGGAATTTGGCCAAAGTAGGTACAGGTTTAGTTAAATCTCTAAGCCAGTTGTGTTCAACCAGCAAAATCTCAACATCTGGAAGCCAAAATGTATTTTTGCCAAGTACATGTGCAGTAATTTTAGGTTAGGTTTTGTTTATTAAAATTATAACATGCACACTTTATATTTATAGTTTAGGGTAAAATTTGCTGGTCACCAGACACTTTCAAGTTAACTAGTTCTCGGTGGACTAAAAAGAGCATAGAAAGAAGTCTTGTTCTATAAAAGAACACTAGAATGTATGCTGTTCTTGCAATACTGTAACCCTGAGATTATCCGGGATTCAAACATCCGGAAAACGCCCTTATACGGCCAAAATCGTGATCGGATAAAGTTATCACAATATCCGGCCAATGTGGCCACAGGAACTGGATAAAAGCTGGTTTGGCCGGATGAAAATTCGGCCATACCGTATGAATCCTGTCTGTGGCTCTAGACGCATGGTGGAGGAGAGGGTGGGGTAGGTGGATGGTGTTGGGAGGGTGGGAGGGGTGCGTCGGGAGGGGACCACCTGGGTACAGGAATTTCCATTAATTTTAGAACAATTAATCATAGCCAAAAACAAATGAAATAAGTACTAGTAATTATGTAATAACAAATAAATTAGTTTCCTAAAAGCAATGTGCACAGGCTGAAGTTTCCTTAAAAAATATTGGGAGTTTTTTCCTACTGGCGGCCTACGTAACGTGCTATAGCTGCCCTATCCCAAGTGGACCTGTCCAACACTGGTCAACCCATGTGCGTCCGTCCCTTGTATTATACACAGTGCTGCGCCATTAGTGAAATATTTTTTTAAATAACTTTTTTATTTTCATAGTAACTTTAAACATTTTTGGCCAAGACTATGTCTGGTAGCAGCATCAATTATTCTGGAGGTGTTAAGAGGAAGAAGGTTGTCCTAGCAATTAAAGACAAGTTACGTGTTGTTCAATCAGTGAGGCGTCACAGGCAGCCAAATGCCTTCAACAAGTGAGGTGCCACAGGCAAGCCAAGCGCCTTCAACAAGCGAGGCATTACAGGCAAGCCAAATGCCTTCAACAAGTGAGGTGCCACAGGCAAGCCAACCGCCTTCAGCAAGTGAGGCGCCACAGGCAAGCCAAGCGCCTTCAACAAGTGAGGTGCAAGCAAGCGCCTTCAACAAGCGAGACATTACAGGCAAGCCAAATGCCTTCAACAAGTGAGGCTTCACAGGCAAGCCAAGCGCCTTCAACTAGTGAGGGCAAGCAAGCGCCTTCAACAAGTGAGGCGCAAGCAAGCGCCTTTAACAAGTGAGGCCTCACAGGCAACCCAAATGCCTTCAACCAGTGAGGCTTCAGCAGCTGGCAGTCAAAACTAACTTTGCTTACTAAACTGTACAATAATTTTAAGTGTTAATTTTAGTGTTGTGTTAGTATAGGTTACGTAAATTGTTAAGAATTCTTAACTTCAAGATGTGTGGCATCAATCAAGAAGATGAACACTGACAAGGTAAGTTGAGGTTTCTAGTTGAATATTTAATAATTATATGTGGCAAGGCAATTCAAATTATGTTGTTTGTAGTATAAAAATAGTTGGAAATGATCACTTTTGGACTCGTAGGTGAAAAAGTACCATTATCCGAAAAATGTGACAATCTGGCTGGGGGTCTTTCCCATATACTCCGGATGATCGAGTGGAGACAGTACCTGTGGATATATTTTATACAATACGCATTAACAAAAAGGCAATTTCGTGAATTTTGTAAAAAAAAATCAAGTTCTTGAAACACCTTAGTGCTGGTTCATGGATAGACATATCAACCATTTGTATGGGTATTTTTCCAACATACCCACTTATATTTTGATCTATAACTACATTGATTTCCATACTATTAAGTAACACTCCTAGGAGTAACAGACCCGATTCCTGAATGTACAGGCTCATGGGGTGTTGGAAGATAAGCATCCTGGGGGTGCCAGATACAAGTTCCAGTCATCCCAGTTCTCATTGCCTTGCTTTTCAGGAACTGCTAAGCATTACGATCTGATATACCAATGCATAGTAGGAGTGTGTCAGTACCCTTTAGTCATTTCATATATTTTTCTTTTTTTGACATTTTTATTTTCCCATTCATCATGTGCATTCCGAGACTCGCAAATGAACACTCATGTTTGATGACTCGTTTCTTGGACCTATTGATAACTAAGGTCTGATGTTAATATGCAAGGTAGCATTGTGGGTTTGTCATATATTAGTATCATTTTAAGTACTGTGTACCTTTAGATACATTGTGTCCATTGTTTTGGTGTATGGAGACAGGAAATTATAAGTTATGGAACTGGTCTCTGGACACACATAATTACCCATAATAGTTCTTTTTAGGTGTCAAACTGCAGCATGACACTGGGGTAAAGAACTATACGTTTGCCATTAAACCAGAGAGAGGACATATTAAACTAAATTTAACCACTTACTATATCTTTTAACCATGCACAATTGTTGAAATAATAATGTTGAAATATTTATTTATCTTATCAGGCTTCTAAGATATTGTACCTTTCTTCTTCGGTATGTTTTTAAATTATATTTGACGAGTTCCTGGTATTTTTCGTAGTTCTGTGCCCTGGTGCAATAGCTTGCTGAGGTTTATTCTTTATGGGTGCTATAGTATAGTGGTCTATGTTCTCGACTCACAACAAAGATACTCAGGTTCAATCCTCTTGACAGGACAGAAATGGTTGGGCATGTTTCCTTTCACCTGATGCCTGTGTTTCATCTAGTAGTAAATAGGTACCCAATAGTTATGGAACTGTAATGGGTTGCCTCCTGGGAAAGGTCAGGAATTGGCATGGGGAGGTTCTTGATAAGCCTAAGTACAGGCTTCCTGTCCCCAAACACACACATAGATTACAAATGAGCAGCAACATTGAACCAATTACCTGTCTTATCATCTAAGAGAGTATGGTAATGTGTTGCTTTTGTTAATTTTTTTTATATAACTTGACAGATTTCCTCTGCCACAGTCTTATTAATGTTATCACATTTTTTCAGATATTTTTATATAACATTCCTAAGGAACCCTGTTCACCGATTTGTGAGCGAGTTCCGTCATGTACGCCGAGGGGCCACTTGGAAAAATGCAAGACATTTGTGTCAAGGGAGACAAGCTACCAAGGTCAGTAGCATAAAATTGTCATTTTTTCAGGTTTTTGTATTGAATAATTATATAATATAGTATGTTAACTATTAAGCCCTGCACTGAGCACATGTTAAATGTTACACTACTGTGGTGTGCAAAAAAAAATGTGAAAAACAAATTTTTTGTTTGACATTGTTAATTAGCTTCCAAGAAGCATAAAAATCCAAGTAAAAACCTCAACGTCTTGTGGGTTAGTTGTAGTGGCCTGATGAAGCTGCATTTTTTCAGTAGAAATGAAGTGAGGTGCCACATGAGAATATCTTTGTCAGTTTATTTTCATTGTTTCTCACTAATTATTTACTTTTCCATTCTAACGAGTTGTATTGATGTCAGTGGTGTTGTTTATTATGTTTAGCTTTGAAAATATGCATATGAACAGATATATATGCATGGCACACATTTTGCCTGTAAATATATATACATGGTAATCACTCATTTGCTGTTGTTAAGAATTAAATGACTCCTAGTATGACTACTCAGCATGTTCAGACACTGGATGGCAATATGCCAGACATGGTATGTGTGTTTGAATATGTCACATATCTCTTGCTGGTCACTTGTGATGACCAAGAGAAAGGCTTGAAAGGGCATTATGAATAATCATCTGGGACTGCATTGAATTTCTTCCGGGGGGCTGCTTGAAATGTTTCATGCCACTGCTGCCATAATCTTCACATAATACAAAATAAATTACCATGTGATTTTGGGATTAGAATATGCACAGATGAAAGTTCATTGATCTGCACTAATAACGATACTTTTTTAAGTCTGTAAAGAGCTAAATTGGTTATCCAGATAATCAGATGTAACGGACAAGGTCCTGTCCTGTTTAACCCAGATAATTGAGAGATCCCTAAATGCCCATCTACTTGGCTTGGTTAGTACAGGGACAGTCTTGCATCTTGCAGGATTGGCATTCAATTCCAAAGATGCAAGAGGTTGAACACTATTTCTTTTCCCCCTATCCTCATATCCCAGCCCCTCGTTATCGTATCCCTTTCCAGTGCTGTTTAATCATATAATCATACTGGCTTTACATTTTCACCTGATATTTTCTTCCTTCTTTGTACATTATATGGTACTTGGAATTTTATAGTTGATATTTTTGTGAAGCATTTGCCTTTGCATGATTTTAATTACAAATACAGTACCTGTATTTATAAAATCTTTAAATTTAATATTGTTCCTCCCTAATTTTAAAATTTCAGGATGAAGTACCATTCTGCTATGAAGGTGACACATGGGAGAATGTTACCTTAGATGAATTCATGGCGTGTGAAAGCAATCTAGCTATCAATAGACAGACCCGTATGTTGGCAGGTGTGTATCCAGCGTTTTTTACCATAAATAAATTTAATAAGCATTAGTGTTGCGTGTGCATGTGTGTGTGTGTACAAGAACTGTCAGATATATGCTTTAGAAACTTCAGTTATGGTCCCGTGCATTTCACACAGAGATTGGTACTAGGGCCACGTAGCTGAATGGATTCACAAAATTTTGTAAAATATAATAAGTGCATTGGGAGTTAACACAATATTTGAGTTTCTTGTAAATCTGCATGCCATGAAGTTATTTTATTATTGATGTTGTTACAGTATTATTATTACCTATTATTATTATTATTGCCTACTAGCGAAAACAGGATTTTTTTTTTTTAATAATTCGTTTTGTCAGGGACAGGCTTGTATCGCCATACCCCCAAGATTGAAGTACTGATCCTCCCCAGGATGCAACCCCACAACAGTTGACTAACTCCAGGGTACCTATTTATTGCTAAGTGAACAAAGGCATTAGGTGAAAGGACCATGTGTCCAACCATTTCTGCTTCACCTGTCATCAAACTGGGATTACCAAACTTTTGAGAGGTGGGAATGAACCCAACTGTATTTTTGAGACCCATATGATAGCTATATTGGCCTGCTGCATGTTCCATGCAGATGAAGTGCAAATGAACATATTAAATCTGAAATGGCTGCAGCATGGCCTGTTGTGACTTTTAAGTATTTGTACATTCTTGATTCCTCTATCCCTCATTCTAGTTTAACATATGGTCTAATTTTGCCAATGTTGCTTTGTTTGTCTAGCACTCGATTCCTTAACCCTTTTGGCCATCGGTATACAAGTCATACAGCATCATTTGGCCCCCCTCCCCCACCCCCCCACCCCTAAAAAATTGTATCCTGGTCATCAGTTACTGCTAGATGCACAGGGACTAATAATGAAGGCATGGTGTCTAATCGTCTCACCATACCCAGGGTTCTAACCCGGGTTGTATTACTCACGAGGTGAGCTGGTGAAGGTGCCACCGCAGGGTGTTGTCACCATGTGTAATGGGCCGGATTAAACACATTGCAGAATTTTAACACATGCTAATCCCTGCTATGTAAATGTTAAGATGTCATTCGGCTTAAAAATCATACATGTTTTTGGTCTTTGCTACAGATTTGTCATTGGTTGGATGCTACAACAAGTCAATGATGAAGCCAGAGGAGAGGAATAAGGCAATGCTTCTGTCAGCTAAGAATAACTTGAAGATGATGGCATTTTTTGGTTTGACAGAGTATCAAGAAAAAAGCCAATACTTGTTTGAAGAGACATTCAATCTTAAGTATGTTTGAACTCTTATAATTTTAATGATTTATTGTCTTGAATTGCTTGAATTATTTATAATCCTATTACACTGGTGGATTTACAGACAGAGTGCAACCTTGATTCAGCAAACTGTGTCCAGCCCCTATTCGTTGCATCTGGAGATGCCTTTAGGTGGCACCTCTAGTTGCATTGAATTGTGGTTGGTATTGTTTACTGAATTGAGGCTGTACAAGGTAACCACTTTCTTTATGAACAAAACCCCTCGGGTAGCTTCCCTAAGCTCACACTGGAGCCTTCCAGACCACTGCTAATACACCAGGCTCCGAGCAACTTTGAGTTCTAAGGACGTGTTTTTACAATTTGTCTTGTCTCCTAAATAAGTGTGGCAAAGCATATGGGCACTGGGTAGCATATTTAGATCTGTCACTGAGGTCAACTGGCCACTATGGCTCCTAAAAATATTTCAAACCACTCGCATCATCCAAAATGATTCTTGGTAGCTTTATAATTGCCAGGAATCATTCTGAATTATCTAAGCATCCACTAACCAACCACTACAAGAAGATAGCAGCACTAATATACTATGGGGTCGGTGGGGGCTATCTTAACTTTGATATTTGGTGGTGGTTATTGTAATTTATTAATGAGCGTTATCATGCTTAGGACAACAACTTGTACTGAGAAGAAAACAGTGACAATCTTTAATGCATATTAGATCTGCACGATAGACTAACCACCATATAGAAATGTACTAATAACCAGTCTGTTCGCAAGGGACGTGGTTCTTTCCCAGCTTGCTAGATTTGGGTTCTTGGTGAATTGGAGGAAGTCCCATCTGGTTCCATCTCGGGTTCAGACTTGGCTGGGCTTTGTGTGGTATTCTCGGACTGCATCTATTTCTCATCCGGTAATACTGGAAAGTGCATACTCTTTTCAACTTTGTCATCTCAATTCTCGACCTTTGGTATTAATGTGTTCGCAATAAAATTCCCAACAGGAGTATATGCATGTAATGTCCAAAACCGTGGCGCGCCGCATCTGCAGCTAAGCCGAAAGCAGGCCAAACTATTTTAATTTTTGATGCATGGATACGTCATTCCCTCACATTCGTCTAATAAATTTTTGACGCAATACTATGTCGTGCCCGTGCCAAAGTGTTAAATACAGACAGAAATCGCACTAACGTAATATATCGATGAGAAAATCAATTGGAGCAATGAGGTGACTCGAACCAGCAATCGGGGTAGTCCCATCTTTCTCATTTAATCCTTGTCAATTTGCTGATAATTGTTTGGAGTTTGTAATTTACCTTTGTGATGGATTTCCACTTGGCTACTTTTCCTTGTTGCAAGGTTGCTTGTCCATATGTGGTTCAGAGTCGCACTAGCAATGATCTGGGAGGATGGAGATTTAAGGGAACTACCACGGTTCCACTCGGATAGAATTACCTTGTTCAACTCGACAATCTATTATCAGTAGTTTTCTTGCCTTAGCCTTCCTCATGACCCCCTTTCATATATATTGTACATTGAACAACATTAGACATTCACACAATTGTCTAATTGCTATTTCTAGCAATCCATTCATTAAATTTTACCAGTTGGTATGTCCTATAATTTTCTACTATACCCTTGAAAACGTGTAATATTTTGTATTTTATTAAAGTGCTATCTTGCCATAAATGTTATAAATCTGTTTTATATAAATCTGTTTTTATATAACGATTCTTCTAAACATGAATTACTTGAAAACGAAGTTTCCTGCTTTAATGTAGTTGCCAACTTTGTAGTTGTTCTAGAGAACCACTGCCCTCATTGAAATTGAAATAAGTTTATTGAGGTATAAATACACACAAAGGGATGAGGTAGCTCAAGCTACCATTGAGTATTCTCACCCCATTGCTGCCCTCATGGTCTCTTGCAAACACTAGTTTGCAAGAGGCCATGAGGGCATTCTGTCCTAGGCCATTCTACCCTATGACAGAATGGTGTCACATTTACTGTGGCCTCGTATGCTTTTTTGAGTAATGAAGTACTAACACATGTACATGGCAAATGTAAATGGCTGAAAGTTTCTTTCGTTTAAATCTTGATATTTTTGTCTTTTCCCAGGTTCAGAGTTCGCTTTGAACAGCACAATCAGACCATATCTGATTTGGCTTTACATAATATTGACTCGGAAACACTCGGACGTATAGAGGAGTTAAACAGCTTAGATGTTCAGCTGTACGACTACGCTAAAGAGCTCCTTCAACAGCGATTCAAGAAGTTATCATCGCAAGATGTTCACTTTAAGGAGCACTTCTCAAATATGGGTCGAAATAAATTTTCATGGTCAGATATCGAGCAAGCTCCGTGAAAAGCTTACGAATTTTGTGATTACATAGGAATTTTGTATTTTTATTCGTGTTTAAGTTGATATCAAGATATGTGTTTGTATTAATATTTTCTTATTGGCTTATAGTATTTGTAGCATACACAGTAAGTTATTTATTACCAGCTAAAGTGTAAAACTTCAGAAAATTTCATGTTATACAATGAAAATGTCATTTCATCTTGCATTTAATTTATTGTTCATAGATAAACTGTACTTAGGCTCTTTCGTGCATAAACACTTGAAGATATTTGTGCACAAATGAAGATAGATATCCGTTCACACACATCCCACCAGCATAGCTATTTAGGTATTCATGTGTGTATGCATGTGTATGTGTATACACATACACATGGGTGGCTTGCATGTGTGTGCACATTCATGGTATGCACAGACATCTATACAAATGCATATGTACATACACATGATTCTAAAATTCACAATGCACACGTGTATATACTGACAGATATGTACTGTACATATGCGTAAATATACCCATACAAAATTTTTATAAATATATATTGATGAGAAGCACCATTGTAAGGCAATTGTAATAAGTGACAAAGATGTTCGCAATGTTCATATAAAAACAAAAGCCGCTAAACTTGGAGTTACCAGAATGCATATGTAAGGCAAACAATGATAAATTCTAGATAATAGTGGCAATGATAGAAAATATTCCAAGTGACATTTACTTCCCTTATGTCACTTCCCTTATGTTCCCTTCCCTTCCCTTTGGCCTGTTGGGCACTCCAAGCAACTGCTTGTTGGACCAAGTTATCACAAGATGAGCCTGGCCTCGGGGAGTAGAAGAACTACTAGAACCCTCTCCAGATATGCTCCAGGTATGTGATAAGCAATGCAGTTTGGAGAATTCTTCACAAAAATATTTTGCGTACAGTACTGCTGAAGAGTATAATGCGCAAACATGTAGAGATAATAAATAGGCGGCATTTTAAGAGGCTAATTATGGAACATGTGGTGCACCTGCTCCCTTTGACATAATCACAGGAAACAAGGTATCAGGCATAAGATACTACAAATGGGCAATACCTCTGTACATAGAGAGAAGCTCTTTGACTCATAATTGTGCTTATTTTGCATGTCCGGGAAACCGTAGGTTTAACTACTTATATGGCTTAGAGCCTATTTCATGTATTTTAATGTTTTGGTACTTATTGTAAATTTCTTACTTGTATTAATTTATAGATTTTTGTTAATTTTATCAGAAGTTTTGTTGTATTTTAAAGAAAGGAAACAGAAAGGTCACATTGGCTAAATTTGGGAGGAGACACCTAGCTGTACTCTTATATTGTTCCCCTTCATTTTGTCTTTTGTTTCTTGATGACTGTGTTATCTTCGTTGCCTATATCCAAATGTCTTCAGTTCAGGTCTCGGTGATAAAGCTATATTGTTTCATATTTAGCTCAGACAGCTTCCAGGGTAAACTGGAGAGAGTCAGTGTAAACTGACAGTGTCTGCCACCAGCTTGTTGTAACAACCTAACTTGTTTATGGATATGCAGCAAAATAAAGACAGAAAAGATATCTTTATCTCCTTGGTCCGTGAATGTGATTCCAGACACAAATGGATTTCCTTACAAGTACTTGTGGTTCCTGCACTGTGAATGACCACACTCACCATTGCTGGGGACCTGGTCCATAAATTTAAACCTAACCAGAAGCAGAACATTACAATAACCACCCAAAAAATTTGTAAAAATTCTAAACACTTGATTATTTAATGTCTGAACAATTTCATTGTTACTTATTTTTAGACTTGCCTGCTACAGTATTTCCTAATTTTAGATTTTAGATATGTTTCAAGTCTGCATTTCAAAATTGTTGAAGGACTGGGTGAAGTATTAAAACATTTAAGTAAGAATTGTTTTGTGTGTGCATGTGAGAGAGGTGTGTAGGGGTGCATTGTATTAGCTCAGACTTTTGGAAGATGGAAAGGGTTGAGTAAGTTGAAAGGTCAAGACAATACAGTATCACAAAGGAAATTCTCTATGATCTTTGTTTTGAAGTTAGTGTATATTGTGTTATAACCATTTTGATTTCCTGCTGTATTTGTGATTACAAGAGTAAAGGTTTGCTCATGGTGTTCCATATTTTGGATTTCAAAATATTTTAGTTTCCAAATGCTTACTCTATATTGCTTTCTCTTGAAGTTCTTATTCAATTGCCTGCCACATCTTTTTGTAAATACAAAATGTTTTTGTTTTGTGCATTGATTTTCAGTTAGGTACTTTTGTTCTACCCATTACAGTAGTTCCATAAGTCTTCCCTATCCGGGTTTTTTGTATCTTTTGATGATCTTATAGGTAGTAGGGTTTCACCTGTGTGATCTCACAACTTAGCAGGATGTGTTTGTGGGGTTGATCATCAGCTCTTGGCTGTCCCTTTAATTTTTGGGTTGATTACCATAATTGGCATTTATCATACTGGACACACAACCCACAAATCCCAAAATGAAGAATTGACACTTCTTCATTTTCAATTGTGTGGGTTGGATGCCTAATCTTCAGCCACGTTATTGTGAGTCGTCATCTGCGTATTTATCTTGCTTTTGAATTGATGTAGAGTATCAATTCAATAGTAAGCTCATACCACATCCTCACTTCTCTAATGTGAAAAGAGGTTCTCAATACCCCTCTTAACTCATACCAACCCTATCTACACCCCCCCCCCCCCCCAAATATCTTGCTTTTTTTTTTTTTTTTTTTTTTTAAGCGTGTGTCTGCTTGTACTGCACTTGTCGCAAGTAAACAGGTGTCTTCATCATTGTTTTTTGTGCAAGGCAGCAACAAGCCTGCAATTCTTGAGCCCTGCCTGCTAGTTATTAATTAACTGGTGTAATGAATCCAAACTGCATTGTCATACAACATATGCAATTAAACGCATGTATAAAGCGAGCTTCTGATACTCGCCCTCTCGGTACATTCTAATCACTAGCTTCACATTGAAGACATTTCTTCTTTTAGTGTTCAGTTTCCATTTCTAAATGTATACGAATACTGGTTGGTAAATCTGAGTGCCAAATGATACAATCGCCACAAACATTCTTTTAGATTTTGTGGGTGCTGATGCATATTGTACATGCTTAAGTTAAATAAGGATTAGTTTTATTCTTTAGATTAGACATTTTCTATTTCTAGTAGTTAATAACCTGAAGACTTGCAGTCCTGCATGAAGGATTGTTGTGTATCATACAACCATATCATGATATCATATCATGTTTCATATCTATTTGCTTTTGTGCTGCGTTCTTGCCAAATGCACCAGTTGCACCATGTTAGGTGTAATGATAGTTTATAAACATACATTATCCTGTATCCAAATAACACAACATCCGATTGGACTGTGTTTATAAATGTAGTGCACCGGTCACCTTGAAAATGATAGTACTGTACTTTGTATAAAATTTGGCTAAAGCAGTACTATGTTAATCATTCATTACAGTATATCATTCTGTGTCCCATTCTCCTGGTTCTATCTAGGTTTTTTTATGCTTTGTTTTTATCCCGGTGCTTTGCTTTATATATTGGTATACCATTGTTAGAGTTTGGTAGCCTCTAATGCTAACTAAAAATTTCCCTAACCTAAGGCAAGGTTGTATGGGATATTGATCATTCAGTTACCAGTCAAACCCAATGATGTATAACCTGACTGGCCAGCAGACACACATCATCGCTACACCCTATAGAAGCTCTTCCAAATAATTTAGTGTCCTGTTTTTGTATAGATGCCAGAAATATGTTGAGGTGAAACAAAGTAGCACCACTGAACAGGACATCTCTAGGCCCTGGAAGGATAAACAAGACATCACAGGTCGGTTTACATATCGGTAATCCCTTTTCGTGCTGCCACCTTTATGATACAGATTGAAGAGTGAGTACTCGTTATTACCAGTAAGGCGCGCACACGTGCGTGTGTGCGTGCACACAACTGCAATTTGCCCACTCGCATTGTATCGACCTTACCTGCATAGAGGGTCATGATTAAATTTTGTGAAACCTTAGCATAAACAGTTGAAGGCTGTCCTGAAATATCTTTTCCTTTAATATCTCATGCACTACTGTTTTGTCTATAGTTGGGTCGAAGTCAGCTGATGGCATTGGCTTCTCTATTGTTTTTCCTGGTAAAACCTTTTATGTGCTGACGTTTGCCCAAAGACGAGAATTTTTACTGCAAATCTTTGTGTTATTTTGTTTGCTCTGAGACTTTGTGCCAACAATAGTTTATTATAGTTCAAACTGTGCTCTCATAGCTCCGGAATCTCGACTATTCTCATCCCATAGGTTATGAAAATGAAAATTGGTTGAATCTTGTCTTTAACAGATTTAAGGCAGCTGAGTTTATGCTTGGTGTTACCTGTAATGGACTTTGCAGGTTTCTACTGTCATATTGCAATCCTCGATTGTCTTATGAACAACAAATTACATACTATCAAATGTGACCTATCTTTGTGACCTTCCTCCTGTCACCATAACAGGAAGTGGGAAATATCTCTGGATTGGATACATATTTGCTATATACTATTAATGGACAGAGATTTGCACCTAACTGTCAGAACTATGTTGTCCCACTAATATGAACACCTTGTAACATGTCCTAATTTTTATGATCTTGAATTATGCTTTCTTACTATTCTTTCGAGTCCCATGACCCTTAATAAAATACTCAGTGACTCGGAGTCCTTTGACATCATTCATCTCGTGTAACTTTACTCATGTGTAGCATTCTAAATGATAGTTAGGAACTTTTGAACATTCTGCAACAGACAGCTTTATAGCCTCTCGAGACTTTCACTTTTTATTGTTTACATTACTCTATAGGTATCCTAGTCATGGAAGCAGCTCTACATTATGCTCACTGTGTAATTTTTCACATGTTGCTAATTACAAGTTTGTATTACCTGCTAGAAAAACTAAATGCTTGTAAGGCAGAACTTTTCACCCTGCAACTGCAGCACTTACCTTTTCCATTTTATGAATTGCTTATCATTGTATAGTAAGTACAGTACTAGTAGTATTTGACTCATTCACATCCTGTTAATAAACTGTCATATTAAAATACAGTATAGGACCTGAATACCATACAGTAATAAAATATTACATATTGCATTTGATAATTCCATGGAAATTGGATAACCACCAAGCACTGGTTTTGACCGCCCTTAAATCACTGCACTGTGCCAAACGACAAATGCCATTTTGAGAGTTGTCCGTTTTATTTTTTAATTGGGCTATATTTTAATGTTTTTTAATGTTTTCATCATTGTGTGTTTTAAAATTAAAATAGTTGAGTTTGGAAACATTTTGACATTAACTTTACCTGAACATTTATAAAAACAACAAAAATATGTCCTTAACAATTGCACTATGAAGTTTTTGCCAAAAGCAGGTGCACAGTGCAGGGGTTAAGCACTTGCAGGGGCTTACAGAGGTATTATTGTTTGTGGAAGGTCTGTACCTTGTGTGAGGATATTTTGCACTCCCCTTCCCCCATAGCTGCTGCTCACACTTGACTTATACACACCATTTCTACATTTCCTACAAAAATATTTTATTTTCATAATTTGAAGAATTTTCTAAAGTCAAGCAAAGGGACGTTTCTAGACCTTGCCCTGTAATAGGTCCCAATATAAGCCCGTACCAATGGTTAACGTGTGCCTCGGCTGCCGATTGTTGTAGCCAACTTGTATCTAAATTAATTAAACAGTTTTTTAAGTATTGATGGCTTTAAACTTGTGATTCTGTTCATTGCCTTTCCTTTATCAACATCACTTGAATATGCGGTAGTTATCACAACACTGGTGCAATGAAAAACCATGAGATATGAGAGCAGCTTGACAAAGAACGTGAAAATTTCAGTTTGTTTAATAAGCATAAATAATGGAAAAAATAGATTATAAGAGAATTTAATGCAGTGATCAGCCAGGACAAAATTCCTCTCTCAGATCCAGTAGTGTATAGGTGGTTTCCTGCCATAGTACAGGAATAGTTCATAGTACTATGGAATTGTATAGGAAATTTACTATTTCCTGTACATAGTACATATACACTACTGTACATATATGTACTATGTACGTATGTGTACATATACACTACTCAGATCCAGTAGTGTATATCTAAGACAAACTCCACTCAAGATTTAAACTTCAATTGCATTTAGAAGTTGTGCATAGTGTGATGTGATGCAGCCTAACAATATTTAAACCTTTAAAGCACTTTCTTTTTCCACATGTTTCCTTCAGTTCTTTATTCTCCCATAATTTCCTTGACGACGTGCTTGCCAACTTCGGTGATTAACTAAATATTATAAAAGAATTTAATTGATGTTATTTGCAATAAATGGTGACAAGTGTATTTGTACATCAACTAAAAGAAATCGTTTATGAAATTTTATATATCTAACGGTATGGTGTAATTTGTGTATGCAGTCAAACTGCAAAACCCCCATAGTGAGGCAATTTTTAATAGAAGAACCTTTATCACTGATGGTGACTTGTGTTAGTGTATAAATAGTATACATCATAAATCATGTTATATTGTTGCCAAAATTATACATTTTCATATGTTAAATAGTACTATAGAAGATATATTTTTTTTTCTTTTACTTATTTATGCCATGATTTATGAATATGCAAATAAGTGTACTGTACCTAAGAAACACAATTTCTTCCTTTTTTTATTAAAGGTTTTATCTTTATTTCCTGTGTGTAAAATTAAATAAATAAAAATTGTTAATTGTTTTAGGGTACAAATATCACTGTTATTGGTAAATTTAACATTGTACGTGATAGTTATTACAGTAATTGCTTCTTGGAAATAAAAAAATGGCTTATAATAAATTGCCCTGTTAGTACATACTGTAACATGCACAAGGAAATCACATGAACCAGCCCGTCCTCCCGTTTTAATAGTACTTATAAAACAATGAGGGCCATAGTACCTATACCATCGTGCAACACAATTAGAAAGTAAAAATCTATGTAAAGTAGTAAATTAAAGTAAAAATTCAATACTATGTATTGAATTTGGACAAACCGGAAAACGACTTTCTACTTGTGTTGCATAGACAAATTAACTAACCTAACCTTCCTAAGCCTCATACATGTTATCAGAGGCTTAATGTAGTACATGTGTGCTATATTAGGCCTAGGAATATTTGTTTTTTAGCTTCATTTTTTTGGGGGGGGGACTACATAAAGTGAATAGTACAAAATTCTTCTAATTGCTTAGTATGTGAATATTTGTACTATGGTGCACATAGTCATAAAAAGTACTATCTAAACAGGAGGATGGGTTGCATTAACGAGATGTATCAATGAAAAAATTGGTAGGAGCCGTGAGAATTTGAACCTATGCTCTGGGTAACCCTGATTTCCGGCTTCATTGGAAGCCTCAGGAACCCTAGAGAATTCAATTGAATCCCAGGTTACAATGCTTTTGACCATATCATGGTGTAGTTGTCTAAGGCATTTGTTTCGGAGTACCCGGAGCATAGGTTCGAATCCTCCTCATGACTTCTACCAATTTTCTCACAGTAATATAATGAACGACGAAGTCACAAAATTATTCTTGTCACTAAATATATTTTTAGATAAATTTAGCCAATTTTCTTAATAGCTTATTAAATATGAATTTTATTAGCTTATTAAATATGTAAATTTTTAAGTTTGGTGTAAGGCAGTCATCTATATCATGTTCAGACATTAATTATACTTGTACCGACCAACTACTCATTTGTGATTTGTCTGAATGCCGTCCAGCTGGTGGGTCAATCCAAACTTTACCGATTAAATATACAACTGTTCTGGGCTCCCTACAGAAAAGACGTAGCTGGCCCAGTCGGCTGCCTTGATGCAATATGTGAAGGCCATTCCAACACCTGACCCTCATAGGCACAGTGAACTAGAATTTGTTTTGTAAGGAGGGTACTGTACTAGTATTTGAGAATTCTTGCATATCCAATTTATCACTAAAAAATACAAAACATCCTTCCACCATTTTTGTTAAACAAAAAAAAACTGTCAATACTATGTCAATCTTCTATTAGTAACTGTGGAGAGAAAAGATATACCTGTACGTAGTGATGATTTTTTATCAGAAAGGGAGAGAATTAAGAAAGCTAAGGTTGCCTTTCTTACTCATCGTGTGTGATGCAAGTACAAATGGAGCAAAATAATGGAACCATAATGACTTAATAAATTGAAAGTAATAAAGCCATGTATAAAAGGAAGGTAGTAAGAAAGGCAAGAGTAAAGTGTATTAATGCTGTGTTGTGTTAGTACAGGCAGAGGTCTCTGTCAACAAAATTCATCACTCAATTGAGTGTTGAATGTAATGAAATGCCCTTTTTTGGTAGGGCCAGAAGTGGCTTCCTGAAATTAATGCTGGTACTGCCAAGTCTTGGCTCAACACACAAGGTCTCAGTTTTATGCCAGGATCCAGGGCCAAGACTCATTGAGTCCACTTATGAATCTAATAATAATAATAATAATTTTTATTTGCAGGAAGGTACAATGAGTTGGTGAGATTACACAAGACTGGTATTTTTACATTCGTGCAAAGCCACTAACACGCATAGCGTTTCGGGCAGAATCTTGTATGTTCTTTTTTCGGTCACGGTGCGAAAAGAACTGGAACTTCAAGGCTGTATTAAACAGTTTATGGTTTTAAAATGCTGTGAGTTTGTTTGTGACCCAAATTGATTATTGTTATAAACAATATCATAGCACTTCAGAGTTCATAAACTGTTTAATAAATAATGCAAACTAAACCACCATGATATCCCAGGCCCCGAGGCCTCAGGTGACCTGGAATGCCATCTGGTGGTGGTCAGGTACATCAGTTATGGTATTTACCCCATAGCAACTATCATTTGCTTTGTTTACCTAGAGGTACCAAATGTCCTTTAGCAGTTGCTTGTTTTGTGGTTGATCTCTTGATTTCCTGCTTTGCATGCCTTGACGAGTAAACCAGTCTGATCCTGGCTTCTGGTAGGCTACTACAGGGTCTCAGAGGCCTGGTGTGTTGGGTTAAGTCTTGGTGGTTCCAGAATGATGCTCGGAGAACCAGTGGGTTGGGGGAAAGGGGGGGTCTCCCAGTGAAATGACTAAAATGTACTTGAAGTGTTTTACAGATGTTTAAGACCTTAAGTGGAGAAGTTTGATTTGTCTTGGTGAGTACACTACCAATTCTAGTTTTTTATTAATATTTGGGGAGGAGTGACTAGTTACATAACCATTATTGGTTATTTGAGATGTCTTAGTTCCAACTTGTCTGGGTATGACATGGATGAGTGTATTTATAACATGAAAATTTTAATTTATATTTATATAGTTATACATAAATGCTCTCTGTAATATTTATTAAATACATTACTTTAGTTCAGTATTAAAGAGAGCATCATTTCAACTTACCTGATAAATTTGTCCCATTTCTTGGTTCTAGAGTTTTTGGCAAGGTTACTGTACCTTGAATGGAAATATCTGCCTTACAGTGAGATAAGTACTGTTAGATATATGTTATCATTAGTCTGATATACATCCCAAGCTTTGAACAAGATGTAGTTTGACTCGTCATTTGCTTGACACTAACGGATCTTGATACCATATGTAGAGTGATTCACAAGTTTGCTTATGTGCTGCCAAATAGAATTTGTAATTTTTGCCTTCCCATTTTCCAATTACATGGGTTGGAGCAACTTTGCAAGTTTGTGATTCATGACAATTACTACAAGACCATCTAGTGCTAAATTAATGTTCTAACTATTGGCCTAGAACTTGTCTTTCATAACTGGGACTTGAGTGATGTAATGTAAATGACTTTTTAGGATTAAGAAACTCTTTTTAATCTTTAAAGTTTTCTCTTGGTGGCTTCCATATATTGCTGCATTGTTTGCCATTTCATTATCCTTATAAATCCATTATGCATATACAGTATTACCAGCAGTTCAAGTAATTTACAATAAAAAGTGGCAGTAGTTTAATAAATAGAAGATGCTCAAAGTAATTCTCACAAAAAGCACTCAAATTATGTATTTATATCCTTGTGGGTTTTATTGCACAAATATTTCTGTAATTTGTTTAGTGTGGCAGTAAGGTTTAACTCATATTATGCCTCTTCCATCTATAACACTATATTGGCTGTGGCACCTTATAAAACAACTTATGTAGCTTAGTCTCTGCACAGGGATTGCTTATCCTGTAATTACTAGTCATATTAAAAACTTTATACAATGGAATGTATATCGTTTAGCTAATGCTGATGTCACATTGCTCAGCTTATTTTATTTTTAATTTAAAATAATCATTAGCTATTTGTTTACCAGTCTTATCACTACTAGTAGTATAGATGCTGCCGATCTTGCTGATCTGTTTTTAAGAAATTAAATGTGATTATTTGCATCATTATCTATAGTGTGTTGATGCAGTATATTACAGTACAGGCAACCTCGATATGACGGAAACCTTAAACTTTCAGAACAATTTGGCCAGAAGAACAAAATTGGAAAGTTCAAAATGAGTTGTATTGGGAATAATGTTGTGTACAAGTCAATAATCATTTAGTTTTCCAAAATATTTACTATTCTTTTAACCTTTTAAGCATGGTTACTTCCATACCATATGTTGATTTTAGTTATTATTGGCCAGATTCTACATAAATGATGGAAATATGGTCATAATACATATACACACATATACTGTATATATATACACTATACAGTGGCACCTCGACTTACGAATTTTTTGAGTTATGACGTAAATTTCGTCAGAAAATGTGACTCGACTTACAACCTTTGCCTCAACTAGCGACTTTGTTGATACAAGTTTGGGTCAACTGAGCGGGTGGTTCCTGGTGGCATGGGCCGACCCGGCCTCAGTTTACCAGAGCTGGCCACTAAGTGACGATCGCGCTTGTAAAGAATTCCATTATTTTTGTACTTTTTTGTTTTTTGAACATAAAAGTAAATATTATATATCATGCCATGGGTCCCAAGAAAGTCTGTGGTAAGGGTCAACCTAAGAAAACGCATGTGAGGATGACCATATTGGAAAAACAAGGATCATTTGTAAACATGATAGTGTGCGGATTGTTGAACTAGCTAGGCAGTACAACTAATCCATATCCACGATATCCACCATACTTGCTAAGAAAAAGGACATTATGAATGCTAAAGTGGCAAAAGGTGTAACAATAATCACGAAACATAAAACACAAACACTTCAGGATGTTGAAAAGTTATTATTAATTTGGATACACAACAAGGAGTTAGGTGATAGCATTTCGGAGGCCATCATTTGTGAAAAAGCAAGGAAATTGCATGAAGGTCTTATAAAGAAAGCCTTCTGGAATGAGTGATGCAGATGTGAAAGAGTTTAACGCCAGCAGAGGTTGGGTTGAGAAGTTTAGAAAAAAAGAAGTGGCATTCATAGTGTTGTGAGTTGATGGAGGAACACAGCGAAGAACTGACCACCGAAGAACTCCTAGTCTTTCACAAGAAGCAGCTGATACCATTTCTTCAGGGGAGGAAGAGGCAGTACAGAATGTCCCTTCTTCAACAATTAAGAAAATGTGTGCAGTATGGGAAGAACTGCAAACTTTTGCTGAAACGAATTGCCCAAATCAAACGGCAGTAGGCTGTTGCCTTAACCTTTTTAATGACAATGTGAAGCATCACTACAGACAAATGTTAACACATAAGGAAAACAAATCTCTATGGAAAGATTTTTAGTGAGAAAAACAAGTAGTGAACCACAACCAGGTCCTAGTGGTATGCAGGCAAAACGTAGGAGAAAGAGAACCCCAGAGAAGTCATCACTGCCTGATGTTATAATGGAAGGGGACTACCCTTCCAAACAGTGGCACCTCTCCTTCTCCCCCCTCCTCACCGTCTTCCATACACCAACAAGAGTCCTCGATAGAGGTAAGATAAACATACTTTATTGTAGTTAGAAAAAAAATTGTATTCAGTATAAAATGTATTTTTTAAGTTAATATTTTTGGGGCTGTGGAACGGATTAATTCAATTTACATTATTTCTCATGGGAAAGTTTGTTTCGAGTTACGACCTGTCTCTTTGGAACGGATTAAATTCGTAAGTCGAGGCCACACTGTACTCAGTTTCTATGATCGAGCCACAGAGATTTTACAGGAAATAGATGGTTGGGGTGATTGCATCTATTTGGATCTAAAAAAGGGCTTTCGACAGAGTTCCACATAAGATGTTCTAAAAACTTAAAACATATTGGAGGAGTGACAGGTAGGCTTCTAACATGGATGAAAAATTTTCTGACAGAAAAATGAGGGCAATAATCAGAGGCAATGTATCAGACTGGAGAAATGTCACAAGTGGAGTACCACAGGGTTCAGTTCTTGCACCGGTAATGTTCATTGTCTACATAAACGATCTACCAGATGGAATACAAAATTGCATGAACATTTTTGCTGATGATGCTAAGATAATAGGGAAGATAAGAAACTTAGATAATTGTCATGCCCTTCAAGAAGACCTGGACAAAATAAGTTTTGGAGCACGACCTGGCAAATGAAATTAATGTGAATAAATGCCATGTTATGGAATGTGGAATAGAAAATAGACCCCATGCAACCTATAAATTATGTAATAAATCTTTCACTTGAGGACCACATAAAGAATATCGTGCGAGGAGCCTATGCTACACTTTCTGACTAAAGAATGGCTTTTAAATACATGGATGGCAAAATACTAAAGAAAATGTTCAATACTTTTATTAGACCAAAGCTGGAACATGCAGTGGTTGTATGGTGCCCATATCTTAAGAAGCACATCAACTAGAAAAGGTGCAGACATGCAACTAAATGGCTCCCAGAACTGAAGGACAAGAGCTACGAGGAGAGGTTAGAGGCATTAAATATGCCAAAACTAGAAAAATAGAAGAAAAAGAGGCGATATGATCACTACGTACAAAATGGTAACGGGAATCGATAAAATTGATAGGGAAGAATTCCCAAGACCTGGAACTTCAAGAACGAGAAGTCAGAGATTTAAAATAACTAAACAAAGCTGCCTAAGAAATATAAGAAAATTCACTTTTGCAAACAGTGGTAGATGATTGGAACAAGTTAGGTGAGAAGGTGGTAGCGGCCAAAATCGTCAGTAAATGACAGAGTACAGGTACTGGGAAGACCAGACACCATGAGTGTGACTCTCATCCTGTAACTACACTTGGGTAAATTACATACACTGGTTGCTTGTTTCCAGACTCAATGAATTATTATTATTATTATTAACTTGAATAAAAAAGCCCTCACTTTTATATGATTCAGCAAACTGCACATCAACATGTCCAAGGATCCAATTACTCTCCCACCTGGCTTTTTCCACAGGCAATGGCACCTTTGATGACAGTCTCACACTAAGGGTTAAGTATAGTAGTACATAATTAAAAATATGAAGTGTTTAACCTTTATGACTTGTACAATATGGTTTGAATAAGTGACTTTTTCAGGGTGCATTTTGATTGTTTTCATATTACCTGTGCCGACTCATTACTCAAGGGTTTTCATCCATTTTTCTTTTACTATTTCATTATTTGTGAGCAGAAAAGTTATCTACCAGAAGGAGTGGTCAGGCTAAACCAGGTAGAAGAAAGAACACATTTCTTAACATTTGTAAAAAGGGTAAATTTATGTAAAAAACAAAAAAAAACAAAAAAAAAGACATACCAAGACTGTGGAGTGAGATGGCTTGGCAGAGGAGTTTGGGGTTAGTGTTGGCACTTTCTTTTTTATAAATAAAACAGTGGAAAGTAGGTAATTTACAGGTTATTGGCAGGAGGAAGTGTTGCTGGCAAAGACTGAGTGACGTGCCAAAAAGGCTTACATTTTGATGAGCTATGTGAAGCTGTTTACAAGAATAAAACTGATCTATGAAAAATAAAGTAGTTTTGTATTATATTTTAATATTTTTATATTAAAAGTAAATATTTATATACTTGTGTGTAAACATGAGCAAACACATGTTTTGTCATTTACTTAAGAACAAAAATATTACATAAAAGTGCATATTATTAGAAAGTAAAGAATACTTACAGAAATAATATTTTATTACAAGAAATACAGTGGTTACTCAGTAGGTACAGTGATTATATTTTTTATAGTCAATTATTACCATAGTCTGGATTATCGAGGTTGCACTGCGTGTATGTCAAGTGCAGAGACTTAATTACCAAATTACAGTGGCAGCTGAAAACCTTTCAAATTGGCTTCTTGGGTAAGTTGGAGAGAAACACTTAAATATGCATGTTAATCTCATTGCATTAAACCTTGATAGAGCATATTCTATTTACTGTACTGTACTTGCACTGTTGACAGCCTGTCTTATAGATACTGATGCAAACATTAACCTGCTTATAGTCTAATCTTGAGAGCATTGCACTTACTATACATTATAGGCTCCGGAGTATTTCATATACAGAGGATACAGAGGTAACAGATGCCACAGTTGTTTTGATAAGAATATTTTACATTTCCCCGATTAGTCAGACTGTCGTTGATTTACATACATTGTTGTCGTAATTTCTCTGGAATTGTCATGCTTCATGCATCCTTTGGTTTGTATTCTTTATATTCAGTAATTGTCTACAATACTGACACTATATACATTCAGTATACTGTATACCTAATTTATTATGGCAGTCCAGAATGGATTCAGAATATTATAGCAAATGTTTTGAGAATTTCACATTGATGTAGGTCTAGATTTTGCTGAAAATTCTAGAAAATAATATGAACTGAGAAGCTTTTACATTGTTATCTTATTCCAACTCTGAATAAAATTAAATAGTATGAAATATGTATTGATTAAAGAAATGCTTAGTGGTGTAGATACCAGAAGATTCCTTACATACCACCATATTGTTAACTTGAAAAATGTGGCGTAGCGGAGGAAGATTAAAAATTTGCTTTCATGTAGCATCTTTGTTTCCTTTGAAATAATTGAATAGATAGTGCTCTTAAATAGTTGACGAGAACCAGTCTACTGTGGCTCATGCAGAAGCATTTTGCTAAATTCTAGTTGACCATTAATTAATTTGGAGATGCTTATGTATGCTAAACTCAAAATATATTAGTGAATAATATATTATCCATGAGTAAACCATCTGTTAACTAAACACATCATCAGGGCTACAAATAATGTATTATGTAAATGACTTAAAAATATCTTTGTCACACAGGTATTTCATACTTTGCATGCAGGAGTGGGTTAATGGGCTAACTGATCCAACTTGGTAAGGATGATCTCATCAAGACTTTTAAAATACTGAACAAAGTTGTAGGATATTAATCCAGACCACTTATTTAAAACATCAAGTGTAATACATACCCAGTAGTATGTATTACACTTGTTGTTTTAGAAGGATCCCAGTACAGTAATACAGTCGGGTTCGTTCCCGATGCACAACCGAGAATTCCAGGTTCGAATCCTGGGTGGGACGGATATGGATGGGCACATTTCCTTTCACCTAGCAGTGAGTAGGTATTCAGGAGTTATTCAGCTTTTTGTGGGGTTGCATCCTGGGCAGTCAGTAAATTGGCCTTGGGGGCGGGGGAACCTTGGTATAGGTCTACCATGTATGAATACACTCTGGCTTCCTGTCCCCTACACAATAAATTATTATTATACAAGGGGTAGCAGCAGTTTCAAGCTCAACAAGCTGCAATGTAGGACAGAAAACAGATGTTTTTCACCCCATAGGGTTATGAACCCATGGAATTGCCTCCCCTCCAAAGCCATAAATGCCAAGATATTACTTCAGTTCAAAATCCAACCGGAAAAAATTCCTCAGGAACGATGTGGGGACCATTAACAAGCTGCCGGTTCCGTCCCCATCAAGGCCACTATAGATAGTGGCCCTCTGGTAAATTCAGGTAAAGTACACTGCATATAATAATTCCTGTATATCTGACCATGAAAAGAGAACATTATATTCAACAAAGAAAGCATTTATATTTAAGTTTCAAGTACTTGCAAGTACAGTACCTATATTTGATAGTTCTGGTAATATTGTGATAATAGATTCCTGTACATACAGTATATTAAAATTTCTCTCAATGTGCAGTAAAAGTAGTTACTATATTCTCATAAATTGTGAAATTCAACACTGGTACATATTCTTGGCAATATTACATATAACAAGCTGGTACATCGTTTCATAGAAGACACAATCTAGTTTACATGATGACTTACTAGATGCAAATTTTTCAATGCTGTCTCTTGTATCAGTGTTAGCCAACACATCATGTTCAATTTAATACACAATCATGAAGGCATTCCATGGCCTTCAGGCTATGAAGACAAACAGCCTCTCAGACCAGGCAATCACCAGAGAAGGCTGGCTGCAGGTAAGGTTGCACAAGTAGAACTCTTGAAATTATCAATGGGTAATCAAATATTGTTGACTGAAGTTGATTGTTTAACGCCCTTGATTGCTACATAGCCTTCCCGGCTTGGTTCCTTCTTTTGATAATTACTTACTTACTTAACTTCCTTGAGTACAGAAAACAATCATACTCTGGTGTAGTTTATACTCAAGAAGAGATACATACATACACTATATCCAAAGATAATTTGATGCATTAGGAAATTTTATGCAGCACAGTCGATAGTCATAGTAGTCACTATCTGTGCATTTGAAGTTTCCCTATTGCTGTATCCTGGTCATGATAATTTCAGATGGTTAACTACCATACTCAAAACTTCATAAGCTTATAAGTGAAAGATTGTTCAAAGTCATCTGGATAGTTTTGTTGAGAAACATTGCAGCTTTGCGAAGCTTCTCTGTATCAGTAGTTCTGTCCAGTTAGTTGGGTCTATATATTATTACCTAATTATTTTAATGTCTCTGATTGATTTTTTCTTAATTTTTTGAAGTAATATTATCCAATAGTGTGTAGTGTGATATATTCATATAATAAAATGTGTGAATCATCGCTGTACTTAAAATTATGGTGTGCATATTAGTGATTCAATTATGTTCGTAAAATAATAACACAATAGTTTTTGCTGTAATTACACTATACTATTACACCGGTTATATATAAGTATGTGCATGTTTTCTTCACCATAACGAACCACTAAGTTGGTATGGCGAGTCAAAACAACGAGGAGTGGCCGCCACACACCAGCCAGCCAATGCCACCTCCCTGCCTTCAACAACAGCTCACTTGTCAACATTCCTCTTCCCACCATACTGTCTTTGCTTTTATTCACTATATACAGATGTTATATATAAGTATCTCCATGTTTTGTTTACCATAACTACAACTAAGGTGGTATAGTGAGTTCAGACAATAACAAAGTTTGCCTCGCAGAGTCAGCCGATGCTTCCCTCCCTCTCTCACTCATTCAAGGCCAGATGCACTAACATTCTTCCTCCATCCATACTGTTTGTGGTGTTATTACACAATATACATACGTTATATATAAGTATCTACATGTTTTATTCCACCATAACTATACAGCTAAACTGGTATGGTCTCCAAACATAGTGGCCATAACAAAATTGCATGACAAGAGAGACAGCAGCCAGCAGACAATGCTACTTCCGTCACCAAACTAGCTCCTCCCAACATACTCCTTTTGCTGTTATTTCACTATATATTATATGTAAGTATCTACATTTGTGTTCACCATAGCGAACCACTAAGCTAGTATGGTGAGTGCAGACAATAACAGGTGGTCACAGTCAGACGACGCTACCGCCCTCGGCATTACTTCTCCCACCATACTATGCGCAGCGCTAATTATCACAACAATTCTACTATTATCAGAATCCTGGTCATTTTTATCAGTCAGGAGTCTTCTGTAGTACTGTACTATCATGGCTAAATAATACCAGTTACATACATTTTTTACATTTTTAGGCAATGCTGTGGTCACAAGCTGAACAGCAATGACGTTAGCTCATGCTGTGTACGCCAGCCTTCGATGCTCACTCAGTAATGAGGCTCTCACACCCGCGAATGTTGCCCACGATTTTTTTTAATGGTGTCTGTTTACAAGAGCCCTGAGGAAGCTCATGTGAACCCTGTGTAGCCGCGGGACTTTTAAAACTTGCTTGGTACTCCAACACATCAATAGCTGTGGTGCACAAATCCGCAACAGTTACTCACCACAGCTATTTGTGTGTTGCGCAGTTTAAGAGTTAAACCTGCCATTATTTTCTGTTTACAGTACAATATTATAATTTTGTACATTAAATTATTTGTATAATTTTCTCAAAGCTGCACATGGGAGGAAACCTCAAAATAAATGCTGCAGTGGAAAGGTTAACACAAAGTATTTTGGTAAGTGTTTGAGTTCTTGTTGTGTTCTTCTTTTCACATATGACTTGATAATGGTCCAAGATGGACAGAAATGTAGTCGTCTCTCTTATATTCTAGAGTATGGTTTAGTCATCATATCTTCAGCCACGTTATTGTGACCCATAGTCATCTTTGGTAGATCTTTTTGGATCTTATTACTTAAATATATCGTGCAGGTATTTAAAAAACTACAGTACTTCACTATAGACTTTACATTTAACAAGTAGAAAAAGAGAATTGAAGTACAGTAACAGGAATATATTAACATACTTTTTTATATACAGAGTTTTAATTTCTATTTAGATTTTCAAACTGTGTATCATAGTGCAAAATAGTTATTGATTATAAAATTCAGAGAGTTACCTATGCAAGTAAAAAAAATCCTTTTATAAACAAGCATTACAAATGGTTATATAAAGTGATTTACAACATACACCAATACAAATAAATCAACAAATTATTGAGTTGAACAGTTGTATGATTAACACGGAACATCCAGTAGCATGATTGATTAGCACTATGCCTATTACCAGATGCACACTGGACACAAGATTTAAACCTAGAAAGTTTTATACACTAACAACTTAATAAATTCCAACCAAATACTGCCAGAATATCTTTCCACAAGATTTTTATTCATTAAGGAGAAAATATAAAATATGACTAACCAACATCCGATCAATAATGAATCTCAAAACCTGGCCTTTTAAAGGCAATACAGAACAAGAAATATTGACCTTGTCATTATAGCTGTTGAATAAATGGAGCACATTAAAAAAAAGAGCCATTCACCTGCACAGATAAAACCCTGTGGTTAGGGTATGAAGGCCTGACTAATAATACTCGGAACTGCTTAGGCAGCAAACCTTTTCCACCAAACTTTGTTGCAACCTGTGAGTTTACTGGAATATCAAGGTAACTGTATAACACGCAAGAGGCTTGACAGCAGAGGGGACAGCGTTCGGGATTCGTAGTCCCGAGGTTCCGGGTTCAATTTCCGATGGCGGTGAGAAAATATAGGCAGAGTTTCTTTCACCCTGCTGCACCTGTTCACCTAGCAGAGGTACCTGGGAGTTAGACAGCTGCTACAAGCTGCTTCCTGGGGATGTGTAACAAAAAGGAGGCCTGGTCGAGGACAGAGCCGCGGGGACACTAAGGCCCGAAATCATCTCAAAATAAGATGGCTAACTTTGGCACAATAAGCCAATTAAGTTCGTATTTCTAGCCATAAATTCTGTGTAATAATATACCTGTATTGTACTTAAAATCAAAGTAATTTTGTTAATTTGTAAACAAACATAAGGTGCAAATCATAATAAAAGTTTCTCATTAGGGATCCCCAAGATAACTATCAACCTATGCAGTACACAAAGGCATTGATAACGAAACTCACTCTCTTGGACAATCAACTTCGGCTAACTAGCTAGCTGTCTTACCATCTTGGATCTAAATGAGTTTTAGCACTTGGTGATGCATGTCTTGCCTGTTAGCCACTATATTTTCCTACTTTTCACTCTTATCCTTACCAACCTAATGAATTGACTCCAGTATGCTTAAAAATATATTGTACACAACATATCACAAAATAAAAAAAAAAACATAAAACTAATTGCATAAAAATTATTTGGAAATTGGTACGAGGGTTTGAAGGAAGCACAACTGCCGATCTGATTCTGCCGCCATGCACCAGCAGCATTTATTGGAATCAAGAGCCTTTTACAAGAGTCGGAAGGTCTAGTGGATCATTACACGATTTGAAAAGAATTTTCTAGTTATGTAGACTCGGATCACTTATTGCATTCTGGGTTCGTTTTTCTTGAGTCCACCACTATTGCAGCTAAAGGGTTAAATAGCTTTTCTTGTGAAATTGTATACCTATGCGTATTACCTATGCTCTTATTTACACCCAGCCAAACTCTCCGATATATTTGTATAGTTTTGCTTGAAACAATTTAGTGATCCCACTTCTATTATTTTGCCCAGTAATTTGTTCCATATATCAACAACCCTACAATATTCCCAAACCAATGTTTTCCTACCGGTAGGTATTTCCTGTATCTAAACTTATCCAATTCTAATCCACTGTTCAACGAATCTCTTTAGTTTTATACTTCTTTTTTTCTTATTGTTTAGGTTATAATTATGAATTTTGTCAAAACTTTAAAAAAATGAATGCTCTGGTGTACTGATGCATAAATACTGGTGTATGTATTATAGCTTATGCTTGGCAACTGACTATACAAAAGTTAAACATTTCAACATTTATTTTATTTATGATGAATAATAAATGAGTAAAGAAACATAGAAGTGTGCACACATGATTGATCTATATAGTTGCAAAGAGAAAACATTACTGTGCTTACATTCTTTTTCTAAAGGTAATTTACAAAGCGATAAGAAACTACATCTAGGCCCTGCGATTATTGTCTGCCCGAGACGCTGTATAGTCATAGAGTATTCTTTTCTGGGGAACCCCTTGTGGCTCCCTGAGGTTATCTCGCTGAGATCACTCCCAACACACCAGCAGTGGTCTGTTTTGGTTCGTTATCTTTCCTGGATGCTTTTCCAGTGAGATTGGCAGAGTGTCACCTGCTCTGTACCTCTATGAGGGGGCCAGGTTCTGGCTCTGCTCCCCAGTAGGCCAAACACAACTCTGCAGCTGTTGTAACCTAGTAGTTGGGAGGCATCTCTCACGGAGCTATTGGGGCTCACCCAGAAAGGCATTGTATTACATTCAATGCAGGGTTTTATATGTTTTTAAATTATATTTTGGGATATAACTATAGATTTTGTATCAAAATGTTCTTGGAGTATAGATGCATTATATTTAAATGAAGCAATAGATCGGTTTGTAAAGAAACTAAAGCACAAAATAATATTGCCTTTTTATGTTCATCTGGTAAATGCGAGATATTAAGTGACATTCTACATAAGACAGGAACTGAGGGACATGCAACCCCACTGTAATTGTAAAAGTACCGAGGCAGTGACATTACAGTATTAAAATAATTATAAAAATTAATTATTGAGTAGACTTCCAGAGCAGCTCATGATGAATTGACAATTATCGATTCAAATTACAACCATTTTATGGCAATAGGCATTCAGATAATGGCAAAAAAAAATTGGCATTTGATCAGTCTCAGCAACAATGCAGGTTGCACAAATGTATTCCATAATTTAGATGTTAAAGATTAACCACATAAGAGATGTTGCACTTGTGAAAGCTTTTCCCCTCAATTTTAAATTATACAAGTTAATCAATCATTCTCATGGACCATCATCCATATAACTGTAACCGTCACAATGACCTCGGGCATAGTAAAGGTACAGTACTGTATAAATAATAATGATTAGAATTCAACAACACCATAACTAAGAATACTTAAATACTGTAATTATCAAACCAGCACACAAGACACTTGAAAATGACACAGGATGAAGACCCTCTCCAACATCTTCAATGTCATTGTCATTGATATTATGTATATGAGGCAACAAATATGGATATTGAGAGAACAGAAACCTGTTCTCTCACTTAATACAAGACAATTTTCATGTTATTGACCCCAGTGTGAAAATGACAGTGGTTGAGTGAAATTTACTCTTTCTCATACTAATGAGTATTGGAAGTGTGTTGTGTTAATAGGTCAAGTGACTTGACTAGGTTCTTACACTTCTACTTAGGCAAAAACCACTTAATATTTTACGGTTGACACATTGCAAGAATGTGCTGAATGATATACTGTACATGTATATGCAGTATATACATATGATGTTTCTCAAACTTATAATTGTTAGAAGACCTAAAATTAATGCACAAAACCTGTGCTGAAAATCTTTAAATGTTTGACTATCACAGTCTGATTATCACATATAGTATTATATATAAATCAATTATGTAAAAACTAGCATGATACAAATGAGGGGTGTAGTTTAAAAAAAGACTATTTACATGACAGCACCACCTAACAAAGAAAAAACTACTAAATTATCTCCTCCAAATTATTTCAGATTTTAAACTGTGTGTCAATGAAAAGATATATACAACATATAATACAGTGACATAACAACATTAAACTTTGACAGCTGGCATGAACTTTAACAATACAGTATACAACTTACCCAAATACATAACTTGGACAAGAGTATGTATTTAAAGACATGCATAAACACACTAGCCTGATATGTTGCTACAGTATATCAAGTAAGTTGTGGTTTTAGCAGAGCCACAAAGCTACTTGCCCTCTTTGTAATCAAAATTAATGAAGTCCAGATAAAAAGATGGACATGACAGATTTTAGGACAAATATCTTAATGAAGCTGGACCACCTTAAGTATACCAGGTACAAAGATTGTTTACTCCCACACAAACCCATATTTTCAAGTTGATTAAACATAATTTAATTTGCCACGAAGGTTGTAGCAACATGCTTAATCAATATAAACATGTGTTAGCAATCACATGCTGCCAGTTTTGTTTAGCCAACAGGCTTAACACTATAGATTGCTTTTCCTTTACTGTCTTCCGGCTCTTGATATTAATCGTGTACATCTAGTAAGAAGGGATCCTCGTTCACACAAGATTATGGAGCTTAAAGTTAATCAATATTTACAATTCTTGAGCCAAATTCTAAAGAAGTATTGTTGCATTTTCTTCACCAGGTAAACATTTATGAAGAAAATGTGCAAACTCCATTTTATATGATGAATAATCTTTCAAGATAAAAATAATTATACTCAAATATTAATCAGAATATTAACCATTGTTGATAGGTACCATATTTAAATGTTTTTTTGTTCATAGTTCCAAAACAATTCCACAGTCAGATATTATCACATCATGAATGTTGTTATGACTGACTGCCTTCTGTATGATGTCAAGACCAAATTCTACTTGACCAAACGCAGCTTCCTCAGTGTTCTTGGCATCTTTAGTGTAGATGCGGAAGATGGAACTTGGGTTTTTCTTTTCATATCGCCCAGCTACAAGACCAGCTGTGATGGAGACTGAACGACCTAATTCAGTTGTTTGTTCACTATCGAAGTCGCTGATGAGCGTTACAGCTCCACTGCCATCCCCATGATTAATATCACCACCCCATATGTGCTCACCTGGGTAGCCCTTCCACCAAACACGGTGAAAGTGGGTGTTGCAGAAGGAAGGTCCCATCTCCCCAGTACACAGCATCAGAAACTGACGACCTCGCACTGTATCACCCGTCATCCTTATGTAGATTCGGCCTTGAGGTGAACCATTCCAAGATAAGTCAAGGAATGCCAGTGATGAATTTTTATCCAGGCATGATTTGAAGCATTCCAACTGAAAAATAATTGAAATTGTTAAAGAATCTTGTGCCGAGAGCGAGATAGTGCTAAGGACTCTCTATGCTATAAATTGCTATAATTAGGTATATTGATAATCATAATGCAGGCTCATTTTTAGCAATCACGTTACCAGAAAGTGGGAAACTGGCTAATCAGGATATGATTGCAAAATTAAATATTTTTAAAGTACTGTATTTCAGTTCATAACAGTTTGAATTATCAAAATTCAATTTGAAGATACTCCACTGTGGTATTTCCCATATATAAAATGAGTGCCTACATACCAATACACTTGTATTCGAGATTATATGATCTTACCGGCAACTTTTGAGAACTTTCGACTGGTACACTGCTAGTTAGGCAATGCAAATGGATTCGTCCGCCTCGAACTGTTGGGACCGAAAACCTTGTGCTAGGTCCTTCGTGGATTGCAACTATTTCGTTAAGCTTCCCATCCTCTACTGTGAATCTCCTAATGGACTGGAGTGTAAACCTGATAAGAGCCTGAAAAGAAATATAATATTTTAACTATCATGTAAAAATTGTATAATCATTTGCCAGGTAATGAGACTTTAATGGACCTAGGAAATGTACTGTGTAGCCATTTTATACCTCAAAACTAAATTTAAGGTATGATATAGAGTAAATCAGTTAGTTCACCACTTGATATGGAAATATTGGAAGCCCTTTTAAAAATATATGCAGATAGGATATAAGATGCTCAGCATTCAGGAATGCGAAGAGGAAATATTTGATCACATAATACAGTGAGATTATTTTTGTTCTATGCCCTGATGGGTACAAGCGGATTGTTGTCAATGCCTATGTCAACCGCGTCCCCCCCACAGTTCCAATTTCAAGCAGGTTGACGAGGAACTCGGTTAAGTAAGGCAGGTCCTATCAATAATGGATATGTTGAGGAAATCATCTAAAGCAAGGTGAGCTACTATGTGACCTCAGATATAACACAACAATACATTATTTGTCCTTACTACTACAATATTCTACCCCCTCCGTGGTGCCTCCTTGCTGTGGTGAGGGGCTCACGTACACCTCCCTGGGACTGGTGTGGGTTGCCTGTGCCCCCTCTTTGGGTAGTGTACGTGCTGAAGGGCACCATGTAGGGGCCTTGTGAGCCATCGGACCACCCGCTGGAGGGGTCGCCTGTGAGAGTTGGGTTGGGTGGGTGGGTGGGTGAGTGGTTGGGTGTCCAGGCTAGGGCGATAGGGGGACTGGGGTCTTAGCACCAGTGTGGGAGAATGAACGAAGTAGTAGGACTCCCCTGTTGAAAAGGGGGAGCACCGCTGGGGACGACACGCCCTTCCTGCACTGGCCCGCGCTCGGCCTCCCTGGCTGCCCTGGTAGGTGGTATCCCTTGGTTCCGGGTCCCATCCCTTGTATATTGGTTTTCTATATGGATGACGACTTGACTACTCCTAACCATTCTCATGGGGTGGGCAACCAGGCCCCTGAGTCGAACCGTCCTGGAAGACCGGGATCTGTAGCCTCCGCTACAGAGCCCGGTTTAGGCCCAGACTGGACTCTTCCTCCCTGCTCCCCTCCCTCCTCTGTGGTTGGGTCGAGCCCCAAGCCTGCTGTGGTGACCGTCTCGTCCCCTTGCACGGCTCCATCTCTTCTTGTGACAACTGCACCTTTCGACCCGTCTCTCTCTACGGGTTCTCATCGCCGTACCCGCCACGGCCGCTCTCGTATGCTCCCTTCCCATCCTACTTCGCTCCATGCGTTGTTTGGTCCTGCTACATGGACTAAGTACTTTGACCTCCAACCTTTGGACTCAACTCCTCCTGACGATATTTCCCTTCATAGGCATCTTGTCGATTCCGTGGATGCCTCTGTCACCTTCAACCCCACTCGTCTTCGTACCCGTGTCGTTGCTGCTCCTTCTAAGGATGCAGCCACTCGCTTGGCCGCCTTATCCTGCCTTGGCGAAACCCCTGTTCAGGTCTCGAAGAACGCTCGGTTGAATGCCAGTGTGGGCACTGTTCTCCTCCCGCACCATGTTGCGACTGGTGTTAGGGATCTCAGGGACTGCCACAAGGATACCAAGCATGTCCTCGAGGCCCAGGGTCATTCTGTCCTCCAGGTGGATACATTTACTCGTCCCCCTCGTGGTCATCGCCATCTGCCTCTTCGGATTGTGAAGGTTACCTTTGATGGTAGGACCCTTCCATCCTCTGTCATTCTTGCTGGTGCCAGGTGCTCCGTTCAGGAGTATATTCCATCTCCTCGGCCCTGCAGTAAGTGCTGGAAGTTTGGGCATGGTACCCTCAAATGCTCTAGTCCTGTCTCTCTCTGTCCCGTGTGTGGAAGCGAGGGTCACTTTAAGTTGGAGTGCACTTCTCCCCAGGCCCGCTGCCTCAATTGCGGTGAGGCCCACCCTACCTTCTCCCGTGCGTGTATTTGTTACAAACTTGAGGCAGCTGTCCTCAACTTGAAGCACCGGGACCGTTTGTCTTTTCCTGAGGCTTGGTGCCATCGTCTCCCCTCTTTCGCCGGTGTCTCCTATGCTTCGCGTGGTGCGCTCTTCCTCTCCTTGTCCTTCCCGCCTTCCTCAGTCTCACAACTGTTTCCAAGCCTTAGACCCGGACACGCCCACCACCACCTCCCGTTTCCCTCCGTTCTGTCCCGAAGGGTCCCCCTCCTGGTTCTCTGTCTAGGGCTCCCCTTCTTTCTACCCAGTCTGTCACGTCCCCTGTGTCTTCTATTTCCTCTCCTTCTAGTCCTCGTTCCCGTCCTTGTCCTCCGTCTCTTGGCTCTCCACGCCGCCTGACTGTGCGGGCCGACGTCCATCGCTCTCCTGATGGTTGTGTTGTTCACTCTCGCTCTTCTTTTCCTATCGAGACACTGGAGTCTGTTGCCCAGTACGTTGCTGCTGGGACGCCTGTATCTTTGAGTCAGAAGCAGAAACCTGGCTCCTCTCCTTCCTCCTCCCCAGTCGGTAAGAAAGCTTCACTTTCTTCTTCACCCCTATCTCTATATTCTATCATTCCTTCCCCTCCCGCTTCGGTAGTGGTGCCCCCTGTTCCTACTGTGGGGGTTTCTTTAGCCCCTGGTTCCATCTCGGTTACTGCCCTTGCTGAGGTGCGCTCCCCTCCTCCTGCCCCCCCCCTCCTCCCCTTCCTTCTCCTCCAGACCCTGCTCGTCCACCTCTGGTCCGTCCTCCCGCTTCTTGCCCTCCTTCTTTACTCAGTTTACCCATGCCCCCTAACCCTGACTTCACTGACCCTGATCCTGACTCTGTGCTTTTTTAGCATGCTGTGTTCCTTCTTCACCTTTGTTTCTTCTTTGCTCTCTGTTGCTCTCCTCTCTCTCTTTGCTGATGTCTTTTCTCCAGTGGAACATCTGTGGATTTTACGCCAATTTCCTTGACCTCCAACTTTTCGTTTCACAGTTTTCGCCCCTTTGTGTCTGACTCCAGGAGCCGATGCTTGGTTCTCATCCTGGTCGCTTCCGTGGCTATTCTTTTCTCTCCCCATAATTCTTCTGCTCTCTTGATTCGTTCCGATGTTCCCTTTGTCCCCTTACTTTTTTCCTCGCCTCTCCACTGTTCTGCCGCCCGTATCTTTGTACGTAGATGGTACACGGTTTGTTCCATTTATCTCCCCCCCACTGTCCCACTTTCTCTTCCCGATCTTAAACACCTCCTAGACTCCTTGCTGGAGCCTGTGCTCCTGCTGGGTGATTTCAATTGTCATCATGCCCTTTGGGGTGATGTGCTGACAAACACCTGGGGTCGCCTTCTTGAACCTTTCATCCTCTCTTCTTCCCTGTCCCTTCTTAATTCTGGTGAGCCCACTCATTTGGACTCTCGGACTCGCTCCCTTTCTTGTCTCGATCTTTCTCTGTGCTCGTCATCCCTTTCCTTAGATTTCGGGTGGCGAGTCCTTGATGACCTCCATGGCAGTGACCATTTTCCTATCCTTGTCACTTTTTTCTCCTTTCGCCCTCCTCTCTCCTTCCCTAGATGGCGGTTTGCCGAGGCTGACTGGCACCTCTTTACTCTCCGTGCTACTATTTCCGACCTCTCCGTTTTACCTCTCCCTCGCGCCCTCCTTCTTTTTCATGACACTGTCTTTGACGCTGCCCTCCACTCTATTCCTCGCTCTTCCTCTCGGGGAACGCGGAAGTGCGTTCCTTGGTGGAGTTTGGACCGTGCTCGGGCTGTCCGCTGTAAGCGTGCAGCCTAGAAGAGACATCGCCGCCGGCAGACGGTCGAGTATTTTCTTTTGTTTCGGAAGGCGAGTGCGGTGGCCCGTAGGACCATCCATGCAGCTAAACGTGCTTGCTGGGCGTCTTATGTCTCCACCGTTACGTCCGAAACTCCTCTTCCACTGGTCTGGAAGTGTATCCGCAAGATTGCGGGTAAGTTCGTTCCCGATGTCTCACCGGTCCTTCACCTCCATGGTGCTCTTGTGGTGGACCCGTTGCAGGTTGCGACCGAACTGGGTTCCCATTTCTCCTCTGTTAGTTCTGGTTCTCATCTCCCCCAATCCTTCCTTCTTCGTAAGCCTCTCCTTGAATCTCGTCCTTTAAATTTCTGTACTTATCTTCACCTTCCCTATAATGATCCCTTCTCTCTCTCTGAACTTCAATCTGCCCTAGCCCTTTGTGGTTCTACGGCAGCGGGCTCCGATGGCGTTCATTATGAAATGCTTCGCCATCTCCCTCCGTGCACGTCTCAGTATTTACTGAGTCTGTACAATCGGGTCTGGGAGTCGACGTCAGTCCCTGAAGACTGGCTCGATGCTGTTGTCCTCCCTGTTCGGAAACCAGGGTCTCTCGGGTCATCCCCCAAGTACTTCCGCCCTATTGCCCTCACGAGTTGTGTCTGCAAGCTCTTTGAACGTATGGTCAACGTTCGTTTGATGTGGTTCTTAGAACACTATCACCACCTCTCCCCTTCTCAATTTGGTTTTCGCAAGTGCCGCAGCACAACAGATGTCCTGGTGAACTTGAAGGTCTATATTCGTACTGCTTTTGCTGCGAAGACCTCCGTTGTTGCCGTCCTTTTTGACCTGGAAAAGGCTTACGACACTACCTGGCAGTATCATATTCTGTCTCAACTTCATTCTTTTGGCCTTCGTAGGAACCTCCCTCTCTTCCTCCGGAGCTTCCTCTCTTGTCGTTCCTTTCGTGTGCAGCTTGGTACTGCTCTCTCTGCCCCTTTTCAGCAGTATAAGGGTGTACATCAGGGTAGTGTTCTGAGCACTACTCTTTTTCTAGTTGCCCTCAACGGTCTTCTTTCCTCTCTTCCTTCTGGCGTCTTCTCTGCTCTCTATGTTGATGATCTTACCCTTTGCTGTCGGGGTGATGATTCCCCTCTCCTTCAACGGCGGCTTCAACTTGCGATTGATGCCGTGTCGTCTTGGGCCACCGATCATGGCTTCAAGTTCTCTGCGTCTAAGACTTATGCTATGACTTTTACTTGGAAGCATGTTGTTCTTCGTCCCTCTTTGTCGCTTTATGGTCATCCCATTGTGTACAGGGATTCTGCGAAGCTTTTGGGGTTAGTCTTTGACACTCGTTTGTCTTGGTCAGCCCATACCTCTTACCTCCGAGTTGAATGCTCTAAGGCCCTTAACCTCCTTAAGGTTTTGTCCCATACTTCTTGAGGAGCGGATAGGCGCACGCTCCTCTATTTGCACTCCTCTCTCGTCCTGTCTAAACTCGATTATGGTTGCCCTGCATACTCTTCTGCTTCTTCTACTCTTCGCCGTCTTGATGATTTGCACCATACTGGGTTGCGTCTCAGCTCTGGTGCCTTTCGTTCGACTCCCGCCCTTAGTTTGTATGTTGACACTGGCTTTCTCTCTCTTCAGGACCGCCGTGATCGCTACTGTCTTCGCTATCTTGCGCGGTCCTTCCAACATCCTTCCTCTCGCCTCTGTCGTGCATTGACTTTTCCTCCTCCTGTGGTTCCTGTTCCTCTTCATTGTCTCCCACTTTCTGTCCGGTTATCTCGCTTACAGGATTCTCTTTCTGTTCATATTTCTAATGTTTCTCCTCGTATTGTTCCTTCCTTACCTCCGTGGAGAGTCCCCCTACCCAAGTTTTGTACGTCCTTGACTTGTATTACTAAAGCCTTTACCCCTCCTACAATTCTGAAAAGCCTCTTCCCTGAACACTTTTCTTCGCACTCCCACTCTATTTCCATTTTCACCGATGGGTCTAAGTCTGCGGACGGTGTGGGCTACTCTGTTGTTTTTCCTGACCGTACTTATGTGTCGCCTCCCTTCGGAGGCTAGCGTCTTTACGGCATAACTTTATGCTATTCTCTATGCTCTTCGTCTCTTGCTTTCTCATTCTCATTCCTCCTTTGTGGTTGTTGTTGACTCTCGTAGTGCCCTCATGGCTCTAGGGTCCTTTAATCCTGTCCATCCGGTGGTCATCGAGATTCAACATTGGCTGTTTCTTATTTCTAGTAAATTTAAATCAGCAGAGTTTTGCTGGGTTCCCAGCCATATTGGTGTTTCTTTCAATGAGCGTGCGGATGCTGCCGCTAAGGAAGCTATCCATTCTTGTCCCATCTCCCATAAAGGTATTCCTTATTCCGACTTTTATCCTGTTATTCATTCTTCCATTCTTGCCTGTTGGCAGGGTTGTTGGTCCTCTGTGGTTGGTAACAAGCTGCGTAGTCTCAAACGTAGTGTGTCCCTGTGGCCTTCCTCCTGCCACTGTAACCGGCGGTGGGAAACTGCTTTGGCACGGCTGCGGGTTGGTCATACTCGCTTAACCCACGGTCACTTAATGGAGCGCCGCCCTGCTCCTTATTGTCCGAATTGCGTTGTCCCTCTTACAGTTGTGCATATCCTTGTTGAATGTCCTGACTTCCAGGATGAGTGTGTGTCTTGCTTTCCGACCGTCCTTCGCGGTCACTTGTCCCTCGATAGAATTCTAGGTGAATCGGATACTTTTGATATCGTTCGCCTTATGCGTTTTTGTTCTCGTATTGACATTCTTGGTGATACTTAGCGCCCTCTGATTATTTCGCACTTTGATGGTGCTACATAGCCTTCCTGGTTTGGTGCCTTTTTTTTTATAATTACCTTACCTTACAATATTCTACAGGAACGAAAACATCTCTTAGCATCAGGCCAAATAAAAGTACGAAAATAAACTTTGGAGAGTTAACTTTTCAACTTCCTTCTCAAGTGAAGAAAAATGTAAGGAAAATAGAGAAGATTTGCATTTGAATCATTGATCTCACCCTTCCAGTCACATTCAATTAAAAAAATAAAGTGACCATTGGCAACTAAGCCAAACAATCTACATTCAAATATAAGCCATTACATTTAAATTAAAATTTGCTTCTGTGGGTAACATTTTATATTAATAAACAAGTTGAACTACGAAGTTCAACTTCCATACATGCAATGAATTTAACAAGCTTAACTTTACATCCTTTATAATTATTTTTGTTTAAATTATAGAACATTTTATATGTAGAAAGAGTTCAAAACTTCTGTATTCTGCATAGCACTTCTACTTACCTTTGTCATATTTTTAGCTTCATTACTGCTGTCTCTAGATGCCACACGAGATATCCACTCCTGTGATGCAGCACAACAAGCTTCAACATCCTTGAAACCTGCTAATGACTCTGGAAGATTTTTGCATTCTGGTAATTTAACTACTGAATCTTTTATACTCCTTTCCTTTTGAATGCCTTCTTGTAAATCCTCCTTGAGATTTTTGTGCTCCCTCTCAATACATTCAAGTGCTGCACGCATAGATAAAAGAAACACATCTAAGTCATCACAGGAGTTTTTAAGTTCTTTTGTTGCTGTATTGAGAGTGCTACAAGTTGCACTTGCAGAATTTTCATGCTGTTGTTTCATTTGTGTTAAGGTATCTCTGAGTGGGATCAGAACACAGCCTTTTCTTTCATTATGGTCAATTTGTCCACACTTATCACAAACCCACTGCTGACAGTTAGCACAGTGAAATGATGGGCGTGCTCTAAATTCTAGACATTGACTATTATGTGGTGATGCAGTGTGCATTTCACTTCTGGAACCATTTTGAGGGAGGACTGGCTTACATTGCTTTCGTTCACTTTCTACTGTCACTGGTGAACCTTGAGCATGTTCTGGTGTTGCACGATAACTTTTTTCTCCCGTGAAACTTTGTTTAGTAACACATTTTTGATTTCCAGAACCATCATTTTTACCAATAGTTACAATAGGCTTAGCACTTTGTTCTTGGAGGCCCTTCAGGATGGAATGGTTATACGGAAGTTTGTCAATATCATGCACATACCAAGTTTGCCTATTGCAAAAAGGGCAAACAATTGTTTTATAGGTATTTATTAATAGTGTTTGAGCACATTCTGAACATATTGAATGACGACAATGCAGTATTCTTGGTTTCTTGTTAGAACAATTGTAGTTTTCATTACAATTATCACAACACAACTTTCTGAAATAAAAGATGAAAATTAAGAGTTTGCAAAATATGAGTGTGTAAATAACTAAAGTTGTTTTGTATTCAAGTTATGTGCAAGGTGAACCAGTGTAAATTTAGTAAAATAGTCCAGCATTCAATTTATATCCAACATAAAATTTGCATTCCAGCAAAATCACGTATAGGTGAAATTACAAAATTGTATCGAACTTAAAGCTACACTGCATGGGCAAATCAGATACATAATATATCCCTCCCAAATTGCAATCCACTTTTACCATTTCAGTAAAATGCTTCTCTGAACATTAAAGAGTATTACTAAGCCTTCCTATCACCTTCCACCCACAAATGCACAAGTCTTTGCATTACACAAAATGTTGTTTCATGGATATGTTATACAAGAGTTGTTACATTCATGTACAGCCACTAGTACGCGTAGCGTTTCGGGCAGGTCCCTGGAATACGATCCCCTGCCGCGAAGAATCGTTTTTTCATCCAAGTACACATTTTACTGTTGCGTTAAACAGAGGCTACAGTTAAGGAATTGCGCCCAGTAAATCCTCCCCGGCCAGGATACGAACCTATGACATAGCGCTCGCGGAACGCCAGGCGAGTGTCTTACCACTACACCACGGAGACTGTAAAATTGTTACGAATTTTCATTGTTACGAGTTTAGGATAAAGTCACTAGTCACTTGCATTATAAACAAAATGTAAGTACAGTACCTATAGTAAGGTAGATAAAATTAAAAACAAAAATGTTTTAAGAACTTTGAAATATTCAATACTGTATGAGCTCACTGATCTGAAGCCTACTGATCTGAGTACAGTATTTGGGTTATCTGGCAAAAATCAGGGCCAGCTATCTCTCTACCAAAACTTCATGATATCTGGATAGCAATTCAGATAACCAGAGATTTTGCCGGATACCGCAAACTAGTATATGGCCATACCATATCAATTCCATACAGTACAAGGTACCATATGGCTCGAGGCACAGGTTATGGGAGGTATTGGGGTGGGTGGTTTTGGGGTAGGGATTGTCGGGAGAGTCGGGAGGGACTGCCTGGGAACGAGGGGCCTGTGATCTGTATTATGAAGAATAACTAAGAATTATGTTAAAACAATTCATTACAGTAAAAACTAAAGAAACATTATCTAATATTATAACAAATACAAAGGTCTTATAAACTACATGTACAGACTGAAGTTTCCTGCTAAAATTTAGGGATTTTTTTCCACCCAGTGGTCTATGTAACGTGCTTGTTTGCCTCAAGTGCACCCGTCCAGGCCATGTGCTCTCAACCTTTGCATTATACCAGTGTCTCACCATTAGTGAAGTATTTTCTTAAAAACATTCTTTTTCATAGTAACTTTGGTCATTTTTTCCCAAGACTATGTCTGGTAACAGCAGCAATGGTCCTGGAGAGGTTAAGATGAAGAAGGTTGTGCTAACACCACAGGCAACCAAACAGTTTACTCATGTCTTCTGATGTCATGTTAATTAATTTATCATCCAACTGTGCTACTCCACAATTGGAAACATGTATCAGTATTTAAGGTGAATTAAAGAGCTGATCATAAAAGAGGCCAATGAACACAGGAGGCAAGCAAAACTTGATTTTTTATTTGGTAAAAAAGCAAATCGAGGCCCTTCAACCAGTGATGCCTCACCAGCAAGTCAAGAGCCTTTAACCAGTGATGCTTTAGCAGCTGGCAATCAAAACTGACCTTGCCGAGCTCATGTACTGTACAGTAATTTTAGTGTTTCTTGTACAGTAATTTTAGTGCTGAAGTTTCTGTTTTAAATTACAGTATTGTACACTACTGATATATTTTTTAATTATAGTGTGTGTGGCTAATCCAAATTATGTTGATTGTGGTAAACAAAATTGCGAATACGTTAATTTTTGGACTTCACCGATAAGAATTTTGCTTATCCGCATGTCTGGATTATTCGGCGTGAGTTCCTTCCCATATAGTTTGGACAAGTGAACTCATACAGTATATACTCAATACATGGTGAAATATGCAAGCTATCTTGAAATATTTTATAATTACATTTATTTATTTAGTTTATTTAATTATTCATATAGAATAATATACAATGGGTTGTTAAAGTACATATGTTGGTAGGTGAGCAGTACATTCTTGCAAAGCCACTATGTAGCATACATAATGTTTTAGGCAGGTCCTTAAGCTAGCAAATAAGCATAATTGTTAGGAGTAAGGCATGTTGTAGGATTAAGGTCACTTAGATTCATAATGTTAAATTCATTTGTCTATAAGGTATATAATGTTTATATTCATGGCACCTATATCAGGTGTGATGTCATCGTCTGTGTCAATAAATGCCATGTGGATCAGACATGCATTTTCTTTCTTGCCTAATTAAAACAGTAATGATAGGTACATTGTAACATAATTTGAATTCACATGATAATGACATCAGTGTAAAGAAATAAAATTATACTTATGAATTTACATTTCTACATTGTATTATACTGGGTGAGTGGGTAGCATAAGATATTGTGAGTTGATAACACAATGTGCGATACTATGTAGATCTTATTAGGTACTTCATAGTTCTACTTTTGAATAAAGGATAGGTTGAACAATTTTGTGATTCATTAGGGAGTGAATTCCATATCTAGGGCCCTTTTATTTGCACAGCATGTTCGCATAGATTTAGTCTGACTCAGGGAATATCAGAGTTATTATTTCTGGTATTTCTGGAACTCATGGGTTCTAATTGTTCTAATTATGTAATAAATTGCTTGAGATTCAATTATGTAAGTAAAGGGTAAAAGCCAGTAATCACAGAAAACTGGGTTTCAGGAAATATGGTTTCCCATAATCAAAGACAGAAAGCCTGTTTGGTTCATCGAAGTCGCCACTAGTCAAGGGCGAGACTCTCCATGAGGACATCCCACCAATTACTGGCAAAACCCAACAGTGTTTAACCAATTAATTGAGGCACCAATCATCCACTGTGCCATGCCAAATACATATTAAATAGTGTGCAGAGTTGAAGATGACAAATACTGTATAGAAAAAATAATTTATCAAAATATCCACCAGGAGAATACCTGATGATCAAATTTTAATAGGATGTTTCATTTTATAAATATACAGTGTATGTCAATTGAGCAAACTATATGGGATCACCCCTGACTCATTGGAGGCTTTAAGGACAAGAAAAATACATTGCTTCTGTTTCTTCTCATGCTGTGTCCATCTACAAAAACTAACAAAATGTGACTGGAGACATTTTAAGATCTACCATTCATACCCTAATTTCTCCCATGCTCTATGGGCTAATTTCAATGGGAGTAATTTTTTTTATTTCAACCAATAATATGATGAAGAACTACCACAATGGTCCATCTGTAATAAGATTTCATTACAACTTGCATACTGAAACTTCATTTTCAAAGGAAGAACGGCCCATATTTAAGTTAACAAAAATCCCAGCAATTCAAAATCAAAATAAAGCCCTAGAATTTGGTTTTAAATATGGCCAATGTCTTTCCCATGGCCCAAATTCTTTCTTCTAATGTTGTGTCTATAAAAAACATTAAAAATGGGATTAATGTCATATTAATTAAGAGTTATCAATACCTTAATATTTCCCATGATCTATGGGCTAATTTCCCACACTCTGTAGGCTAATTTATAAGAATTGTTATAATACTATAACAGACAACTACTGATATTTTTTAGCAATTACTGACAAGTCTAAATTAATGTGATGTCTATGCTAAAATATATATATATATATATATATATATATATATATATATATATATATATATATATATATATATATATATATATATATATATAATATAAATATATATATATATATATATATATATATATATATAATATAAATATATATATATAATATATATATATATATATATATATATATATATATATATATATATATATATATATATATATATATGTCGTACCTAGTAGCCAGAACTCACTTCTGAGCCTACTATGCAAGGCCCGATTTGCCTAATAAGCCAAGTTTTCATGAATTAATTGCTTTTCGACTACCTAACCTACCTAACCTAACCTAACCTAACTTTTTCGGCTACCTAACCTAACCTAACCTATAAAGATAGGTTAAGTTAGGTTAGGTAGGGTTGGTTAGGTTCAGTCATATATCTACGTTAATTTTAACTCCAATAAAAAAAAATTGACCTCTTACATAATGAAATGGGTTGCTTTATCATTTCATAAGAAAAAAATTAGAGAAAATATATTAATTCAGGAAAACTTGGCTTATTAGGCAAATCGGGCCTTGCATTGTAGGCTGAAAAGTGAGTTCTGGCTACTAGGTACGACATATATATATATATATATATATATATATAATATATATATATATATATATATATATATATATATATATATAAATATATATATTTATTTTATTTATTTATGCATATACAAGAATGTACATAAGGAATGTGAGGATACAATTATGGTAATTACAGTCTTGTAAAGCCACTAGCACGCGCAGCGTTTCGGGCAGGTCCTTAATCTAAGAAAATTTTAAGGAGGTAAATACTTGCAAAATTTATAGACAAAAAAATGATAACAGATTACATGGAATGAAAAAAAAAAGATGAGAGAAAATTATAGGTACAGTATATTAAAGCACATAGATAGCTATGATTGATTGCAATGACAGCTTTTTTATATATATATATATATATATATATATATTAGTATATTTTGGTAGCAGTCTTTCCTGTAGACATATTTTATTAAATATGACCGAAAAAGTAAGATTAATAATTCTAACACGAATTTTCTCAATCTTTCGTACATTATGCTTCACTGTTGGAGGTAAATCAAAAATCACTTCTCCAAAATTCATTTTTATTTCTAGTCTGACGCGACACGGGCGCGTTTCGTAAAACTTATTACATTTTCAAAGACTTCACAAATACACAACTGATTAGAACTTGCGTTTCCCTGATTTTATATCTACATTTGAGTGAGGTGGGAAGGGTGATGTGGCATTACATTTTGAGTAAGGTGGGAAGGATGATGTGGCATTAGAGGATATTAATAGGGTATTAAAAGTATCAACACAAGACAGAACACGAAACAATGGATATTGAATAGAAGTGTTTGTAGAAAGCCTATTGGTCCATATTTCTTGATGCTTCTATATTGGAGCGGAGTCTTGAGGTGGGTAGAATATAGTTGTGCAATAATTGGCTGTTGATTGCTGGTGTTGACTTCTTGATGTGTAGTGCCTCGCAAACGTCGAGCCGCCTGCTATCGCTGTATCTATCGATGATTTCTGTGTTGTTTACTAGGATTTCTCTGGCGATGGTTTGGTTATGGGAAGAGATTATATGTTCCTTAATGGAGCCCTGTTGTTTATGCATCGTTAAACGCCTAGAAAGAGATGTTGTTGTCTTGCCTATATACTGGGTTTTTTGGAGCTTACAGTCCCCAAGTGGGCATTTGAAGGCATAGACGACGTTAGTCTCTTTTAAAGCGTTCTGTTTCGTGTCTGGAGAGTTTCTCATGAGTAGGCTGGCCGTTTTTCTGGTTTTATAGTAAATCGTCAGTTGTATCCTCTGATTTTTGTCTGTAGGGATAACGTTTCTATTAACAATATCTTTCAGGACCCTTTCCTCTGTTTTATGAGCTGTGGAAAAGAAGTTCCTGTAAAATAGTCTAATAGGGGGTATAGGTGTTGTGTTAGTTGTCTCTTCGGAGGTTGCATGGCTTTTCACTTTCCTTCTTATGATGTCTTCGATGAAACCATTGGAGAAGCCGTTATTGACTAGAACCTGCCTTACCCTACAGAGTTCTTCGTCGACTTGCTTCCATTCTGAGCTGTGGCTGAGAGCACGGTCGACGTATGCGTTAACAACACTCCTCTTGTACCTGTCGGGGCAGTCGCTGTTGGCATTTAGGCACATTCCTATGTTTGTTTCCTTTGTGTAGACTGCAGTGTGGAAACCTCCACCCTTTTCCATGACTGTTACATCTAGAAAAGGCAGCTTCCCATCCTTTTCCGTCTCGTAAGTGAAACGCAGCACGGAACTCTGCTCAAATGCCTCCTTCAGCTCCTGCAGATGTCTGACATCAGGTACCTGTGTAAAAGTGTCGTCAACATACCTGCAGTATATGGCCGGTTTCAAGTTCATGTCGACTAAGACTTTTTGCTCGATGGTACCCATGTAGAAGTTTGCAAACAGGACACCTAGGGGAGAACCCATAGCGACCCCATCTACTTGCTTCTTGAGGCACCCTTCTTGAGCCCGGATGGGCATATGTATAAGCAAGTAGATGGGGTCGCTATGGGTTCTCCCCTAGGTGTCCTGTTTGCAAACTTCTACATGGGTACCATCGAGCAAAAAGTCTTAGTCGACATGAACTTGAAACCGGCCATATACTGCAGGTATGTTGACGACATTTTTACACAGGTACCTGATGTCAGACATCTGCAGGAGCTGAAGGAGGCATTTGAGCAGAGTTCCGTGCTGCGTTTCACTTACGAGACGGAAAAGGATGGGAAGCTGCCTTTTCTAGATGTAACAGTCATGGAAAAGGGCGGAGGTTTCCACACTGCAGTCTACACAAAGGAAACAAACATAGGAATGTGCCTAAATGCCAACAGCGACTGCCCCGACAGGTACAAGAGGAGTGTTGTTAACGCATACGTCGACCGTGCTCTCAGCCACAGCTCAGAATGGAAGCAAGTCGACGAAGAACTCTGTAGGGTAAGGCAGGTTCTAGTCAATAACGGCTTCTCCAATGGTTTCATCGAAGACATCATAAGAAGGAAAGTGAAAAGCCATGCAACCTCCGAAGAGACAACTAACACAACACCTATACCCCCTATTAGACTATTTTACAGGAACTTCTTTTCCACAGCTCATAAAACAGAGGAAAGGGTCCTGAAAGATATTGTTAATAGAAACGTTATCCCTACAGACAAAAATCAGAGGATACAACTGACGATTTACTATAAAACCAGAAAAACGGCCAGCCTACTCATGAGAAACTCTCCAGACACGAAACAGAACGCTTTAAAAGAGACTAACGTCGTCTATGCCTTCAAATGCCCACTTGGGGACTGTAAGCTCCAAAAAACCCAGTATATAGGCAAGACAACAACATCTCTTTCTAGGCGTTTAACGATGCATAAACAACAGGGCTCCATTAAGGAACATATAATCTCTTCCCATAACCAAACCATCGCCAGAGAAATCCTAGTAAACAACACAGAAATCATCGATAGATACAGCGATAGCAGGCGGCTCGACGTTTGCGAGGCACTACACATCAAGAAGTCAACACCAGCAATCAACAGCCAATTATTGCACAACTATATTCTACCCACCTCAAGACTCCGCTCCAATATAGAAGCATCAAGAAATATGGACCAATAGGCTTTCTACAAACACTTCTATTCAATATCCATTGTTTCGTGTTCTGTCTTGTGTTGATACTTTTAATACCCTATTAATATCCTCTAATGCCACATCATCCTTCCCACCTTACTCAAAATGTAATGCCACATCACCCTTCCCACCTCACTCAAATGTAGATATAAAATCAGGGAAACGCAAGTTCTAATCAGTTGTGTATTTGTGAAGTCTTTGAAAATGTAATAAGTTTTACGAAACGCGCCCGTGTCGCGTCAGACTAGAAATAAAAATGAATTTTGGAGAAGTGATTTTTGATTTACCTCCAACAGTGAAGCATAATGTACGAAAGATTGAGAAAATTCGTGTTAGAATTATTAATCTTACTTTTTCGGTCATATTTAATAAATATATATATATATATATATATATATATATATATATATATATATATATATATATATATATATATATATATATATATATATATATGTCGTACCTAGTAGCCAGAACTCACTTCTCAGCCTACTATTCAAGGCCCGATTTGCCTAATAAGCCAAGTTTTCCTGAATTAATATATTTACTATAATTTTTTTCTTATGAAATGATAAAGCAACCCTTTTCTCTATGTATGAGGTCAATTTTTTTTATTGGAGTTAAAATTAACGTAGATATATGACCGAACCTAACCAACCCTACCTAACCTAACCTAACCTATATTTATAGGTAAGGTTAGGTTAGGTAGCCAAAAAAAGCTAGGTTAGGTTAGGTTAGGTAGGTTAGGTAGACGAAAAAACATTAATTCATGAAAACTTGGCTTATTAGGCAAATCGGGCCTTGAATAGTAGGCTGAGAAGTGCGTTCTGGCTATTAGGTACGACATATATATATATATATATATATATATATATATATATATATATATATATATATATATATATATATATATATATATATATATATATATATATATATATATATATATATATATACATATACATATACATACACATACACATACAGTATATACAGTATATTTTTACCTTGATGTGTCTGCTACTTGGGATCTTGCATGTTGCTGTTGTTTGTGTTGTTGGCCATAGTAGTTAGGAGAATGGGCTCCTCTGTAATTCTGGCGACCATATTGACCATTAGAGCGCTGTTGATGGTAGCTCCCATAATTAGCATTACCATGCAAGTGGGAATAATTAGAAGGGTCCTGCTCCCAGTACTCCTGATGTTTTCTCTTAACATGCCTATTTTCATTTTGCTTTTTATTATAATGGTGATTGTTGTGCCCGAAACACTCTTGCTGGCCATCATGTTGCTTAACGTCTGGCATAGCAACCTGCTTCTCTTCTTGTCCCCTGGTTTGCACTTCATCTTTTTTATCATGCTCGTTAACTACATCAAGAGTATCATGGTGGCTGTTCACCTCACTAGTCTCTAATTTCGTTTTTTCATTAATCATTCGCTGGTATGCATTTGGCATATAACCAGATTTCTGGTCATTTCTCTCCGTATTGGAATTTTCATTGTCATTGTTCTGGTTAGAAGAGCAAGTAATCACATGTTTTTGTGCAACATCCTTTGCAGAAGCCTGTTTTGTATTCAATTTTTGACCTCCCATTTCTTGTTCTTGAGAAATGTCTTTGTGTAAGTGTGCCTCATCATTCACAGTAAACAGTACACTAGTACTAGTATCTTTTGGATGCTCTTTCCATTGCCTGACCTTCTGGCTACCTATCTGCATATCTAGTTTCTGTTGTCTACCATCACAACTTTCAGATTCAAGACTCTTCTGGATCTCATGTTGCACCTGGCTAGGCATATGATATCCATTTGAATTTTTCTCCTGCGATCCATTATGTTGCTTATCCGTAAGCTGTGAGCTGGATTGCTCACCTTTATCTCTTTGTGGACTGTCTACTTTATTAGGCTTTACAACTGGCTTATTATCCATTTTGGAATTGAGGTGTTCATCACAATATGCATTTTGTCTATCTTCCATCCTCTCAACACCCTGAGAATTGCTCTCATGCAAATCCTGTTTTTGGTTTCTAATATGTTCTTTGCCTTCGTTTTCAGTGATCAACTCTTTCTGCGTGCAATCTGTTTTGTTGACAAGCTTAGAATCCTTAATGACATATGTATGAACTGTCTTGCCAACTTCTGTTTGATCACACTCTTGTAGACATTTATGTTCCAAATGTTTAGTTTTATCTTCACTAGATCCATCATAATGTGTTTTATTTCCTTGAGAACTGAACAGCACTTTTCCATTATGCTCACTTTCCTTAATGGCTTCCTCATTGCTTGGCTTAATGGGCAGACCCTCGCTAGACTTAACAGCTTGCCCCTCGCTGGACTCGACAGCGTGCTCCTCACTTGGCTCAACAGCTGGCTCCTTGCTTGGCTCAACAGCTGGCTCCTCTCTTGGCTCAACAGCTGGCTCCTCGCTTGGTTCAACAGCTGGCTTCTCATTTGGTTCAACAGCTGGCTCCTCTCTTGGTTCAACAGCTGGCTCCTCATTTGGTTCAACAGCTGGCTCATCTCTTGGTTCAACAGCTGGCTCCTCTCTTGGCTCAACAGCAGGCTCCTCGCTTGGCTCGACAGCTGGCTCCTCACTTGGCTCGACATCTGGCTCCTCACTTTGCTCAACAGTTGGCTCCTCGTTTACCTCAATAGCTAGTTCCTCCCTTGGCTCAACAGCTGGCTCCTCTCTTGGTTCAACAGCTGGCTCCTCGCTTGATTCAACAGCTGGCTTCTCGCTTGGTTTAACAGCTGGCACCCTGATTGGCTCAACAGCTGGCTCCTCTCTTGGTTCAACAGCTGGCTCCTCGCTTGATTCAACAGCTGGCTTCTCGCTTGGTTTAACAGCTGGCACCTTGATTGACTCAACAGCTGGCTCCTCTCTTGGCTCAACAGCTGGCTCCTCTCTTGGTTCAACAGCTGGCTCCTCTCTTGGTTCAACAGCTGGCTCCTCTCTTGGCTCAACAGCTGACTCCTCTCTTGGCTTAATAGCTGGCTCCTCACTTGGCTCGACATCTGGCTCCTCACTTTGCTCAACAGCTGGCTTCTCACTTGGTTCAACAGCTGGCTCCTCTCTTGGCTCAACAGCTGACTCCTCTCTTGGCTTAATAGCTGGCTCCTCTCTTGGTTCAACAGCTGGCTCCTCTCTTGGTTCAACAGCTGGCTCCTCTCTTGGTTCAACAGCTGGCTCCTCGCTTGGTTCAACAGTTGGCTCCTCTTTTGGCTCAACAGCTGACTCCTCTCTTGGTTCAACAGCTGGCTCCTCTCTTGGCTCAACAGCTGGCTTCTTGCTTGGCTCAACAGCTGGTTCCTCTCTTGGTTCAACAGCTGGCTCCTCTCTTGACTCAACAGCTGGCTCCTCTCTTGGTTCAACAGCTGGCTCCTCTCTTGGTTCAACAGTTGGCTCCTCTTTTGGCTCAACAGCTGACTCCTCTCTTGGTTCAACAGCTGGCTCCTCTCTTGGCTCAACAGCTGGCTTCTCGCTTGGCTCAACAGCTGGTTCCTCTCTTGGTTCAACAGCTGGCTCCTCTCTTGGCTTAACAGCTGGCTCCTCTCTTGGCTTAACAGCTGGCTCCTCTCTTGGCTTAATAGCTGGCTCCTCTCTTGGTTCAACAGCTGGCTCCTCTCTTGGTTCAACAGCTGGCACCTTGATTGACTCAACAGCTGACTCCTCTCTTGGCTCAACAGCTGACTCCTCTCTTGGCTCAACAGCTGACTCCTCTCTTGGTTCAACAGCTGGCTCCTCTCTTGGCTTAACAGCTGGCTCCTCTCTTGGCTTAATAGCTGGCTCCTCTCTTGGCTCAACAGCTTGCTCCTCACTTGGTTCAACAGCTGGCTCCTCTCTTGGCTCAACAGCTGGCTCCTCACTTGGCTCAACAGCTGGCTCCTCACTTGGCTCAACAGCTGGCTCCTCACTTGGCTCAACAGCTGGCTCATCTCTTGGCTCAACAGCTGGTTCCTCACTTTGCTCAACAGGTTTCTCCTCACTTGGTTCAACAGCTGGCTCCTCTCTTTGCTCAACAGCTGGCTCCTCTCTTAATTCAACAGCTGGCTCCTCACTTGGTTCAATAGCTGGCTCCTCACTTGGTTCAACAGCTGGCTCCTCACTTGGTTTAACAGCTGGCTCCTCACTTGGCTCAACAGCTGACTCCTCTCTTGGCTCAACAGCTGGCTCCTCTCTTAGCTCAACAGCTGGCTCCTTTCTTGGTTCAACAGCTGGCTCCTCTCTTGGTTCAACAGCTGGCTCCTCACTTGGTTTAACAGCTGGCTCCTCACTTGGCTCAACAGCTGACTCCTCTCTTGGCTCAACAGCTGGCTCCTCTCTTAGCTCAACAGCTGGCTCCTTTCTTGGTTCAACAGCTGGCTCCTCACTTGGTTTAACAGCTGGCTCTTTACTTGGCTTAACAGCTGGCTTCTCTCTTGGCTTAATGGCTTGCACCTCCATTGGCTTAACAATTTGCTCCTTGCTTTCCTCGACAGTTTGTTCATCAATCAGTTTAACACTAACTTGCCTCATCTTAACACAAATTTCTTTATTTGTATCAAGATTTATTTCTTTACCCAATACTGCATCATAGTGTTCACTCTTCATAACATGTTCATTTTCTTCTTCAAGGCACGTCTGGACATCTTCAAGGCACTGTGAATCTACAAGGCACTTTACACCTTCAAGGCACGGTACAGCATTAAGTGTTTCATTTTGTTTAGTATGTTGTTTAATTTGCTTTGCTCCAAGACATTCATATTGTTTAACTTTAAGGTTTTCAAGGTCTTCATTCTTCTTATTTTGGGGGAATTTGTCATCCATATTATCAAGCGCTTCAGTTTCTTTAGAATGTTCTTCATTTTCCTTATCTTTAGGGCATTCACTCTGAACAACATTAAGGTTCTCATGTTCCTTTTCTTCAGGGCATTCATTTTGCACAACATACAAGTTTTCATGTTTCTTATCTTCAAAAAGTTCATTCTGTACTTCAAGCTGTATATTTTCTGTATGTTTTCCATTTATGTCTTCTTTAATATACTCATTATGAACCGCACAATTTTCTTTTTCTACAGAAACTTTGCATTGTTTAGCATCATGCTTATCTTTTCCTTTAGCATCACTCTGGTTATTAGGCAAAGTTTTAGAGTATTCATGGTGCATAATAACATCAAACTCTACATCTTCCTTTGAATAGTGCTCATTTGGATTACTTTTAAGGCTTTTATTATGTATTCCATTGTTTTCTTCAACTTCCTTAGAAATGTTTCTATATTGATCAATGTTAAGGCCTTTAGTTTGCTCAACTTCAAATTCTTTATTTAACTTAGGTTCAAGGATCTCTGTATGCTTAGTATTTGGATGTTCATAAAGTTTAGCATCAGCTCCTTTGCATTCTTTAACATCCAACTGTTTATTTTTGTCAAAATGCTGTTCATTTTCTCTAGTATGAGGATTTTCATACTCAGATTTTGGCACCAAGTTTGCACCAGACGCATGTTGATTAACCATTCTTTTATTTCTATTATATTGCATAGAAGTTAGTTTTTGATCTTCAACGTCTCTAGCATCAAACTGGTGTTGATTATTCACTTCAAGACGACCAGTGGCTTGCCTTGGCATACTCTTCCCGGTGGCTTCCTCAGGAAGATAATCATGACTTGCACCTTGATGTGGTGCATCTTTGCCAGTAGGACTGTCATGATTATTGGAGTCGGAGTTTGGATCGCTTTGGCTTTGTTTTCTGGGCTGCCTGATTGGCTGATCGTGACTTTTGTTTCTTGGCTGCTTCTGGCCACCTCTACCACGAGTTCTCTTTTTATCACCCTTCATTGCTCAACTGTCTGGTAGACAATAACCAAAATGGACAAAATGGCCACTTTTTTGTGTAATTCTTGATGAATTGTAGAGTAATTTTTGTCTTTCCAGTTATTATCATTCATCATATGGATGCTGCATACACCAAGCAGCAGTCTCTGAGGGGGCAAAAAAATTAAAGATTAATGAAGCATTCTTTATTATTGAAAAAGGGACAGTGGACAAATGTAAAACAGAATCAGGCCAATTACATAAATTTATTAAAAGTAAATTGCAGGTAAAGGATAAAATCCAGAAGTTGAAAAAATGAGCAAATTTACAATGAATGAAAAAGAAATGTGTGAAACACTAAATGAACAGTTACAAAGTGTGTTTGTGTAAAATGAAGTTTTCTGAGAACCAGATACAATACAAATTTCAGAGAATAACATAGAGTACATTAATACAAATTTCAGAGAATAACATAGAGTACACCTTGCAAACACACAATGTAATGGTCCTTATTGTTACTTTGTTACAACTTGTCCCAAATTTTTTACATCTTGTTATAAAGTTTTTATTACATGTTAGAAATTTGATACAACTTGTTAGATACTGTAGTTGTTATAACTTGTTAGAAGTGTTACTTGTTCGAACATTGTAGTTTCATCAAGTGTTTGGTAGGCATAGAGGTGTTGTCTCTAGATAAAGCGGAAAAAAAATGTTCCAAGGAGTTAAGTAGAAATAAAGCAGTTGGTCCAGATGGAGTATCACCTTGGGCTCTGAGAGAATGCACATTTGAGCTGAACACTCTACTTCAATTGACTTTTTCAGACATCTTTATAAACAGGAGTCTTCGTGGATACATATATGGCACATTCGTATATGAAAAAGGCATAGTTCATATTTACAAAAATGGTAACAGACAAGACCCTCTTAATTATGGACCTGTATCATTGACAAGTGTGGTAGTCAAAACACTAGAAAAAAATAATTAAAACCAAATAGGTAGAACACCTGGAGAGTAACACCATAATAACAGACAGTATGGTTTACGAACAAGAAGATCCTGTGTAACAAATCTACTTAGTTTCTATGATAGAGCCACATAAATTTTACGGACTGAGATAGTTGGGTCGACTGTACTTATATGGACCAAAAAAAGGCCTTTCACAGTCCCACATAAGAAGTTGTTCTAGAAAATGGAATATACTGGAAGGGTGACAGGAAGACTATTGACATAAGTGAAAAAATTTCACTATGACAGAAAAATAAGGGCAGTAATCAGGGGGAAATGTATCTGATTGGAGAAATATATCTGACTGGAGAAATGTATCAGATTGGAGAATCATGTGGCACTGAAGAACCACAGGGTTCAGTTCTAGCATCAGTAATCTTTATTGTCTATTTAAATGATCAACCAGAAATATATGAACATGTTTGCTGATATGCCAAGCTACTAGGGAAGAAAAGAAACTCAGACAACTGTCATGCCCTACAAGAAGACCTTAACACTTTCGCGCTCTCCGCAAAGGTCACTCAGCCAACCGAATGTGCGCGCTGCGTTTTTATCGCTTAAGCGTAAAAACAAAAATGTGTATACTCTTTTTACTCTTCTGACCTTAGTTCTCATGCTACGTATTTCATTTTGGTACCAACGTGTTCGCAATAAAATTCGCTAGAAGAACATCAGTAAAAAAAGTCACGGAACGTATAGGGATACCAGCACCAAATAAATAACTACGAAGATGACTCGCCGTGAGCGCCCATCAGCAACAAAATGTTTTTACTCTTGGGATTGTAATCACCTCCACACTTGTTCTACAGCGTTAATTTTGGTATCAATGGACTCGCAATGAAATTCCCAACACGGTGATATGAATATAAGCGTAGAATAATGATTGCGGCCCGCCCGCAAGAGTGTGGGAAGTGGTGAAATTGTTACCCGGTATCGGTGACGGGACGACACACGGCGCTTTGAAAGTTTATACTTATTTCACTCTCATGACATTAATTTTCTATGTACGTCATTCATTTTTGTGTCAATGTGTTCGCAATAGAATGTTCTATGTGCCCATAGGTAAAAAATATCAACAAAGCGTAAGTTAGAATAGCGCCAAATATAAAACAACGCTGGAACATATCAGTGAGCGTCAAACACACACGAAATGTTTTTACTTTTGTTATGTTTGTCAAGTTTATACTTGTTGCACACAGTTATTTTTGGTTGTATATTGATCGGAATAAAATTCCCTAAACAGACATATGCATATAATACATGATATGGGGGAAGCATTACCAGTATAAACGGCTAAAGTCACCCACCTGCAACCCGTTTGAGACAAAATACCATTTGATCGAAGTTATCCACACCTTTCATGAACTTATTGTACCATGCGGCCTAGTGGTGAGAAAGAGAGCCTCATAGCGCGCAGTTTAAAACAAACCCAAAGTAAATAGGATAAAAATTGAATTTTATACAAATATTTTAAAAGTTGACATAACTTTATGTCCACTATGCGTTTACGTTAGACGAAACCGGACGCGCCGGCGCGTTCAGATAGCGCAAAAGTGTTAATAGCAGGAGCCTTTGATCAGGTCTGGCACTCTGGACTAGTAGCAAAGCTTCAAGCACTAGGCATCTCGGGCACCACAATAGAGCTAATAAAGAACTACAGTACCTTCAAGAACTAACTCTGAGTATAGTCCTCAATAGAGCAGAATAAAAAAAAAGAGGCTCATGCTGAAATTGCCTTTTTCAAGAACATCACTCGATTAGCTATCATTCATTCCTAGCTTACTCGTATCTAGAACTTGTTCACTCAGCAGATTGATACATGGGAGATCAGGTCAACCAATCATATGAAGACGCTGGCAAACAGTTGGCTACTGGTTCATCCTGTTACTTACATGACTGTTACTTAGAATTAAATAAAGTTTATTCCTAATCATTTATATAATAATCTCATGAAATAAATGAGTCTCTAGGGGCATGGTTCAGATGAGCTGAGTTAGGATAAGAGTTCTTGCTTGCAGTTTCAGTAGGTACTTACAGTAATTAGTTTTAAGTACTAATATTGGGGAAGTGGGTAGTACAAGATACAGTGTGAGTTTGAAGCACAAGGTAGGAAACTATGAGGATGAAAGTAGGTACTTTTTGGTTTTACTTTTGAACAGGACATGGGTTGGACAATTTTTTAATTCATCAGGGAGTGAGTTCCAAAGACTGGGTCCTTATTTGCATGGAGTGTTTGCATAGATTTAGCTTGACTTTGAGGATATCAAAGATATATTTATTTATGGTGTGGTGCTCATGGGTTTTATTACACCTATCAAGGAAAAGTTTCAACTCAAGATAAGCATTTAGGAACAAGATTTTATACATGTAGATATCACATGAGAATGTGTGGAGTGAGTGTATGTTTAGCATGTTAAGGGACTTGAACAGAGGGGTTGTGTGTTGTCTGAATACAGAGTTTGTTATAAAATCAGGTATTGTGTTCCCCAATCTGTTCTCCTCTCATTATACTATGCACTAATTTATCCCTATCTTACATACAGTATTTGTGCATGGGATTCAACCACTGCAAATTACCTCATACCCATCATCACCCAGCAAAAATCTGCTATCAGAACTACTGTATAACAAACTCCCTCTTCAGACATTACAGCCCCTCTGTTTAAATTCCTAAACATGCTAAACATACACTCACACCACACATTCTCTTGTGCCATTTACATATACAAAACCGTGTTCCTAAATGCTAACCCTAATGTGAAACTCTTCCTTGATAGATGTAATAGAACCCATGAGCAGCACACCAGAAATAAATATATCTTTGATATCCTCAGTCACTCTAAATCTGTGCAAACACTCCAGGCAAATGAAAGGACCCAATCTATGGAATGCACTCCCTAATTAATTAAAAAATTGTCCAACCTATGCCTTATTGAAAAGTAAAGCCAAAACATACCTAATTTCAGCCTCATAGTTTCCTATCTTGTGCTACACCCTCCCCCAATATTAGTACTTAAGACATGCAACTTCACCAGTGTAATAACTTTCATCAATTTATATGGTTCAGTCCCTGAGCCCATTATGTGCCTCTGTAACTCTTTTCACTACCGCCCACAAGATGGGTATGGGGTGCATAATAAATGAACTAAACTAACTAACTTATATGTAGTTATTATGTTAAACTCAAAATTGCTACAATGTACATCTTAATAAACTTATCTGTTAGATTAAGAACCTGGCCAAAACACTTTGAGTGTTAGTGGCTTTACAAGAATATAAGAACACCAATGTTATGTACTCTCACAAACCTATTATACTTTCCTGTACATAAATAAATAAATACATGCCAGTGTAGGACTAAAAATGGGAGATGCTTTTCACCCATAGGGTTATAAACCCATGAAACGCCTATCCACCGAAGCCGTAAATGCCAAATCTCTGCTGAACTTTAAAATCCAACTTGAAAAAAAATCCTCAGGACAAACAGGGGGACATTTGACAAGCCACTGACTTCCTGTCCTCATTGAGTCCAATAGTGTTAGTGACCCTCAGGTAAATATTCCAGTATTGGTCTGATATATGGGATATACACGGTTCCGAGTAATTTCTTACACAAGTTTCTAAAGGCAGCTTTTATGGTTGCCAGCCTTGTATGCTGCTAATGATATTATTTTGATGTGGTCTTCAGAAGACAGGTTTGGCATGATACCAAGCCCCAGATCTTTCTCTCTTCCTGATTCCTGAAATATTTTATCTCCCAACTAGTACCTTGTGTTTGACCTCCTGCTCCCTACACCTATCTTCATCACTTTACACTTGCTCGAGTTAAACAACAGTAACCATTTATTGGACCTATCCTTCAGTCTGTCCAGGCCATCTTAGTCTCTTGCTGCCCTCCTTTGTCTTAATCCTTCTCAAAATTTTAGCATCATCAGCAAACATTGAGAGGAATGAGTCTATTCCTTCTGGAAAATCATTTATGTATATAAAAAACAGGATAGATTCGAGTACAGAACCCTGTGGGACCCTGCTGGTAACATCACTCCATTCTGAGGTCTCACCCCTCACAGTAACTCTCTGCTTCCTTGTTTAGGTACTCCCTTATCCACTGGAGCACCTTACCAATTACTCCTGTCAGTTTCTCCAACATTTTTTTGCAACAGCCTTTTATGGGGTACTTTATCAAAAGCTTTCTGACAGTCCAAGGAAATGCAGTCTGCAAACCCTTCTCTTTCTTGCTTAATGTGTGTTGCTTGGTCATAGAATTCTATTAAACTTGTGAGGCATGATTTGCCATCCCTGAACCAATGCTGATGATGTGTTACAAAGTCCTTTCTCTTCAGATGTGCTTCAAGCTTTCTTCAGATGTGCTACAAGCTTTTTTCTTGTGATATTCTCCATCAACTTGTATGGTATATAAGTTAAGAACACCAGTCTGTAGTTTAGGGCCTCCTGCCTATCACCCTTTTTGTATATCGAGACTACATTAGCTGTCTTCCAACTTTCTGGTAGGTCTTATGTTTCCAGTGACTTGTTATATATACATGTTGAGTGGCATACAAAGCACTTCTGTGCCCTCCTTTAGCATCCATGGTGAGATTCCATTAGGTCCAACAGCCTTAGTCACATCCAGATCTAGCAGATATCTCCTAACCTCATTTCAGGTAATTTCAATATCTTTTAAGGCTGCTTGGTTTATTGCCACCTGTCTTGGTTCAGGGACTTCTCCTGGCTCTATTGTGAAAACCTCCTGGAATATCTTGTTGAATTCTTCACACACCTCTTTGTCATTCTCTGTGTACCCATCCTCTCCCTTTCTCAGTTTCATCATCTGTTCTTTCACTACTGGTTTCCTTCTGATGTGGCTGTATAGCAGTTTTGGTTGGGTCTTGGCTTTATTCACCATGTTGTTTTCATACTGCCTCTCTGCTTCTCTTCTCACACTGAGGTACTAATTTCCAGCCCTTTGGTATCTCTCTCTGTTCTCTGGTGTTCTGTTATTTCTGTAGTTTCTCCATACCCTCTTGCTTAGCTGCTTTGCTTCCTTACCCCCTGATTGAACCACGGATTCCCTTTTTGCTTTCTGGGCCGGGATAAACATGTTTTCTGCCTCCTGACACTTCTGGGTGATGTAGTCCATCATGTCTTGTACAGTTTACTCTGAGCTCTGTTTCCCATGGTATTCCTATTAGAAATTTTCCCGTCTCATCATAGCTTCCCCTTCAGTATGCCATCCTTTTGTTTTTCAGTCCTTTCCTTGGGTAGGTTATCCAGATTCAGATTCAGATGTTTATTCAGGTAAGGTATATACATACAAGTGATGTTACATTAATGGATTGATATATAGATAGAGCTAGTACATACAATGCCTAAAGCCACTATTACGCAATGCGTTTCGCAATCCTTACTTCACCCAGATACTCAATGTTAGTACAGGTATAATGTGGTCACTCATTCCTACAGGGGGTTCGATTTGACTTCCCTTATGTCTGACTCATCCAGGATGAATATCAGATCATATCTGGCTGGTTCACCATTTCCTCTTATTCTGTGAGCCCCTTGACATGTTGGCTTCAAAAGTTTCTTTTTGCCACGTCTTAATATTTTAGCTCTCTTATGAATCTGTACTACCGTGTGGTTCTCTATTTCCCCAGTTTATCTTTCCATGGTTGAAGTCACTCATTATTAACAGTTTAGATTTCTTCCTGCAGGCAATAGAAGCTACTTTCTCTGTCATATTGATGTCTATCATGTTGTTTCTGTCATACTCTTGTCTGGATCTTCTATAATAATAATACATTTTTATTCAGGTAAGGTACATACATACAAGGTAAGATACAAAAGTTGATGGATTTATAGATAGAGCTAGAACATACAATGCCTAAAGCCACTATTACGCAAAGCGTTTCGGGCAGGAAAAACACTAAGACTAAAACTTAATACTAATTGAGATTAAAGCATAAATTGTAATGAGAAAAATAAGAAAAGAATGGAAAAAAAGGGGGGAGGAAACATAACAGAAAAAAAGCAAAAATACAATTTGGTCAACAAAACAGCATTGTTTAAAATAGAAGACATGGGTTGACATTTTGGGGGTGAGGTAGGTTACATTGAGTTAATTAGGTAGTACTTAGTTTTTATCTTAAACTGGTTGGGAGAGGTACAGTCTTTAACATAATTGGGAAGGTCATTCCACATTCGAGGTCCCTTGATTTGTAAAGCATTCCTAGTTTGACTAAGTTGTACTCTTGGAATATCAAATAGGTATTTGGTTCTGTCATTTAATGGGGATTATATATTACTACTTCTATCTTTGGTCATCCCATTGCCATAGTGCCTGCTCTCTGAAATCTTCACAGCCTGAGATGTCTATCTCTTTGAACCTCCAGTCCTTCCTTATCAGCAGAGCCCCCTCCTCTTCCCTCCCTCTCTTTCCTTACTATATAGTAGTCCTATGGAAACACTGCCTTTGGTATGATAGGGGGTAGAAATAGCCTAAGCTACTCTATCCCTTTGAGATGTATTTCTTTCTTGTCTCAATAAACATACTTGAACTTGAACTTTGGTATGATGCCTGAATGTTTTGTTTCCATGAGTGCTATTACATCTGGGGTTTCCTCTTGCGTCCTCTCTCCAAGTTCACTTGATTTATATGTAATTAAATCTATGTTTGTGTATAGCACTTTGAAGTTCACTTTCATCTTCCCATCATCACACACTCTTACTAGCTGATCCACTAGTGTAGAAAGTTGTTCCATGGACTGGGCTGCATGGATGGAGTTGGTGCTGTGTGATATTTAACATAGGTTCAGTGGGTGCTGGGGTGGTCATGGTTTAAGAGATGGGGTGGGAAGGGAGAGCTTGGGGAGAGGGGGGATTGGGAGGGTAGGGGGGGGGGACTGAATGGGAATTTAGTGGGGGACAGGGAGGGCTTCCATTGCATGGAAGGTGGGGGTGCTGCACTTCTCTCTATGGGGCTGCTGAACTGCTTCTGGAGGGTTCCCCACTCCCTCTCTGGTATTGTAGGGTATGGGGCTGTGGTTCCCTGATTCCATATGTATGCATGCATGTGTTTGAATTGAAGTATTTGTGTACTACTGGCTTTAGGCATAGTAAATACAGTACATGCTTTATCTACAAATCCAACATTCTGTTTGTAACTCATTGTGTATGTATGTACTTTTCCCTAAATAAAATTAGTCATTTATTTGATTTACAGTATATATATATATATATATATATATATATATATATATATATATATATATATATATATATATATATATATATATATATATATATACACAGTATATATATATATATATATATACAGTATATATATATATATATATATATATATATATATATATATATATATATATATATATATATAATATATATATATACATATATATGTATCGATAGATACAGCGATAGCAGGCAGCTTGACATCTGCGAGGCACTACACATCAAGAAGTCAACACCAGCACTCAACAGCCAATTAATGCACAACTATATTCTACCCACTTCAAGACTCCGCACCAATATAAAAGCATCAAGAAATATGGGCCAATGGCAGTTAATTCCATTCTTCCCTTTAATTTACCCAATTTATACCCATTGCACCTTGTTCTGTCTTGCGTTGAAAGTTTGCTCTGTCTTGTGTTGAAAGTTTTGTTCACCTCATCCAAAACTGTTGTGACATATCACCTCACCCAAATGTGGGTATATAAGATGAAAGCTGTTTAAATGATAGCATAGTAGAACTCTGTTTAGTGTTTGCAGGTTATAGTTGTGTGTGTGTAAACCAAAGTCTTTGAAAATGTAATAAGTTATTACGAAATGCTTCCAAGTGTCCCGTCAGACTAGAAATAAAAATGAATTTTGGAGAATTGATTTTTCAATTACTATCGACAGTGAAAAGAAACATAAGAAATATTGAGAAAATTCGTGTTAGAATTATTAATCTTACTTTTTCGGTCATATTTAATAATATATGTTTACAAGAAAGACTGCTACCAAAATATACTAATATATAATATATATATATATATATATATATATATATATATATATATATATATATATATATATATATATATATATATATATATATATATATATATATTGCACTTGATGTGTATAGTGGTGAAAGACGCACCATTGAATTAAACCATATACAAGTTTACCGTAGTGTTGTACACGTGACTTGTAACAACCAAGGCACAACATCACCAGTGATTTACCTTCAAAACAGGGTCTCCAGTGGCCGCTCCAGGTGACCAGTGCCAAACAATCGAATAAAAAAAAATCTTGTTTAAACGCACTGACAGTCGACGTGAGGCCAAGACCGTCTAGCACCCGAAGACGCGAGAGAAGACGATGCAACGGCGGCGGGAGTGCGAGATACAGTACACAGTACGGGTTATGGACAGTTGTTCCACGGCCCCCGTCTACACCGTTCACGATCAGCACACGTATAGTGTAGTCCCCCCTCAACGTGTCCACACTGTTGCCATCACCACCCCCTCCTTAACCCCCTCTCGTGCCATCTTACCCACCTCCTTCACACCTCTTAACCACACTACTGCCCTCAGAAACTATCTAATCCTTATATATATGTCTCATACATTTATGATTCGCAGAGAAGGAAGCCTCATTATAAATTTGGACGGAGGGAAGTGTTGTTAATGCGCATTGGTAACATAGGAACATGCGTCTCCCGCCGACGACCAATCAGAACTCAAGATTCCGGTGAGGCTGTATTTTCCCCGCGGCGCCACCAATCACACCACGGTTTACAGGCCCGCGACGTGTCACCTCTCTTCATCGTTATGCATAATGTTTCGCTTCTGTTGACAATTCCACATGTTTAACAAACTCTTATATCAGATACATAATTGTTTTTCGAATTATATGGCTAAAGCGCTTCTGGTGCCATGAAACAATGCGCTATTAATTAGTCAGAAAATAATCACAGTTCTGAAGCTCCAGTCTAATATATTTCCGCGAAGAACGTAGCCAACGATAATGAATTTATTTTACTGGAAAAATAGCAGGACAACCGCGACGGGAATGTTGTAAACACAGATTTTTCTTCTGTTCAATAGATAAGTTATCGAGTTTGGGGATTGTGTGGGTGATAGGGTCCACCCCCTTCTTGGCCGCAGGCGTCATTGGTCTTGCTGCAACACTTGCTAATGCGATAATACAGCTAGCAAATGCGAATCTAAGTAGGGCACTCTCTTCATGCAGGTCGGGGTTCAATCCCCGACCGTCCAAATAGTTGGGTACTATTCGTGTCCCCTGTCCCAGCCCGAAACCTTATCCTGACCTCTTCCCAGTGCTATAAAGTCGTAATGGCTTGACGTTTTCCCTTGATAATTAAAAAATTACCTTAGGGCTACTGTCTATATTTCTAGTGGCCTCGATGAAGACAAGACATCATCCTCAAGACAAGTGGACAGGGGGCTTGTAAAACCTTCAGCCATATTCCCTATACTCTACGCAGCAATATTTAACATAGTTACCCCCTATACATAACAAACATTAATGGATGGAGAAATGCACTAAATGGAAACTATATAGCAACATTCATGTATGGAACACTACACACACCATGGAACATTGCACACAACAACATGGAACACTATAAACGACATGGAACAAACAATGTAGGACTGAGAACAGGAGATGCCATTTCACCCACAGGGTTATAAACTCATGGAACCGCCTACCCGCCGAAGCCGTAAATGCCAAAGCTCTGTTAACATTTAAAGTACAACTGGAAAATATCAAGGCAAATTGGGGGACCATTGACAAGCCGCCGGCTTCCTGTCCTCATCGAGGCCACTAGTGTTAGTGGCTCTCAGGTAAACTACACTCAGCATCATGGAACATGGAACATTACACGCAGCAACATGGAACATAAAGTAAGTTAAGAACATTAAGTAGAAATGAAGACTAAACCACAGTACACCATTGCTCCTTGTTTGTGTTACATTTGACCTTTTGAAGAAATTGTGCTGATCAACATTCTCCAAATTGTTCAGTATTTTAAAAGTTTCAATGAGATCCGCCCTGTCATGTCTGGTTTGCAGTGTTGTTAGCCCTGTGGCCCTCAACTGATATGTGAGTTGACTTAGCTTTGGAATGATTTTTGTTGCCCGGTGTTGCACTTTCTCCAGCAGCTATGTCCTTCTGAAGATGTATGTGGTCTCCATACTTAGATACAGTAGTCCAAATGGGAGCGCACCAGAGATTTATACAATTGAATACACACAAAAAAATAGCTAATATTTGCTCCATATGCTAATATTTCCACAATATACAAGCTACAACATGAGCAGTTCTGATGCGTGCCATGATTAATGGCCTTGTAAGACGTCATCGTGCTTGTTACAACTTGATCAATGACGTCACGCAACGTCATTGATCAGCCTGTGCGTCATCACCACTTCTGTTGTAGCCTGTTTATGGTGTTCTCCAGTCTCCCCCACCACCATGAGGTTACCTTGAGGTGCTTCCGGGGCTTAGTGTCCCCGCGGCCCGGTCGTCGACCGGGCCGGGTGTTCTCTAATCTCCCCCACCACCACCACAGTGTTCCCCTGTCTCCCCCACCACCACGGTGTCTCGCCTCTCTCCCACCACGGCGTTCTCCAGTCTCCCCCACCACCACCACCACCATGGTGTTCTCCAGTCTCCCCCACCACCACCATGGTGTTCTCCAGTCTCCCCCACCACCACCACAGTGTTCCCCTGTCTCCCCCACCACCACGGTGTCTCGCCTCTCTCCCACCACGGTGTTCTCCAGTCTCCCCCACCACCACCACCACCATGGTGTTCTCCAGTCTCCCCCACCACCACCATGGTGTTCTCCAGTCTCCCCCACCACCACCACGGTGTTCTCCAGTCTCCCCCACCACGTACGGTGTTCTCCAGTCTCCCCCACCACCACCACGGTGTTCTCCAGTCTCCCCCACCACCACCACGGTGTCTCCCTTCTCCTACATAAGGGGGCATAACTGGCCGACCCCTCACAGTGTTCAAGAGAGAACTGGATAAGCACCTCCAAAGGATACCTGATCAACCAGGCTGTGACTCGTACGTCAGGCTGCGAGCAGCCGCGTCCAACAGCCTGGTTGATCAGTCCAGCAACCAGGAGGCCTGGTCGACGACCGGGCCGCGGGGACGCTAAGCCCCGGAAGCACCTCAAGGTAACCTCAAGGTAACCATTCCCTTTCCCCCTTCCCATCCCCAACCCTTATCCTGACTTCTTCCAAGTGCTATATAGTCTTAATGACTTAGCGCTTTCCCTTGATAGTTCCCTTCCCTTCCCGTCTCCCCCACCACCACCACAGTATTCCCCTGTCTCCCCCACCACCACGGTGTCTCCAGTCTCCCCCACCACCACCACGGTGTTCTCTAGTCTCCCCCACCACCACCACAGTGTTCCCCTGTCTCCCACCACCACCACGGTGTCTCGCCTCTCCCCCACCACCACCACCACGGTGTCTCCAGTCTCCCCCACCACCAATGTTCTCCAGTCTTCCCCACCACTACCACGGTGTTCTCCAGTCTCCCCCACCACCACCACGGTGTCTCCCGTCTCCCCCACCACCACCACGGTGTTCTCCAGTCTCCCCCACCACGTACGGTGTTCTCCAGTCTCCCCCACCACCACCATCACGGTGTTCTCTAGTCTCCCCCACCACCACCACAGTGTTCCCCTGTCTCCCCCACCACCACGGTGTCTCCAGTCTCCCCCACCACCACCACCACGGTGTTCTCTAATCTCCCCCACCACCACCACAGTGTTCCCCTGTCTCCCCCACCACCACGGTGTCTCGCCTCTCCCCCACCACGGCGTTCTCCAGTCTCCCCCACCACCACCATGGTGTTCTCCAGTCTCCCCCACCACCACCACCACCATGGTGTTCTCCAGTCTCCCCCACCACCACCACGGTGTTCTCCAGTCTCCCCCACCACGTACGGTGTTCTCCAGTCTCCCCCACTACCACCACGGCGTTCTCCAGTCTCCCCCACCACCACCAAGGTGTCTCCCTTCTCCCCCACCACCACCACGGTGTCTCCCTTCTCCCCCACCACCACAGGAAATATATATGTTTATCTCTCAGAATGTTCGGTAATACATTTATTGCTTGTGATGTGTGTCTATGTATGTATTAACACGATGTACTGAACGGGGTGAGAATAGCTTGAGCTACCTCATCCCTTTGTGTGTATTTTACCTCAATAAACTTATTTCAATTTCCCACCACCACCACAGTATTCCCCTGTCTCCCCCACCACCACCAACAACAACATACTGTATCATATCCCCACATTATGGACCTTATTACCGTATCCTCTCCCCAACCACCCATCCAGCGGCATCTGAAAACCCGACTCACGTATAAGAAACAGTTCTCATTGGTCCAGCCAAGGCAGAAGGGGGCGGAGCCCGGAGAATATCCCAGTTCTCATTGGCTGACGCCGATGCACCTCCCTCCCACCCCTGTATCAAGGTCGTCTGAATAAAACATTAGATTGTGAATTAACACATACATTTATACAATTTCCAAAATCCTACACATAGGTTAGAATAGATAATACAATAGGTGATATAATGAGGAGGGTGAATAGAGTGTATAGTAAGTGTGTAATGAGTGTATAGTGAGTGTGTAATGAGTGTATAGTGAGTGTAGGAGGGGATGGGTGTGAAGGGTGGTGGTGAACGTGTGTTGATCACGTTGTGTGGCCTGGTGACCGGTCCTGGACCAGCGCCTCCTGCCACACTCTCCCTGGCTCTGGTGGTGACTGCTGCTTCTACCTCACAGGTAATGTCTTGTGACGTCTTGGGTGTGGTGCAGCTGGTGATGTGTTGTGACGTGTGGTAATGTGTGTTGTGACATGTGGTGATGTGTTGTGACGTGGTGATGTGTGTTGTTGGTGGTGATGTGTGTTGTGACGTGGTGATGTGTGTTGTTGGTGGTGATGTGTGTTGTGACGTGTGGTGATGTGTTGTGACGTGGTGTTGGTGGTGATGTGTGTTGTGACGTGTGGTGATGTGTTGTGACGTGGCGTTGGTGGTGATGTGTGTTGTGACGTGTGGTGATGTGTGTTGTGACATGTGGTGATGTGTGTTGTGACATGTGGTGATGTGTGTTGTGACGTGTGGTGATGTGTGTTGTGACATGTGGTGATGTGTTGTGACATGTGGTGATGTGTGTTGTGACATGTGGTGATGTGTGTTGTGACGTGTGGTGATGTGTGTTGTGACATGTGGTGATGTGTGTTGACATGTGGTGATGTGTGTTGTGACATGTGGTGATGTGTGTTGTGACATGTGGTGATGTGTGTTGTGACATGTGGTGATGTGTGTTGTGACATGTGGTGATGTGTGTTGTGACATGTGGTGATGTGTGTTGTGACATGTGGTGACGTGTGTTGTGACATGTGGTGGTGTGTTGTGACATGTGGTGATGTGTTGTGACATGTGGTGATGTGTTGTGACGTGTGGTGATGTGTTGTGACATGTGGTGATGTGTTGTGACGTGATGCTGATGCTGGTGGTGACCAGACATCTTGTGGCTGCTTGAAGAGTGAACTTTCTAATTTTTGGGGAGCAGCTTTGTTTCCTTAGTTTGAATCTATGACGTCTTGTTTTTGAAGTTCCAGTTTTCAAGAATTTTTTTTTAATTTTCTCAATTCCTGTTACTATTTAGTATGTAGGCACCTTCAGCCTCTCCTCATAGCTCTTGTTTTTCAGTTCTGCAAGCCATTTAGTTGCATGTCTCCACTTTTTCTAGTTTATTGATGTGCTTCTTGAGATATAGGCACCTTACAACTGCATATTCTAATTTTGGTCTCAAGGTCATGAACCATTTCTTTTATACAGTATTTTGCCATCCATGTATTTGAAAGTGATTCTGAGTTTGTAAAGAATAGCATAAAGCTTACACAATTGTTTTGATTGCTGAGCCTTTATTGTAGTTTTCTTTATCTAGCATACAGTATGTTGAGATTCTCTCTAGTTCATTATATCACTAATTTTAAAGGGAACACCATTCCTTTTTTTATTTTTTTTTATTTTATATATAGAGTACAAGAGTTCTTACATTCTTGTACAGTCACTAGCATGCATGGCATTTCAGGTAGGTCCTTAATCCTAATTTTCACACACACACACACACCCAGAAAGCAGCCTGTTGCAGCTGTCTTAACTCCCAGGTACCTGTTTACTGCTGGGTGAATATGAGCATCAGGGTGAAAGAAACTTCCCATTTGTTTCCACTTCCACCAGGAATCGAACCCGGTTCCTTAGGACTGCGAACCCCGAGCGCTGTCCACTCGGCCGTCAGGCCCCAGAAATCTCATCCTGTAATGTGCTAATTATGTCTTAGGACTTTTCTTTATGTATCTATGCAATATTAACCTTAGCATATAGTTCTTTTCGTCTGTTTTGCTATAAGTTCAGTGTTCTTTATATCTCGGCTGCTTGTCTCCTGGACAATTTCATGAACAACCTTTTACATTTTACTTTTCATATTTCCCACCATTCCTAAATACGTTTGTACCTTTTATCTTCATAATCAAGTGTTCCTATAATACACTAAAACTTTAAATTAATGTACCTCTGGATTGTCTAAATACTTGCAACTGAACCTCCACAACCCTTTCCCAAATTTGGCAATCCCATCAATCGTAGTTTTCAATATGACTACAATGATCTGGAAAGTTAACCAGAAGAGTACAGAAAAATCTGATTTTCTATAAAAGTTTTACATATAGTGTAGCTCCAACTTGTGATTCATAATTTTGTCTTAATAAATTGTACATTTATTCAAGTATCTCACAATTAATTGTAGTTGCATTATTTAATCCGGTACTATTCAAGAGTTTTAAAATCGAGTTGTATAATCCCTCACAGACGTACAGTTAAGAGTTTCCTCCTAAAATAATTTTCTGTGTATTTTACCTAAAAATATACAATAATTTATTAAAAAAGAAATTTCTCCTCTCTTTTTTCTTGTTTGTTCCCGAGATATACTGCTTTATACTGTACATTGCTCAAGGAAAAAGTGACAAGAGATGAAACTCTTGTATGTGTTACCACAGTCCCCATGGTGTAGTGGTAACACACTCGCCCAGCGCTTCACGAGGGCTTTGGCCTAGGTTTGTATCCTGGCTGGGGAGAATTAACCGATTGCTAATCCATAACTGTAGCCTCTGTTCACCCAGCAGTAAATGGGTACCTGGTTGTTTTAACAATTAAGCGGGTTGTATTCTTGGGAAAAATTTGGATTAAAGACCTGCTCGAAATATTATGCGTGCTAGTGGTTTTACAAGAATGTAAGAACTCTTGTATATATATAAAAAGAAACAAAATATGTGCACATTACACACTATTGAATAATATCCGAAACGCATTGCGTAATAGTGGCTTTAGGCATTGTATGTACTAGCTCTATCTATATATCAATCCATTAATGTAACATCACTTGTATGTATATACCTTACCTGAATAAACATCTGAATCTGAATCTGAATCTATCACAGAACAAAAACACCTCCCCTCCTTGAGATCGCTAGGGCTAGGGTCGCCGGGCAAGTACTTGCTCAGCACTCTTAAATTGCTATACTTCCCTGCTCTATCACAGCCAAATTATGTCACATACAACATTTATTGTTAGTTTTCATAGTAAGGCTTGATTGAGTAAGCAGCCAAAATAAATTTTGCAATATGTTAGGTCAATCCAATCCAGTCAAATAATAATTTTCAATATTATAGTGATAGGTGAGAGCTACATAGTTTACCTGGTGGCTGCCCTATGTTATATACAAATAGTGATAGGTGGGAGCTACATAGTTTACCTGGTGGCTGCCCTATGTTATATACAGGATGTGCTTCTTGGCCATGTGACCAGCACAGATCCACGACCCAAAGTTTTTTATGTGGGTTCAGAAAATCGAGCATTTATTCCCGTGATATCTATGGACATATGGCCAAATTTTGAAACCTCTGAACATCATGATGACTGCAAATGCCCATAGTCTGTCTGTGAGGATTTCAACTCAAGAGAACACTTTCTGTGGTGACTTTCAAGAATAAAATAAAAAGGCAATGCTTTTATTTTGGCTTCTGCGAGCAGCCGCGTCCAACAGCCTGGTTGACCAGCCCAGCAACTAGGAGACCTGGTCGAGGACCGGGCTGTGGGGACACTGAGCCCCAAAATCATTGCAAGGTAACACAAGGTAATCCTACTGTCAGGGACAGGATGCCTGTTAGGCAAACTAGGGACCCCCTAAACCAAAATTGACCCAGGATACAACCTACAACAGTTGCCTAACTCCTGGTTACCTGTTTACTACATAGTGAATAGCAGCATCAAGTAAAGGAAACATGCTCAAACATCTCCATTCTGCCACAGGAATCAAACCCGAGACCTTTCAGTTGTGAACTGACTGCACTGATCACTGCTACGGGACCCACTACAATTCTCAGAGTGGAAGCCAGCTAGGCTTACTAAGGTCTACCTAGGCTGACTGACTTTCACCAGAATACAACCCCCACACTATTACTGCAATGATCCTGACACAGCCTCAATTACTTTTGGTAGTGTATATGTACAGTATTGTACGTTAGATGGCTAAAATACAGTACTTACATAGTAGTCCATGGTATTGTACTTTATCACTACCATAAGGTTAATTCTTACACTATAATAATGACCTTACATGGCTCCTGGTACTATTGTAGTGAATCAAAATATTGCTATGAGAAAGTATTGCAGGAACTAGGCTTATTGAAGAGAGCCCTACACTGTAATGAGATTAAGTGCAGTATTACTTATATAATTATCTTTAATCCTTGAGTGACATGATTACAAATTAAACAAATCTCTGCATTACTTCAGCAAACCTAAAGCCTACTGTACAAATTAAACAAATCTCTGCATTACTTCAGCAAACCTAAAGCCTACCACAGTACTGTAATAACTAACAGCATATAAAAATGCACACTATCATAATTAAATTGGCCAAGGAATGCTTAGTGGTAAGTTATCACTTGAAAACTGTAATCAGCACATTGCATTTTTAATAATTATAAATCTGTTATATATTACTGGAGCTTTTCAACCGAGCAGTGATTTGTACTAATTTATTTTATTTAATTACAGAGTGGATAAATCTCAATGAACATAAATACCAGATAAAACTGAAATAAAATAAAAATAAGAATATTTGAGCATACTAGTACCATACTCTAATGTATTTCAACAAATTTCAAGTGAATTAAATATCTGCAAAGTTCAAGGAACAAATTGTTATTTTTGTTATAAGATTCCCAGAGTTCAGAATATAAGATGGGTAAAAACAGAAACAATCGGGGTGGCCAAAATCAATGCAAGTCCAGTCAGGGTGGCCAAAAGCAGACGAAGCCTCCATCAAACAGAGGACACCCAGGACAATCCAATCTAGAGTCAAATCGTCCTGGTGTTCAAGAAGCATTTCAATCTCCATCCAAAAGAAAAAATGCTGCACATAAAAATGAACCATACAACTATAATCAAGCAATGCCTAGTAGGGAGTCACACTATGAAGCCAGTAATTATCAGGATCATGCTCATATGAAAAATGATAAAATCAGTGACAGCAGATGTAATCATTATAATGAAAGGCAAGGCAACAGAAATTCTCAGCAATATGTAAATAATAGCCAAGAGGCGGAACCGAAGAAAAAAGAAAACGATGCAGGGTATGTAAATATTTTACATTTTAAGTTTTGTGTAACAATATTACTTTTAAATGATTAATGAACTTAATTAAGATGTATATCTTTTGTTATAATGCATGATTTTGTGATCAACTTACTAATGTGTTTGGTGCTGTATATTTCTAAATATAGTTATTTAATATAGAGGAATAGAAGCAATTTTAATTCAGACAAAACTATTGCCTATACAATTATATAGCTTTTGTTAGTTTGAAAGATTTGTAATATATTTTGGTCTACATATACACACAAAATTAATTAGTATTGGATCTATTCTTGTATCATTGATGCATCTGGAATAATATTTGTCTTGATATTGTTTTGATATTAAATCATTGTTTTACAGACTTAAATCACGTCTCGTTTCTCCTTTTACCTACACTGCACCTGTTTCATATGACAACTACATGGTGCACACGAATAGCTTTTTACCTTTCTATTATTATTAAAATACATTCCCTGATCCCAGAAAAAAAAAATTGTGTAGCTTTAGCTGTGATGGAGAGAGGAAATCTCACGATGATATCAAGATTTGCGAGCGCTGAAAGATCTGATGCCACATGAAGGTCACCCAGCACGGCAAGTGGCAGGAGTTGCCATCAGTTGCCATCAGCAGGAAATTACCGTCCAATCCAAGTCTTCCTAGCTAGCGGCCAATCCTTTCTTTACTCTTGGGGCTTGGCACAGCTTGTGTCATTTCTGCACGCTTAAGTGGCATAAGGTTTCAGTTGTGTTTCTGGTGTTTTTGGGTATTTCCACTTGAACCACTCAGTGACTGCCAATTTGTTCGAGTGTAAGGGCATGAGCTTGGAAGCTGTACTCTAGAGTACAAACTTAACCCGATAGTACAAAACTTCTGGGCCTTACAATTTCATAAATAATAGAAGGAAATATATGTACCATATAAAATACTTAAATAGAGATCAAGTATTCTTAGTATAAGTTGGACAATAATCACACTTTGGGCTAAAGTTTTACACATGGGCTTTATTAGGTGATTTAAAGTTAATTTACAAGAATATATCTGGAATATACCATTAATTTACAGGATTACTTAAATTGAGAGTGATAAATCCACAATACATGTAACATTCGGGTCACTTTAAATACTGGTCCCACACAAATCAGGACTAAAGGTTGTTACTTTACTCTGCACTCTCTTTACAATACAAGGATTCCTTATTAGTTGTAACACTACAAAGATTTTACATTAAACACTTTACTAATATGGACCAAGAGAGGGGGAATACGGAACTCGTTTTCAGCAGTACTTGCCCAGAGATGTATGAACCAAAAACACTTAAAATAATCCAGCACATGGGCATGTAACCACAACTTTAATATAAAAGACCTAACCCTAAATTAACTGAATCTAAGCACTACTAAATGTATCAACTATGTACTTATCGTAATTGTAGGAGACCATTCGAGCACCACATTGACGTTGACCGATCTCCACTGTTGCTAGATCCTGATTCAACGAGTCCGCTCACGCATCTCTGTGCAACCACCTTGTTCCAACAATGTTCTATACAAACTTGTATCCCAAAATTGTTGATTTCTATGTGTTATAGAGTTCCAGACTGGTTTTCAACACTTAAAAATGATATTTCTATATACAGTATTTTCAATCACTGAATGTCCTTTAGATATGCATTGTCTTTGATGTTTCCACTGTTTTTGGGAGAACATTTTCAGTAGTTTTAAAACATTACTGGGTATATGACAAAGAGTGCTGGGAAGATGGGACACCATGAGCATAGCTCTCATCCTGTAACTACACTTGGGTAATTACACGTTGGTAATTACACACATGATGGCAGGCTCCTCCTAATACACGTAACCATGAAATGGTACCAGGATTTTTATCATGGGTCAAGGTAAACTCCATCCATTACATCCACAGAGAGCTATTATATCAATATTTGCATCATACATGTAAGACCCAGACAGTAATTGTTTAAATTGTCATATGATGATGTCCTCATTCTCTTAGTAATATTCATGATGATAACCTCATTCACCTAGTACACATTACCATGAAATGATAGCGGATTTTTTGTCATGGGTCAAGGTAAACTTCATTACATCCACATAGAGCTACTATATACATATTTGTATCTTACATGTAAAACCCAGACAATAATTGTTTGAATTGTCATATGACAATAACTGTATTGCCCAGTGAATCAACGAATGACAGTAAGCACTGTCTAAGGGTTAAGGACAGGCAGTTTGCAATCTGCCATCGTGCCCATGATGATCATAAACATGTTGCTTTCACAGCAGTCTGTTGGGATGTCCTCGGTTGATATTCAAGTGCAGGGGTTTTGTTGGTCTAATGGGGTCTTGGTGGCCCAGAATTTAGTTAAATTTTCCTGGGCCTTGTCAGGCCTGTGAAAGAGCCTGACAAGGAGAGAGATGACAAGTCTTGTCAAACCTGTCATCTCTTTTGTCTGGGTGACTCTTCTTCTTCTTGAGTGCCTGCAGTTTCTCCTCCTCCTCTTTGCTAAGTCCTTTGTCTTTCTCCTATGTTAGTAGTCAGCTTCAGGGAGCCACTAAAGTCTTAGAGTCTTCCCTAAAATATCAAGTGTTCAGTGTAATGAAATGCCTCTTTCTGAACAAGCTCTAGATTCTGTCCCCCCCAAGTTGTCACTGGTTGGGTGTCACCTACACATCTGCTCCAAAGCTGGCTTGGAGGGCTGGGGGAGACCTGGAACTCTGGGCAGTTCCAGCCCCCCCAACACTGACCTGAGGTTAGTACTTAGGAGATTTACATTGTTTGGGGAATTCGTTTAACAGTTTTTGTGGCTTCAGCCTCTTTGAATACAGCAGTGTTCAGTTTTGGTTCACTGTCTGTCATTGTGGATGCTTTCTCAATGGTGTGTTGTCACCTGCTTTCTGTGCCTCTTATTAAGAAGCCAGGATTTGACTCTGATCCCCGGTAGGCCAAAGAGAACTCCACGGCTGATGTGACCTAGTAGATGGGAGTGATCTCATTGAGATTGGTTCATTGGTTCAGGGAGCTACTGGGGCTCATCCAAAAAGAGGTGTTTGATTTTTTTTTTAAATTAGAGGTAAACTATGTTATTTGTCATATTGCTTTATACATATATCTTTCCTTCTTTTTCAGAAATATGGATTGTCGTGTATGCAAAAAATGCTTCAACAGTGAAGATCGCTTCCCAAGAATGCTAACCTGTGGACATTCTTTTTGCACATCATGTATGATCAAGTTACCAAGAGATAAACCATTATTTTGCCCTGTGTGTCAGAAAGAAGAAACTAAATACCGATCTGTTGATGATGTTCCAAAAAACTTATCATTACTTACAGTGGTGGAAGAGTGGAAACAGTCGAATTCTAAAGATAATTCTGTTACAGCAGAGGGTTGTGAACCCTCTAGAAGCAATTCATTCACAAGAAATAATTCATCTAAGAGTTCTAATGATAATCATTGGTACTCACCTCCTCCAGGACCAAAAGTTCCGTCACCTCATGCCAGCAAATGCCTTGAAGCTGGAGCAACTGTGTCAAGTTTTTGTGTTAGTTGTCAGGCTTGGGTGTGCTATCAATGTAGTAAAATTGATCACGGGAAAAGGGAATGTTATCTTACTTCAGTTGATGAAACAGTATCTGAAATGAAACAGGTCAAGAAAAGTAGAGCTGATGCTGTATGCAAAACATTAAGAGAGTCTTCAAATGAAATCAGAAATTATCATGAGAAACTGGAGACCTGCTTAATAGCAATGCATATTACTGTGGACTGTATTAAACGGGAACAGAAAAGAGTTGAAGACATATTGCAAGAAGGCAAAGTGACAGAAGCAAAGGTACAGTCAGTTTCAGCAGGTTTGTCAGGAGCCAACAATTTACCAAACATGTTGAAGGTTTTCAAGACTGTTGATGATTCAATAAGTGCCTCTCAGCAGTGGGCATCAAATACTGACTTGACTCCCATGGATCAAAATTCTAATATGTTATTAAAGGTAAGAATAATTCCTGTTTTTTCTGGAATATATTTCAACTTGTGATATTGTCAGTTCTTGTATTTACAACTATATAATATAATTATTATGTGAGAAATTCAATAAGTATTCTAAATTATGAGTTAAACAGTAATGCTTATTTATTAAAGAACTTAAGGTAAAGTTGCTTATCTTCAGCCACCTAAGAATGTTGATTTCTGTAATAATGTTTTGGAAACATTGAAACTTAGTCTGTAGATGCATTATTTACCAAGGTATTAGGCCAGGTAGTTACATCACCCATTTATAAATGAATATCACCAGTGTAAACATGTATACAGTATTATAATAGCTATAACTACCTTCCATTAAATATTGTTAGGGAACATTTCTATAATAATAATAATAATTTATTCACAAGAAGGTACAATGGGTTCATCACATAAGATTGGTAATTTTACATTCTTGCAATTGCAAAGCCACTAACACACATAGCATTTCGGTCTGTGCTATCCCTTAATCTAACACATCAGGTAAGATGAAAACGTATATTATATTGTAGCAAGTATATCAACAAATAACTACAATATAAATTGGCAAGAGTTGATTACACTGCTAAAGATATATGTCTTGAGTACTAATATTGGGGAAGTGGGTAGTACAAGATACAGTGGGAGTTTGAAGCACAAGGTAGGAAACTATGAGGATGAAATTAGGTACTTTTTGGTTTTACTTATGAATAAGGCATAGGTTGGACAATTTTTTAATTCATCAGTTAGTTTAGTTCATTTATTATGCACCCCATACCCATCTTGTGGGCGGTAGTGGAAAGGGTTACAGAGGCACATAATGGGCTCAGGGACTGAACCCCACAATTCATTTAGCTAAGCAAGTTACAATCTTGATGAGCTAGTTACAAAATTCAATATAAGTCATCACATCAACAATGGGTTCGAGATCGACCTCAAGTACAGGTTCTAAATTAAGCAACTGACATATGTGGAGAGCTAGTGTCAAAATTTATATGTTTGTCCTGCACACCGCCCCCCATCCAGTGGGCAGCGGTGGATAGGTTACAATCACTTAGTTACTACCTACAGTTAGCAAACTGGGGATATTTGGCTAAAATTTCTGGTAGCAGATCATTTTGAATGAAATATTGACACATCGCTGGAACATTGGTTATAGAATTGTCTCTAAATTCACGTATCTTTTCGCACTCCATCACATAGTGACGGAGGGTGTGCGAAATTCATCAGGGAGTGAGTTTCATAGTCTTGGTCCTTTTATTTGCGTATTATTATTATTATAGGCATGTATAGTAATGATAAGGGACTGGACCCCAAAATTCATTTCGCTAAGTAAGTTCCAGTCTTGATTAGCTAGCTTCACAGTTTAATGTACATTACAGCATTATATCACCCATGGTTCAAGAATGACTACAAGTACAATTTCTAAGCCAAGTAGCTTACATATGTGGTGAGTTTTTTTTTTTTTTTTTTTTAATTTTATTGCCCTATCATTCACACCACACCCCATTCAGCGGGTGGCGGTGGAAAGGTTACAATCGCCCACATTTACTACCTACAGTTAGCAAACTGAGGTTATTTGGCAAAAATTTCTGGTAGTAGATTGTTAGGTTCTGATAATGCACTTGTGTGGTAGTATGGTGTATTTGTGTTCTTTAGTTTTGTTTTCACTGCTTATTTACAGTGGCTTCTTCCTTAGAAACCACACAACGTTATCAATAATAGTAATTTGTTTTGTCGGAGAGAGGAAGCCTTAGGTGAAATCCCCTCAAGGTCAAACTTGAGGGGATTTTACCTAAGTAGAGAGGAGGAAACTGTTATTTCCTAACTCCCAGGTACCTGGACAGAGGCATTAGGTGAAAGGAAGTGTGCCCAACCAGTTATCCCACCCAGGAGTTGAACCCAGAATCCCTGATTGTGAATTAAGAATAAAGCCAACTGTATGAAATAGTATGTTTTTTGAAACCCCACGTTTTTTTTTTTTTTTTGTTCCCTGTCCCTCTTGCAATTTCTGTTGAACCCCCTCTTGTTGTCTACTTTTTCATCTCTCTTTTGGAATAAAATTTGGTTCCTTCATCATATACAGTCTAAACAAATTTGGAGTACTGTGCATCTCATTTACTTCCTTACCTAACAACACGATTTTCCTATCAAATTCATTAAAGACTTTGCTAAGTTCCCCATAGCGTTCTCTGCTGAAATCAAGTTTTTAATTTTCTCCATTCGCTTCCGGTTTATAATTCATTTGAATATTTTATTTTCAAAAGGACATGGTCGCTCTTACCCAAGGGAGGAAGGTACTGAATGTTAAATATCTCTTCTTCTTTCCTGATGAATATCAAATCCTGCATTGATGAATATCAAATCCTGCATTGATGAAATCTTCGTTTTCCTCATTGTTGTGGCTTACTTAACATGTTGATATATGAATGTTTCCAAGGTGAAGTTTACAAATCTTCCAGTCCAGACATCCTGTGTTCTTGCTTCTTAGGCCTCCCAGTCCATTGGTTTCAAGTTAAAGTCACCAGGTACCAACAATCAGGATTTATCTTTACCTGCTCTTATTTTAATCTCCCTTATAATCATTATGAGGCCCTCTCATTTGTCATCCATCTCCTCCTTTGTCAATGTGTTGCTTGTTGGTGGACTGTAGGCATTTATGATTATCAGTTTATCATTCTGATTATAAAACTCTGGTAACAATATGTCAACATCTCATGGGATGTCGACTCCACTATGTCAATGTTTCATGGGTTGCCAATTATTAATTCTCTTACCTTCAGGTAATTGTAATTTGCACATTATTCTTATGTTCTTTGTACACAAATTCTTTTAAATAAAAATTTATTTGAACGGTGTTCTTTGACCAGCATGGGAATGCCTCCAGCTTTTCTGACTTTTTGTCTATATCTCCAAATTGAGTAGCCCTTTGGGAATACGACATCATTTAAAATATTGGCTTCAGATTTCCTCTCTGTTAGTACAATTAATATCTGACATTTTAAGCTGTATTATATAATTTAGTTCAGGAATTTTTATCTTACTCCATTTATTTTTTGTCTATATCTCCAAATTGAGTAGCCCCTTGGGAATACGATATCTTACAATACGACAAATTCTTTTAAATAAAAAATTATTTGAATAGGTGTTCTTTGACCAGCATGGTAATGCCTCCAGCTTTTCTGATTTTTGCCTTTATCTCCAAACTGAGTAGCCCCTTGGGAATACATCATTTAAAATATTGGCTTCAAATTTTGTCTCTGTTAGTACAACAATATCTGACATTTTAAGCTGTATTATATAATTTAGTTCAGGAATTTTTATCTTACTCCATTTATGAAAGTATATACAATTTTTAGAATCATCTTCCCTCTCCCTTTGTCCTTAACTCCCCCTTCCTCTAATGATTTCGTTGGTTTGTGTTTATGTACCATTTGACGGGTTTCCCGATCACAATAACCTGTAGAAATTTTGTTTGTATTTCTTCCTCTTTCCTACCTTCATTTAAATGTTTAGCTTCAATGAGGATCAGCTTCAGCTTCTCTCTCTGTCTTCCTTTGAAAGATCACATCTTAAGGATCATGATTTTCCATCCTTATCCATCCTCATCATTTTGCAATTTCCTAACATTCCTGAGTACATCTTCCATCTGTTTAGCTCCATTTAGGGCAATTCTTAAGGATTGGTCTTTTCCTTTTTCATGCCTACCAATTCTGCTGTAGTCACAGACATTATCTTTATTGTAAGGCCTTCCCCTTGCTCAACAATTTTATATTTGACTTTGTTGCATGTGATCTGCTCTCGTTCTTACTCAAACCTAACATGGGCTATATTTGTGAACACTTAGCTTTCTGTTTCAACTTTAGAACACCATTTCCTCTCTATGCACATGCTGATCTCTTGGGAACTCATTATACCATGGTATGCATTGAGAAACAAAGATTGTAATCAAGACAATAAGCATCAAGGAGATCTGAGCAGATAAAACTTGTGTGGTTAATTAGTGAGTGTGGGAGATCACAGGGTTGGGTGTACTTCAACCAAAGAGACATGCATTTCACAGCTAAATATACCACATGCTGAAAAGTTTTTTGTGTATGTATCTGATAAATAGTTGTCACAGAATCATAAAAGTGATCCCAGAATTAAGTCATCTCTTACCAGGAATGGACGAGGGCATTAGAACTAACAACACTGTATTAAACTAGATATAACAGGGCCAGACAAATTTAAAGATACTAATTCATACCACTTATTTTAAAAGGCCAAAAAAATGTACACACATGAGGCATCAGTTTCAAGTTTAATGAGCCATTGTAACAATATATGACAGAAAAGGGAAATGGCTTTTTTTTTATTTTACTGAAACCCATAGAATGCCTACCCATCAAAGCCATAAATGCTAAGAAATATTTCATTTCAAAATCTAGCTGGAATAATTGGGGGTATCTGTGACAAAGTGCTGACTTCCTGTCCCCAATTGAAGCCACTTAAGATGGTGGCCCTCAGGTTAGAGTAAATATTAAAAATATAAATGTTTCTTACGTGAGGTTTACCTGTACAGTAATTATATTAATAAGGGTAACTGATCATATAATTTCTTCTTCTTCTTCAGGAGCTTCTGTATACTATGGTGCAGCTACATTCAGCTTCAGGAGGTGGCCCAAACACTGGTGTTCTGGCATCAACCACAATCAATAGCACCCCAGTCTATGCCAATCTGGTGTGTGAGGGAAAGCGCATTCATGTGCACTCCCTTCAACAACTTTATCCAACTTCAGGAACACGGGCCGTGCCGGTAAGGCCTTTGGCAATTTTGTGTCTATGTCATTTTGTAATTATTTAAATTATTTATATTTTCCTTTATTTATCTGATATTTTTTCTGCAAGCTTCTCATTTCTTTGCATTGACTATACTGTATTACTAAAAACTTGTGTTATATTTATTTTATTTATTTATTTATGAGAAGGTACATTGGGTTTATGTGAGTAAGTAGCACTGATAATTTTACACTCTTGTAAAGCCACTAACACGCATTGCGTTTCGGGCAGGTATTATAAATCTTTGTTAGATTATTATGGCAACAAAAATTATTGGACAGAGGCCAGTAGTTCTGTTAAATATGAGAACTATAATATACTTGTGTACAAAATAGTTTATCACTATTGTACTGCAATAACAGACAAATACAGGCACCTCTACCAGCCAGGCTAGTGGTAAGCAAGCCAGCAGCCTGTTTGTGTTCGAGTCCCTGTTTTGGTGCGAGGCTGTTTCATCCGATAAAGGATTTCATTTGACCCATCAGACCCCAGAGCAATCTCACTTCCTTGGGGAACAAAACATTGGATTGGTGTCCACTACAGTGTATATATAAAGGTTTGCAACTTGGCTTACCAGGAGAGCATTGTAGTAAATTATCTTCATAATACAGTGGAACCTCACTTCTCGTATGCCCCTGTTCTCGTATTTTTTGTTACTTGTACTCAATTTCTCAGAAAAATTTGATTCGGTACTCGTTGTGTGCCTCGGTTTTTGGAGTTTGTTCATACACGTATGGGTCCACTGCGAGCGTGACACTTCAGTTTACCAGTGTCTCCCGCTTAGTGGTGATAGCGCTTGCATTATGTATTTGTGCAGAATTTCATTGTTTTGTGCTTTTTTGGTTTCTGAATATAAAAGTTCTTATTATATATCATGCCATGGGTTCCAAGAAAGTTATTAGTAATATTCGACCTAAGAAAATAGTTGTGAGGATGACAATAGAGGAAAAACAAGAGATCATTCATTGTGAGACAATGTGATGTCTCACTATAGATATGTGTTAAAACATAGGGAAAAACAAGTGTCTATAGAGAGATTTTTAGTAAGACAAGCAAGCAGTGAGCCACAACCAGGTCCCAGTAGTATGCCTGCAAAACATTAGAGAGTACCCCAGAAATGTCATCACTGCTCTTATAATGGAAGGGGACTCCCCTTTCAAACACTAACACCTCTCCTCCTCCCTCCTCCCTCACTTGTCTTCCATACACCAACAAGAGTCCTCAATAAAGGTAAGGTACCTAAGAGTATTATTCTGTAAAAAATTATTTTTTAGTTAATATATTTGGGGGTGTGAAACGGATTAATTCAATTTACATTATTTCTTATGGGAAAATTCGTTTTGGTTTTCGTAGCGTCTATGGGAAAGGATTAATATACGAAAACTGAGGTACCCCTGTATATTTATATATAGCGCACATTGCTTTTCGGGCAGATCCTTGATTCTAATTTTTTCCCGGAATACAACCCGCCAAATCGTTTAACTACCAGATACCCATTCACTGCCGGGTGAACAGAGGCTACAATTAAGGATTGGCACCCAGTCAATCCTTCCCAGACAGGATATGAGCCCACGCCAAAGCGCTCGCAAAGTGCCGGGCGAGTGTTTTATGTTTTATGTAAAGTTTTTTATGTATTTATTTATTTATATATATATACACAAGAAAGTACATGAACCTTACAACTGACTTAATTGGGACCCATGGTGTGATATATAATAATTACTTTTATGTATAAAAAACAAAAAAGCACAAAAATAATTAAATTCTTTACAAGCACGATCGTCACTAAGCAGGCGGGGTTGGCCGTGCCACCATGAACCGTGCAATCGATCGACCCATACGTGTATCAACAAAATTACTAGTCGAGGCAAAGGTCGTAAGTTGAGTCGCATTTTCCGACAAAATTTATGTCGTACTGTAACTTGAAAAATTCGTAAGTAGGGGCAGTCATAAGTCGAGGTGCCACTGTATTCCATTATATCTGTACCCTGAAATACAAGTGTCTTACACACCCATCAGCAAAAAAAGCAAGGAAAACCCAGCACTCCTGAAAGCAACAACACTTTAAACCATTGATTCCTTTAGCAATAACTTACGGCCTCACGAGCACTATGCTTATGTCGATGGGTCTGTTCAAATATCAACAGGTCGCACTGCAGCTTCCTGTAGAATATACAAAGACAATATATTGTAACACCACTATAAATATGAACTAATAATGTAACACTACTACTTATACTGAGTAACACTTCCTATCGTTTGCACTTGGTAACACTTTGCTATTGAACACTGCATTTATATTTAACGTAATATGAGCTGACATATGATGTTTACCGGAACCAAAGGTATCCAAAAAAAGGAAATGGTACACAGGATTAACTATGCTGCTACCATCTGCCTTGTCCATTGAGACTATATCAAGCAACGAGGCAAGAAACATTGCTTGACTTGGAGAGTACTTTCTTTAACTGTCATTAAGTATGGGACGGTTGATAGCAAACTATATCCAGAGACTAAGAGGATCCAACAATTGACACAGACGGAAAGTTTAACACGAGTTTATTCAGAACAAATGTGAATGTTAAACAAGCTTAATGGAAAAATTCTTGAGTGTTTGTGCACCTGTGGCTTGACCTCTTGCATCTTCGGTGTAGGTAGCAACAGCAAATCTCCCCCTTCCCCTTTTTGGGGTGTATATATGGTCCTGTAGCAGACTTAGTTTGGAGAGAGTGCCGGGCACCAAGGTCCAGAGTGGGTCTGTGAGAACATCACGCAGCCAGGGAGGGACAGAGTGAATCCACCGGATGGAGAGACAGAGGTCTTAAGGCAAAGTGTGATCTCTGAGGGTTTTGTTCCATATCTAAATTTCTTAACTATTTATTGGCCAGTGTTAGAGTAGGATTTACAGTGGTGAATAGCGTAATTTGTTCTCAATAAACTTGTGTTAAATTTTCCGTCTGTGTCAATTGTTGGATCCTCTTAGTCTCTGGATATAGTTTGCTATCAACCGTTCCATACTTAATGACAGTTAAAGAAAGTACTCTCCAAGTCAAGCAATGTTTCTTGCCTTGTTGCTTGATATAGTCTCAGTGGACAAGGCAGATGGTGGCAGCATAGTTAATCCTGTGTAGCATTTCCTTTTTTTGGATACCTTTGATTCCGGTAACCATCATATAATATGTCAGCTCATATTACGTTAAATATAAATACAGTGGTCAGTAGCAAAGTGTTACCAAGTGCAAACGATAGGAAATGTTACTCAGTATAAGTAGTAGTGTTACATTATAAGTTTATATTTATAGTGGTGTTACAATATGTACACAGACCACGAGTGTGAAACTGAATAATTGGCTTAGCTCCACACAAGTAGAATTAGCTGCACTACAACTTGACTCTAATGCACTGAAGAACAGTGGAGGAGTAATTTTCTGTGATTTAAAGTCAGCTCTTCAGGCCCTTAAAAACCTAACATGCAAAATATATACTAGGAATGTTGTAACATCCATTATAAGTAACATTATTAATGCACAGAGCAAGAGTTTCAGAGTCTTATTTGTATGGATACCATCTAACTTAGGTGTTGTCCAGCATGATAACACAGACAAGGCAGCTAAATCTGCATATGATAAGCCTGAAATTGAGTTAGATGTGGGCATTTCAATCTCTGCTGTAAAAACTGCAGTATTTCAGGAAATTAGGGAAAACAAGCAGTTTCTGACATTTAAAGGCCAGAGAGGAAAAGTATAAAGAGCTATGACATGTTTACAACCTTAGAATTATATGTACAGGCAGCATAAAACATCAACTAGACAGCATGACATTGTAATTACCAGAATTAGGCTGGGATATCGATATCTATGGCAGGTGGCTGCAGGTAATGAATCCCACCAATGGTGAACATTCCAATTGTAAACTATATGAACAAGACCTGGGACATACTCTCCAACACTATATCTGTGATTGTCTTGTTATCAGTGACTTAAGATCAAATGGTATGAGGTACTTTGAGCTCTGTAATTACTTCATACACACAGGAATACTGGGAGATATTCTAATGCTGTACCCAGATTTTGCTATTGGAGAATTTCATGTTCTCTCCTGATTGCATGTATGACTAACCATCTTGTGAGATGGGGATATTAGATGAACTTTTAGCTAGTTTTTGATCTACACCGTGCAATCTTTCATACAGAATACGGTAGCAGCACATTGCTGTGTATACCTAAACAGCTTGTTAATTAAAAAATAAAAAGTTGACTCTCAAGTTGACTATTTCCTTAACGGCATGAACTCCTGTATGCTAATCCCCACAATCACCAAACCTACCCAAGTCACTCAAACATCAGCCACTACCTTGGACCACATATGGACAAACATAACAGCTCCCCTTGTATCTGGTATAATCTACGACAGAACAACTGACCACTATCCTACCTTTCTCATAGCGAACATGGACATAACACCACCAAAAAGCATGAAACTTTCATTTAGGCTACACAGTGAATCAGCTTTAGACAATCTTACAGAGGCACTTCACAATATTAACTGGGATTCTGAATTCAATAATACCCATGATATAAATTCATTAGCTAACCTCTTCCTCTCCAAAACTCTAAGCCTCTACAACCTTCATTGTCCCCTTCTTACCAAGCAAGTAACTGACAAAAGATTAAACAATCCTTGGCTCACAAGTGGCATTCTCAACTCAATCAACAAGAAACATGAATATGAAAAGAAAGTTAGGATTGGCCTAGTTTCAAAGGAAGTAGCTAAAAGGTACTCATCAATGCTTACCAGTATCATAAGAAAGGCAAAACTTGCATATTATGTGAATAGATTCAATGAAGCAAAAGGCAACATGAAAAACACTTGGAAAACTTATCTCTAGTATCCTAGGAACTAAACAACACTCACATAACCAAATAAAACTCTACAAGGATGGGGATATACCATCAACTGATTTAGAAATGGCAAATGAATTTAATAGTTTCTTTTCATCGGTTGGTGCTAATCTTGCCAGTAAAATCCCACAGACTCAGACACATATTAACACATATCTCTCAGGCAGATATCCAAACTCTCTTCTCCTTTCACCAATCAGCCCGGCAGATGTTGTGTCCATCATACACTCTCTAAAAACCAAGGCAGGGAACACCAGTGAAATTCCGTCCATTGTGTACAAGAGAGCCTCCCATGCCCTTGCCCCACCCATAGCACTACTGTTCAACAAATCTATAGAGTGTCACACCTTCCCTGATATCCTCAAAAAAGCAAGAGTAACGCCAGTCCATAAAGGAGGCAATCCGGCGGACATAAACAATTATAGACCAATATCAAATCTACCCATTCTATCAAAAATATTTGAAAAAATTATTTACAAACAGCTCTATTCCTACCTCGTAAAATTCGACATACTCAGCCCCTGCCAGTTTGGCTTCCGGTCCCAAAAGAGCACCAACGATGCTATCATTAGTCTCCTTGACGTTATCTACTCAGCCCTTGACAAAAATGAGTTTCCGATTGGACTCTTCATTGACCTAAGAAAAGCCTTTGATACTGTTAATCACAACTACCTCTTACTTAAACTCCAGCATTATGGAATCCGAGGCCTTGCCCTTGACTACATCCGATCCTATCTTAGTGACAGACACCAATATGTAACCATCAATGATACAACTTCTTCCACTCTACCAATTACCGTTGGAGTGCCACAGGGCAGCATCTTAGGACCTCTTCTATTTCTTATATATATAAACGATCTGCCTAATGTCTCTAATATTCTCAAACCTATACTGTTTGCTGACGATACTACTCTTATCTATTCAAACTTCAACCCACATACACTAAATAATGTTGTGAATAATGAATTATAAAAAGTCCACTTATGGATGTCAACGAACAAACTAACATTAAACATCGAAAAGACTTACTACATCTTATTTGGAAGCAAATCATCAAATGCAATTCAGCTACAGATAGACAACATCAACATCAGTAATAAAAATGATGGCAAGTTTCTTGGCCTATTCCTAGACAAGAGACTCAACTTCAGCACCCACATTCAACACATAACTAAGAAAGTCTCTAAGACAGTTGGTATACTCTCCAAATTTTTTTTTTTTTTTTTTTTTTTTGAGATATATACAAGAGTTGTTACATTCTTGTACAGCCACTAGTACGCGTAGCGTTTCGGGCAAGTCCTTAATCCTATGGTCCCTGGAATACGATCCCCTGCCGCGAAGAATCGTTTTTTCATCCAAGTACACATTTTACTGTTGCGTTAAACAGAGGCTACAGTTAAGGAATTGCGCCCAGTAAATCCTCCCCGGCCAGGATACGAACCCATGACATAGCGCTCGCGGAACGCCAGGCGAGTGTCTTACCACTACACCACGGAGACTTATGTATTTGATGAAAATCAGATATTATGTTCCTAACTCTGCTCTCCTCTCACTATATTATGCACTAATCTACCCCTATCTTAATTATGGTATCTGTGCTTGGGGATCTACCACTGCAAACCACCTTAAGCCCATCATCACACAGCAAAAATCTGCTATCAGAATAATAACTAACTCTGCTTTCAGACAACACTCAGCTCCCTTGTTTAAATCCCTAAACTTGCTAAATATTAACTCCCGCCACACATTCTCTTGTGGCAACTACATTTACAAAACCCTGTTCTTAAATGCAAACCATGCTCTGAAACTCTCCCTGGACAGATGTAATAGGACCCATTATCACCACACCAGAAATAAATATCTCTTTGATATCACCAGGGTCAAACTTAATCTGTGTAAACACTCTATGCAAATTAAGGGACCTAGTCTATGGAACTCACTCCCTAGTGAATTGAAAAACTGTAAAACTTTTGCCTTATTTAAAAGCAAAACCAAAAAGTACCTAACTTCATCTTCTTAGTTTCCTACACTGAGCTTTAAATTTGCTCTGTACCTAGTGTTACCCAATCTCCTAATTTTTATGTAATATCAAACAACCTTATCATTGTGTTCATTGCTGTCTTCTTTTATGTGCTAGCCATATGCTGTATTGTGACTACCAATTTTTGTCAACTACCATTCAAGCTGTCATTGCAACCAATCTTATATTGTTTCTGCTGTATTGTGCCTACCAATTTTTTTGTCAACTACCATTCAAGCTGTCATTGCAATCAATCTTAGCTACCTATGTGCTTTAATATACTGTACCTACAATTTTCTCTCATCTTTTTTTCATTTCATGTAATCTGTTATCATTTTTTTGTCTATAATTTTTGCAAGTATTTACCTCCTTAAAATTTTCTTAGATTAAGGACCTGCCCGAAACGCTGCGCGTGCTAGTGGCTTTACAAGACTATAATTACCATATTTGTATCCTCACATTCCTTATGTACATTCTTGTATATGCATAAATAAATAAATAAATAAATAAATAAAAAATAGAATAATTGTAGAAAATGCATCCTGAAATTAGAGAGTATTATTTTCCTTACAAATAAGCTGGAAATATTAATAATTTTATGTTTTACTTTTTACAGTTAAAGTTTGTCAAGTTTTGCATAGACAGTACATCGGCATTGACATTTCTGGACCTTTCCTGGGGGTGTAGCTTCCGTGGTCGCGTCTACATACGACTGATTGGTAACACAGTTAGAGGCAGGCAATTTCTGAAGCTGTGCACAGGGGAGATGGGACCATCTTTCCATAACTCACACTTCCATCGAGTTTGGTGGAAGGGTCTGCCGGGTGAACATATTTGGGGAGGTGACTACGATCAAGGTAATGGCAGTGGTGGCACTTCAATAATGGAAAGCACTGAAAATGAGAAGTCACATGCATTTGGTCGTAAATCTCCTGTCATTGCTGGACTAGTGGCTGGATGCTACGAAAAGGAAAAACCCAGTTCCCTTTTTCGTATATACACCAAGGATGATAAGAGTGCCGATGAGGAGGCAGCATTTGGTCAAGTGGAATATGGCCTCAACGTAATTGATGCTGCCTTGACTCAGAACAACATTAATGATGTGGTTATTTCTGATTGTGGAGTAGTCATTGAATCCTGAATGACAATCACCAGCTAGAAAGTAGTTTTAGTACTGAGTTTTGCAGTAGTGTTCAATAGCCTATGTTATAAATTCATTTTGTGTGTGTGTGGAGTTTTCATGGATATATAATATTTTTGAGCTAAATGAGAGAAGAGAACTTAAATATAAAAGTTTAAATTAAAGTCTTTATTTTCTTTGATTCAATCTTAAGTTTAAATATTTATTATAGCTTAAAAATACCAAAAACAAAAATTGTACTGAAATTGAAAAGAATTGCTATTAATTAAAAATTTGTTAAAAATTTACTGACATATTAAAGAACAGTACCCACAATACACACTCACAGTGAATATTTGATAAATATACAAATATTTTAAGTTATAGTGAATATATAAGGAGTTATCAGAACCTTTAGAATTGAGAATTCCAAATTGTTAATGTGTGCCTGTTACATTTTTTTGGCTTTAATTAGGAATATGACTAGTCTGTCAGATAGTATCAGATTGAGTGGGCTAAATATGTGGACTTTCTAAAAAAAATATTTGATTATTTAATATAAATATTTAATATAAACTGTTAAACACTATATTGTAATTTATATATATAAATGTCAGGACTGGTATTGCCTAAATCTTATTATAAGTAATCCCCCCCTTCTTAAGTTTATGTATATGGTATGGTTAGATAAAAATATACATTTTTTATCTGGAATCAATATTGTTCATATCTTACATAAAAATATATATTTTTTATCTGGAATCAATATTGTTCATATCTTTCATTTGCGGTATACTTTATAAAATACTGCTTTGTGTGACTAATTTGAAAGACATTGGTGACTGGTAGTACAGTGGTAAAAGTAATCTGTTCACACCTGACCCTTTGATCCATTAGCAGGTCAAGGCATTTGGGCATGTTCCTTTCGTCTGATGCCTCTGTTCGCCTAGCTCTTAATAGGTACCAGGTAGTTGCAAATTTGGGAAGGCTAGTAGTTGGCCTTGTGGGCCAACTACTAGCCACCTTATAAGCCTAAGTAACAAGCTTCCTGTCCCAGACAAGAAACTTTATAAAGCATGGTTAGTTTAATTTTAATCAACTACTGTACCAGTATGAGGAATATATTGTGTAAGAAAAATTTGTATATGTAATTACAGTCTATGTATGACTGACTGTAATTACAGTCTATGTATAGTTCTAATAATGTGTAAAATATTCAAATTATATGTGAAATGTCAACTTTATACAAAATGTCAACTTCAGCAAAAATGCTTTATACAACATAAGCTCTAAAAAAAAAGCAGAATTAAAATTGATTTTACAATCTCCATTTTTAAATTTAAATGAAAAAGGTTTCAATTTGTTTATATATACTCTACTTTAATAGGAATTAACGGTATTGTGTGTCAAACAGTATTGGAATATGTTGCAGGAAATTGCTTTTATCCTTAGATTTTTAAGATTTGAGATTGGTTTACATCACTCTTAAACATAAGTCCTCAAATATTTACATGAGTTTACTTGAAATAAAGTATACCTTGCCAATAATGATTTTATTATTGACTTAACACACAAAATAAAAAAAGAAGTGAGTGTTGAAAAAATAATTCATATATTTTATAAATTAAAATATTTGATAATTCCATTTCGAAATACAAACGCTCTCACTGTCTTGGTCAAGAAATGTGTAGATATTTAATTCAAAGTGATCTACAACCAGAATTGTTTGCCAAATATTGTCTGTAGGTGGTAAATGTGATTGTAACTTCCACCACTACCTACTCATAGACAGGGGCAGTGTGTATAATTAGCTAAACAATTATGAAACTAGCTCACTATACATCAGCTTCTTAGCTTAGAGACTGTACTTGTGGTCGTTCTTAAACCCAGTGTTGTGCAACTAATGTATAAAGAGTGTAACTTGCATAGCTAAATTAATATTGGGGTTCAGTCCCTGAGCCCCTTATGTTCCCCTGTAACCTTTTTCACACTACTGCCTGCAAGATGGGTACGGGTATGCCTATAGAAGTTTCATTGTGCAGCATAAAGCTAATCTTCATTGTATCAAGAGGTGGTTTATTAATGTTGGTTAGAAGAAATGTGAGGTAATGGTGTGTGTGTGTGGTCCTATCAGTAATTATCCCTGAAGTTTAGAGGTTATGTTGGTCCAGATGTGGTCAAGAGTAGAGGCAGTCGTATCAGTAATTCTGGTAGGTTTAGTGACTAAGGGTATGAGCTTACCATACTATGCAATAAAAAAAGGTTTGTTTTCATATTTAAAGTACGTGGAGTGAAGCATTTATAGCGTGGGTATTCAAGCAGAGGTAGTCAGCAAAGCATTGTTCGAGAAATGTTCGAACATCATTAGTTGGTTGTGAGTCGTGTGTAAACTGTTTTTCATTTATAAACGGGGTTTGGCTGCTGGATTAACGAGCATTTGGTCTTTTAAGTGGATGGCCTCCTTGAATCACCATGTAACTTAACGCTCGTTTCACCTGAGGCTCGTGCTGTCTTTGAACCACTTTGTAACTCTCCTCTACTGGGTTCGTCCGGGCTACATGTAATGTCTCAAAACAACTTTTTTCATTGTTTTAATTAAAAATTAACTTAAAACGTCAAGGATTCCCTCCCCTTACTCGTTCAGAAACATCTACTCATCATCATGGAAATTTCTTTAAGATAATTTGCTTTATCTTACACACAAAAATAAAAATAAATTAGCAAGAGATTATTGAGTATTGACGCTAGGAGCACATGTTTGCCACAGGTGTTGTTGTCGGGGGTGAGAAACAGGTGTGTGGGGATCTGATAGCCATCATTCTTCCCTGAACACGTGAAGCCAGTATTGTTCACTCTTCTCTTCACATAGTCATTGTGCTTGTGTTCCAGTTGTGCCCCGGTGTGTGTGTATTTACCTAAGTGTAGTTACAGGATGAAAGCTGAACTTGTGGTGTCCTGTCTTCATGCTTTGAAACTACTGACGGTTTTGGCAACCATCCCTTCAATTTGTTCCAACCATCTGCTACGGTTGTAACAGAGAACTGTCACATTTTTGGTGACAAAAAGGTTTCTTTCCTAAGCTTAAATCTATAACCTTGTTCTTGAGGTTCCAGGTTTCCAGAATTCTTATCAATTTTGTCGATTTGTTTTATTATTTTGTATCTAGTGATCATGTCGCCTCTTTTCTTCGGTTTTCTAGCGTTGGCATATTTAACACCAAAACATATTTTAATACCTTTCCTCGTAACTCTTGTCTTTCAGTTCCAGAAGCCATTTTGTTGCATGTCTGCACCTTTTCCAGTTAATTGATGTGCTTCTTGAGATATGGGCACCATGTATTGCTGCATATTCAAGTTTTGTCTCACAAAGACCGTGAGCAATTTATTTAATATTTCTCCATCTATGTATTTAAAAGCAATTCTGAAATTGGAAAGCCATAGCATAGGCTCCTCGCACAATGTTCTTTATATGGTCCTCAGGTGGCAGTTTTCTATCCAGAATCACCCCCTCATCCTTTATCACATTTCTTTAAAATATCTTCACATAATTTGTAAGTTGTGTGACCTATTTTCTCCTATTCAACATTTCATAACATGGTATTTATTCACATTAAATTCCATCTGCCAAGTGTTGCTCCACTTATTTCGTCCAGGGTCATCTTGTAGGTCGAAATCGTCAAAGTTTCTTATCTTACCTTAGTATCATCAGCATACATGTTCACGTAATTCTGTATTCCTCCTAGTAGAACGTTCATGTAGACGTTGAACATTGCTGGTGCAAGAACCGAACCCTGTGGTTCTCCGCTAGTACCACTTCTCCAGTTTGCAGTACTTCAGTACCACATTGCATTTGATTACCCCGTCATCTTTCTGGCAGTTAAAACAAATTTTCATCCATGTCGGCAATCTTCCTGTCATCCCACCAGTGTGTCACATTTTTCAAAAAGCCTCTTGTGTGGGACTGTCAAATTTATTTTTTTAGGTTAGCTAAATGCAGCCAACCCAACAATTTCCTGGGTCACCCCCAGGAATATGACCTCGCCCGCCTCACTGTCTCTGACCTCGCCCGCCTCACTGTCTCTGACACCTGTCTGTTAGGTAATTCCTTACCCATGATGTGTGGGTGCATGCGTGCATTAGATGATGTTCATGCAGTGGGTTGGGTTTATACTTGCGTATTTTACAGAGGAGAAAGTGAGAGCGTGAGTGTATTAAGTACATAGGAAGCGTGTCATCCAGAGACAATACTGTAGTAGTGATGGGCCTGTGGAAGCAAGGCCTCGAGGCGGCTTACTACGTGCTGGTGGCTTCAGCACTGGTGAAGATCATCTATGTGCAGTACCTGTGCGAGGAGACCTCTCTGGCGCCCCGGCACCACAACCACGATGTGATCAAGAACCCCCTAGTAAGTTTTTACTTGTATTTGTAACGGTTCTATTGTTACGTAAAGTATGGTGATAATAAATACAGACACTAAGGGAATATATATATATTTAGTCGAGTATACAGAAGTATGCAGGTGATACCTTGGCGGGCAATGGTGTGAGTTGAGCGCACTGAGAGTCGGTACGGTATCTCGCAAGTGTCTGTTCTAGACCACACTTGAAAGTAGACTAGTTAATATTTGATTGATGAAGATTAAGCCATCCAAAAGGTGGCACGGGCATGAATAGCCCGTAAGTGGTGGCCCTTTTAAGCCATTACCAGTATCAAGAGCTGATACTGGAGATCTGTGGAGGTGGGAATGCACCCTGCATGACGGGAGATGTCTCCCTTGTGAATGTGTTAAGATGAAGATGAAGCCACCGAAAAGGTGGCACGGGCATGAATAGCTCGTAAGTGGTGGCCCTTTTGAGCCATCACCAGTATCAATAGATGATACTGGAGATCTGTGGAGGTGCGACTGCACCCAGCGTGACGGGAGATGTCTCCCGGACCAAATGGTGACCAGATGGTCGATTAATATTTGCTACTCTGCAGCTTATATGCTCGGGCAACACTTCACCGTGTTGCCCGGGCAATACCTCACCTCATTCATCTCCAAAGGTTGACAGGAATATTAACAATGCATTTGGAGCGAGTATATTATTGGGATAATCTACTCGCTACATATTATTAAGCTTAGATACAGCAGTGTGCTGCTTTTCTGTTCTATGAAGGATTACAAAGGGTTACAAAGATTACAAATGTCAAGAGTTGTAAGTTCATCTAATATCCGAGTAGTAACAACAGTAGTCACAATATTAACAGTAGTAGAAATAGTAGCTGAAATTTAAATTTAAAACATAAATTATTAATGTATACGTATTAATACTGCTTGGCTTAGACTTGGTTACAAGTGTCTCTGGGAATTTTCATTATCTGCTGATGTAGACCTGACCAAATGTAAACTGTGTGAACAAAATTATTCGTGTCCACATCAATCCCGGGAAACTGTGATTTATTATGGCTTAGTCAGAAATAAATAAATATTAAATGAAAATGCTGTTGGGTCGTTTGCGTTTAATTTACTTTTGTATAATTAAAACAATTTCTCTCTAGATTCTTTAGGTTAAAAAAAAAGTAGAGAGGAAAAGAAGCCTCATGCTGGTGAAATGTGAAACCATATTCCCTTATGCGATAAGATTCAGATTCAGATTCAGATTCAGATGTTTATTCAGGTAAGGTATATACATACAAGTGATGTTACATTAATGGATTGATATATAGATAGAGCTAGTACATACACTGCCTAAAGCCACTATTACGCAATGCGTTTCGGGCAAGAAAAACATTAATATCTAGAACTTAATACTAATTGAGCATAAAGAATAAAAAGTGTTGAGAACAAATACAAATAAAGATAAAAAAAAGGGGGAACATGACTGAAAAAGCAGCACAAATACAATAGGTTGATAAACAGTGTTGATTAAGAAAATAACAGACATGGGTTGACAATAGAGGAGTGAGTTAGATTACAGGGAATTTATTAGGTAGTGTTTAGTTTTTATCTTAAACTGGTTGAGAGAGGTACAGTCTTTAACATGGTTGGGAAGGTCATTCCACATTCTGGGCCCCTTGATTTGCAGAGCATTTCTAGTTAGATTAAGACGTACTCTAGGAATATCAAAACTGTATTTATTTCTGGTGTGGTGCTCATGGGTTCTGTTACAACCTTCTATGAAGCTTTTAAGATCAGGATTGGCATTATAGTTTAGCGTTTTATATATGTATAATACACATGAGAGAATGTGCAGTGACTTAATATCTAACATATTCAGAGATTTGAGTAGGGGTACCGAGTGATGTCTGGGGCCAGAGTTGGATATTGTTCTAATAGCAGCTTTGTGTTGGGTAATTAGAGGACGTAAGTGATTTTGGGTAGTAGAACCCCAAGCACAAATACCATAGTTGAGATAAGGATAGATAAGGGAGTAATAGAGAGTCACCAGGGCAGGGCGTGGTACATAATATCTGATCTTAGAAAGAATGCCCACAGTTTTTGAAACTTTTTTTGATATATTTAGAATGTGTCCCTGGAAATTCAGCTTGTGGTCAATGAGAATGCCA